AAAATATATAAAAAATATAAGATGATAAAGAAAATATTTTTAACTATAAATTCATTCATGTACTTTATACAAAAAAATTAGAATACTTTCAATCTTTATTTTAACTTATTAAATACTTCAACTTATACAAACTACATTTATAAAGCACTTCAATTAAAATTTTTCCTATTGAACATTCAACCTATAAAATTAAATCAATTAAACATTAATTGTATAGTTAAGACCTGTGAAAAATTATTATTCTTGTAACCATGAATCAAGTTAATACTTTATATAAAAGTAAAAAAAAAAAAACATTAAAAATAACTATTATTATTCGTATAGCAAGATGTGATATATTACAAAATGTATAAATTCACGGACAAAATTTTCAGTAGCACAAGATTTTTCGTGTAAAATATTCAAAATTGATGAATTTTTGTACTGGTCTAGATTCGAAAATGCTGCCAAAACTGTTTGCATTGAATAGGTCAGTCAAGAAATGATCAGATGGGAATAATGTGGTACAGCAAATCTCTGTTCATTGATTTATTTGTAGTTTTGTATATGTCCTTACAATAATATTATAAAGGCAAAAACTAAATCAACGAGTTACTATCTATCTATTGTTTTAGTAGCTATGATTAGCTGTAAACAATTTGCAATCAACCTTCTATTTTTTTTTTTTAATTATTGTAAAATATTTAATAATTCAACTAATGAATTGTAAGTATTATAAAATAATGAATAATTAATAACATTTTGTACACTAAATTTTATTTATTTTATTCAGTTGTTAACATTAATCATCAATTCATTTGTAAATTTAAATTAACTTAAAACATTAGTTCCTTCTTTTCTTTTCTTTCCTTTTTCTTTTTTCCAATTCCATTAAATCAATACATAAAATGAAACATAACTTTATGAAAAATAAATTTTAACGGGACCCTCAATTTTTAAATTAATCCATTAAACTCTTCAAGTATTAAAATTATATAGTATGTTTTAATTTCTAAATTTGCACCTGTGAACATAATTTTACACAATTTTTAATTACTAAGTAAATGTTTCATAAGCGTCACATTTTAGGCATCTTTTAACACAAATAGTTGAATAATGATATTTATATTTTTTAATTATTTCCATAAATATTCATTAAATATAATTTTTTGATTAAAAGTATTCAATATGCAAGTTAATGAGTTGGAATATTTAATTATAGGTTTAATTTTATAAATTGAAAAATTGTATAGATCAACTTAAAAGTTAGAGGTGCTACTATTTTTTTTCTAAAAAAAAAAAAATTTAAGTATCCACCATATATTTGGCCTTCATAAGGAAAATTTAAAATTTCATAAATTCAATTCATTTTTATTTTAATTTTTTTAGGAGAATAAATGGATTGTGAAAACATTAACATTCACTAATGTTAGTTTTTTTTTTTTTTTTTTTACACTCATCATAAATTAAATTTTAAGCGGCGACCCCCAAATTCTAAATTAATCCATTAATAATCGCTACACTTCACATATCTCAAAACTTACCTCAATTGATGCTTACTCTTATAGGTAATACATATATGTTCTGTTTTCATATTCATCTTCAAACTGGTACCGCCACTCGTACAGAGCACCAACCTAGCATTCACCACAATGTAATGATTTACTCAGTGCTTAAATCGTTCTTCATTCATCGTAGCGTTGGCGCGTTCTCACCACTATTCTTTGAGCATCCTCTCTTATACACAAGACCTGTATGTTCTGCAATAACGCATCACTTCGCTTGATATTTCCGCGTTTAATAATGTATTTCCTCTTCTCGTGAATAAAACAGATAATGAAGTTCGCATTTACAACGTATAACATTTTTGTTGAGATAATAATTATAGTTCTCGTTGAGATTCACTGTCCATACGTGTAAATGCGAGTTCTGAGCAATTACTTGCCTTAGTTAATTATCAGTGTAGACTCGAAAATTCTGATAACGAGCTTTGTACGATATGCATCAAGCTTAGCGAAGTTAATTGTGTGCTCACCTATTTTTTTTTCCTACAAAAAAAACAAAAATTGTATAGGTCAGACTCCACACATACGGTCTCATTGGCCTTCATAAGGAATATTTAATAATTTCACTAAAATTACCAATCTCATTTTTATATTCTAATTTTTTTAAGGGTGATAGATACAATGGATTGGCTGAAAAACCATTAACATTCACTCAATCGTGGTCTATGCTTTTCTTTTCATTTTCTTTCTGTGACATAAATGGTAGTGAAAGGACCCTGAGCATCCGTTCCACTTCCTACGATTCTTACTATTATTACAAAATATAAGATCAAATAGCGTTAATCTATATCTGGACACATAAAATTTTATCAATAATATTGTAATATTTCTTAAATAAGAACACTTTCGACATCTGTCTTTTAGCAGCGGATGCTTCCTTTCAACTGATAGATAGTTATTCGTTCGGGTACGTGCCATGTCTCCAGTGATTGCTAAATCTTTCTATACCACGCATTGCCATACTTACAATACCAGTATACTCTATCTGTACCGCCCATACCGACACATCACCCACACGACGATATTCGCTTATTCGTAAAGCGCATATCATCTTAACTCTCATGACATAAAAAGCGACATTACTATGATTAATAGGTATATAGCTTGATTGATTTACTCAACCTTTTAATAATATAATAAAATTGAAAAACTTTAAAATTATTTTTTTATTAAAGAAAATAGCTTCTATAAATAATAGATTGTATTATGTACATTCTGTACCATAAAGAAACTAATCAAAAGGAAAAAAAAAGCTGTATCTAGATTTTTTTTTTTTTTTTTTCTGTTGGACATAATTTGAATACGAGACCTTCACTTTCTACATCTTATATAAAATATAAGAAAATCAGTTAGATCATATCTGATTAAAATTTTATAAATTTAATTTTTTAAAAATAACACTTCGAATGACATAAAAAGCACATTTACATGATTAATAGGTATATAGCTTGATTGGTTACCTCAACCCTTTTTAATAATATAAAAAATTGAAAAATTTAAATTATTTTTTTATTAAAGAAAATGACTTTATAATAGATTGTATTATGTACATTTTGACCATAATAGAAACTTAAAAGGAAAAAAAAAGCTTTATTGATTAAATTATTATTATTATTATTATTTTGGTTGAAATTAATTAATTAATTATTATTATTTATTTATTTTATAAGACTGAGTATCTAAGTGAGGAACAAGGAGACAATTGTAATCAACCAAAATAAGAATAATTACCGTTTGATCAAATTTTCGCAACATACAAATCAAAGGGCCAAAAGGAAAAATAATTTGACCTAGTTCATTAATATGTCTTTCCTAATAAATACCAATCAAAAAAAGGCATTATCAGTAGTATGCTATGGATTATTGTCATTGAAAAGGTCCAAAGGTTTGTCATGTTCGTAGAGATATATAGGCTTAAACGATCGACGGTTGAATTCTATGTATTGAATGTCTAAAAATAGAAATAAAGTTAGGTTTAAATACCTTGAGATTAATATTATTTTACTTGACTTTTTCTAAATTTTAATTTCTAACTAATATTATTTAGGCGTTAAACACTGAGTTTTTGGTTAACCTGGACATGAGCGAGAGAGTATAGGTTCAACGAAAATGACATTTTATTTGTTAGGGTACTATTGTAATTAAAATTGAAATTCAAATTATTAGAAGAAGAAAGTTGAATTTAAAGTACAATAAAAACTACCCACAGTGTTTTTTATTTTTGTAGCCATATTAGGGCAATTTCGAACTTTAGTGCCGTGAGAGCTCCTTTATAAAATTTAAAACGCCCTAAAATTTTTTGGATGAAGTATGGGTTGAAACGATCCATTTGTTCTAATTGTAACTGAATATAAACAGCAAAATGTATCAATATGATGTAAAGATGAAGTTAATTTGTACTTTGAAGAAGAAAGGTAATAGATTGATGAAGGTGGTTTTGTCAGTAGTGGTTTTTGTGAACTTGTGAATTTTGATTGCTTTATAGTTATCTACTATTCATGGATACTTTTAAAGGTTAAGCGTGCCGGTACCGTATCCATATTAGACATAGACACTTTTAGATATTTGTCGGACACTTTAAGAAATATGTCTAGTTATTTTTTAATTTTATTAATTTCAAACACTTCTACAGCACTTCAAAAATACTTCTTGGACACTTTAAAGACACTTATAGAAATTTTATAAACTTTTAGATAAATTTTTTAACAAAATTTTTAAATTGAGGTCATAAATATAAATTAGATAAATACATATACTTAAAGTAAAAAAAATTACAACATATATAAAAAGAAAAAAACCCTAAATCATTATGTAGGGTTTAATTATAATTTTATAGCCAAATTTAAAAACTGATTTTTGTTCATAATAACTTTCAACTTTTATAAAGAAGAAGCCCATGATATTATATTAAACAAATAAAAATGTCAGACGTTGCAGGAGATTAATTTGAGTCTTTCGAAGATGTTGTAATTCTTGAAATTTTCAATTTATCTTTAGATGAGCTAAAAGTGAAATCGATGATCTTTAATTATGATGTTATTGTTAAGGATTAATTAATAATATTGAAGTAGAATATTAAGTGTTTTTTATTTTATGTTTATGACTTATTATGGATAATTATTTATATATTTAATTTCTTAATAAATTATATATTTTTAGCATAACATGTCATGTCATGTGAATACTGTGTCCTATTTCTTGAAAATTACCGCGTCCGCGTCCGTGTCCGTGTCTGAATCTATGCAACCCATATAGTTATACAAGGAAATATGAATCTAGCAATAATGAACCTCATATGACTAGCTTCAAACCCAAAAGAAGCCAAAAAGATTCCTTAGTACGTCTCATCCTAGGGCTAGGGATTATAATATAATATATATAGGGGTTGTGTGACTCTCTCTCTCTCTATATATACATCTCTTGTGAGATTATATTTCATACTAGAGACTAGAGAGAGAGAAAAGTAAAAGAGCTCCCCTCAGCCAATAAGGAGGGACGATCATGGATAGAGCTGCCATCTCATGCATTGTGGCAATACTTGAGATTTGATAAAGGAAAAGTTAATTAATGTCAAGTTTGGCCAAGTGCATGGTATGGGAGCAACTCCTCCTATGCTTTTCCCACCCATTGGACTGAAGGGAGCTCCTTTCTCTCTCTCTATCTCAGCTTTAATCTTATCATCTTAAAACCATGATCAAAAGGGTGAGTCTTCATTTTTATGTAGCTTATGTTCAATGTTTAACTTGCCTTTTCTTTTTGTTTTCTTCCTTTTGTCTTTTTTGCAGGCAGAAGCGAATCGTGGACGATGAGCCATATGTAAACAACTGCATACAAATTTTAACTATAAATTCTGGTTTTGCTCCTGACATATGTATTGGAAAAGAGAGAGGGCTACTCCTGCAAAGAAAGAATAGTGAAAATTTTCGCTCAGTCAGGATAAAAGAGTACAAAAAGCTCCTTCAAGGATCAATTGTTTCCTTGCCTGGAATGAGATATTTTTAGCGGTTCGCTTTCTGTATTGTTTTTGCACTTAAAAGAGTAAATTGTTGTACATGGACTTACCTACCTGATGATGATTATTATTTACTTTGATGTCATTAAGCAGCTTGGAGCTGTGTCTATAAACCAACTACTAAATGAAATTCCATACACCATTTTCCACGTGAAGAGGCAGACATGTGACTTGCTAAAATATCAATCAAACTACGTTCCAAGTTTTTATCCTGTTTTCATTTTTCATGTCTCCCAATATTGTTACTGTTTTTTGTTTTTATAGAAATGATAATTCTCCAAAAGACTTCGAAATTTATGGCTCGTGCGTGAGTCACAAAATCAATCAAATCGCCTTAATTAGTAGTGAAATGTATTAATTAAACCATTATATAAAAAAGCATTAAAATATCAACATACAAGAGTAGTGTAGTACAGTATACACAATAAAGCGCAAAAAATTAATAAATTACGACTTAGTCGTACTAAAAAAAAAAGTTAAAAAGCAAAAGTTTTATGAATAAGCTATTTAAGTGAAAAAAAAAAAAAAAAGAGAGAATTTTCGCGCTATTGCTTGAAAAGACAATTATTGAAACTAAATAATTTTTTTAAAAAAATAAAAACAAATTATTCATATTTAAAGACATAATAATTCAATTAATTTTATACAAATTATGTCTAATTTATATCCAAATACTCATCAAGCATGTTCATCACCAACTTTTAAAATAGAGTTTAATGTTTCAATTAATTATTTGGCTAACCCCCGAATAAGCATTTAGCTAACAGCTGATAAAATAATTGACAACAACGCTGCTAAACAATGCCAATATATATGCTAATGCTAGAATGATGTATACTTTATAATTTTTTTAAAACATACTTCTATTAAATTAATAATTTATTTTGAGAAATAAATTATTTTAATTTTTAATTTTATTTAAATTAATTATAAAATAAATTTTGTTGGCATAAATTTATTCAAAAACATATTTTTATCATTTGACATATATTCGTGAAAATCAAGCTGTTGAAACCAACCGATTTTTGACAAATTCCCAGCAACTTCTGCCAATTTATTTCAGAAACATTCTAATCTAAAATCAATAGTTTCAGCTGTTTCAAAATAAAGGTACCGAAATCAAAACCCTGACGTTAGTTCTCGCAGACTCAGTTCCAGTACTGCGAGTTAAAAATCACTCACCAAAAATTCGTTATTTTCAGAGTTCTCCAGATCCCACATACAATGTGAACTAGAGGATATTTGTGAAGTAACACTCTTCAATCTTCCATGAGTTTAATCCATATACCAAATGTCATCATATCAGTCCATTGTATCAATGACTAAATTTTATTTCCACAAATTTTTTATCAGAAAATCCTCAATCGAAACATAGAAGGTTAAGCGATCAACCTATAGTTCGAAAGTAAACACCAAAACAAATTGTATGCTCAATTATCTAGTTGCAGATAAGTCAAAATTCAAGCTTAGAAGATGACAGGAGGATATGACAACCTGGCCAATTCTTAAGCCACCACCGCCTCCACCGCCCATGAATACATATTCATACCCAGAAAATGCCATTATAACGAAATTAACTAATTCTCTAAGCCAAATGTTGATAAGCTAGCAGCAGAAAAGATGTGAAAGCTTGGAATCTTAACAATACCAGGGACCCTCCAATTCCGTATCATAGAAAAATTCCAAGGTGTCTTTATCCTTTGGGCTGAATAAGCAATTTAGCGAGACTACAAAATCATAATCTATCACAATTGAACAAAAGAGGCAATGTCACGAAACTTATTTCATCATCTGAGTTACTTTCTTTCATTGTCCCTGTCCAAATCACTGATATTATTTGGATAGCCAATAAGATCCAAAGGCAGTTATTTCTGGCCTTCATGCATGGCAAGAAAGAGAAGAAAAAACAGTAGATTACAGGAATTCATATAAAGCACTAAAATAGCTTCAACGCATTAAATTAATACACATGAATGCCTCAGGCGCCCCTCACTTTCAGCATAAATCTCCAAAATTCAGTCACCTGCAAGAAGGATGAAACCTTATTTCATCTTCTATTAAAATGTAAATTATCATTTCTTCACATTTAATAGTACTATAATGGGAAAAATTAATAAGACTTGCCAAGTAATCAATTTCAAAATCAAGATGATGCTGTTCACGCATTAATCTAAGCTATTTCCTTGCTATGATTATAACAAACCAATTTCTTAAGCCATTTCACATCGAATGGCTGCATCAACTCAATATATTATGATTACAACGAAAACAATGAGAAGAAAATGACTCCAAAAATATAATAAAAATATGATTTATCACAGAAAATGACATACCAGGTGGAATGCATCTCCTTGACAGAGATGGAGGAAGAGCAAGTTAATATACTATTATCTCCCTATCATAGAATTAGAATCTTATTATTCTTGATTCCCAAAACTACATTTTTTATTCAACTTCTATTTTGAAAATAATTAGATTCCTCTCCGAATCCTAACTAATAGGATCCAATTCAAGCGAGGCTGCTGCATTTGCACAACCTTTTTTTTCTAAAAAAACATCAAGTACAAGCTAACAAAAACATACTCCACTGCCACCATACATTAACATCACACCACATAATTTCGTTAAAATTTTTATTACTTGATTTTTCACTATAAAAATTTTACCAAACTAAACATTGTTGGAACAACTCTGACTCCTAAGTTTCTATTTATGGCGCATAAAAATTTCACACTCATGTTTCCCCCCCAAATATAGGCCGAATACATTATCAATTCACCCCTAAATTTCATTACTTTATAGCATCTTAAACTTTTATTTTGACTTATTGCACATTTCAATTTATAAAATTGCACCTATTAAACATTTCAACTTATAAAATCATTTTTGTTGAACACTTCAACTTGCAAAATCAAATCAATAAACACTTATTAGATAGTTGAAAAATGTGAAAATTATTGTCTCAAAAGTTATGTTTACTACAAATCAAATCAATATTTAAAAGCATCCTAACTATCAAATAGACCCAAACTTTGCGAATTGTAACAATTACAACCTAAAATAAACTTAATCCCTCAGCTCTTCAATTGCAAACTTTTGTGAAAATCGTACCCTAATTTTAATTTGGCCAAAATCAGATAATAAAATAGTATTTGTCGGACCCTAATGACTACTTGGGTTCAATTGACTATTCTATGGGGTAAAGTGAAACGTGGCGCTTCACTCAATCAAAGCCCTAACCTGTGTTTACGGTGTTACTTTTTGATTTAGAAACTAAAGTTCCCATTGTGCACATCTTTGCTTTTGATCTTCTATGTTAATAGTTCTACCGGCTATTTTATTTGAAAGGTGAGGCAATAGAGGAGAGAGAGGTATGGAAAAGAAGGATCAAGGTGAGAGAAGGAGCCTTAAATAGGTTAGGGTTTAACCCCATGGGATGGTTAATTGAACCCAAGTAGTCATTGGTCCCACAACAATATTATTTTATTGTCTAATTTTGACCAAATTAAAAAGCTTGCAATTGAAATACCTGAGGGGTTAAATTCATTTTAGGATGTAAACAACTCGTAAAGTTTGGGGTATATTTGATGGTTAGGCCTATAAAGTGTAAACAACATGTAAAGTTTGGGGTATATTTGATGGTTAGGCCTATGAAAGCCAAAAGTCCTAAAATGAACAATTTTACCAAAAATTTACAAGTTCAACTGCACGATAAGTTATCCAAAAAGTTCAAAATGCCATAAGATTAAAGTTACAAAATTCAAAAGTGAATTTGTATTTGGCCTATCTTACAATATCAAAAGCATGCTACGGAGTTGCACCCATAGCAATTTGCTCAGTTATTAGAATCTGATCATTTCACATTTCTGAATGATGAGATTTAGGACCCCCTGACATATTAGAAATCAGGCTGGAAAGTGAAAAATCAATCAGTTAGCTAATATATTACTTCCTAATCAGACAGCCTGTCAAGGTATGCCAAGAGCCATGCAAAGACAATCTTCTAAAACTTATGTTACCACTATAATAATTAATGAGAAACAGATATGGTCCACCAAATTCAGTCCAATGGTTTAGTTTAAGGATTAAAGGCATATTTGAATTCGTGAGAATTATTAGCCACAAGAAGTTTGGGGTATATTTGATGGTTAGGCCTATGAAAGCCAAAAGTCCTAAAATGAACAATTTTACCAAAAATTTACAAGTTCAACTGCACGATAAGTTATCCAAAAAGTTCAAAATGCCATAAGATTAAAGTTACAAAATTCAAAAGTGAATTTGTATTTGGCCTATCTTACAATATCAAAAGCATGCTACGGAGTTGCACCCATAGCAATTTGCTCAGTTATTAGAATCTGATCATTTCACATTTCTGAATGATGAGATTTAGGACCCCCTGACATATTAGAAATCAGGCTGGAAAGTGAAAAATCAATCAGTTAGCTAATATATTACTTCCTAATCAGACAGCCTGTCAAGGTATGCCAAGAGCCATGCAAAGACAATCTTCTAAAACTTATGTTACCACTATAATAATTAATGAGAAACAGATATGGTCCACCAAATTCAGTCCAATGGTTTAGTTTAAGGATTAAAGGCATATTTGAATTCGTGAGAATTATTAGCCACAAGAAATTCCAATTTAGCAAATCATTGAAAAGAGGGTAGCAACAGCAAACCAACACTTCCAGCAGGAATAACATTTTAATTTTACAATTTTTTTTTTGGCTTTTCGCTGTTTGGAATCAGGACCTTTACCACCTTGTACAAAGTCAGTCAAAGAACATCTGCTATATTTGAGATGCTGATACAGAAGAACGTAACATGAAGGAAGTTATAATCAACTTCCTGACTGATAGCTCTCTGTGAAGATATGGAAATTAGACTGTTTCCTGTACCCTCCCATCCTTCCAAAATCCAAAATATTTTAGCCCCTGGATCAAGAGGGTAAAGGAGAATTTGGATTGAGATACCATACTGTTGAGGTTGTCCGGTCAATTTCTAATTTGTAACCCTTTTTCTTCATATATAGACGTAAAAGGAAAATTTTCGAAATTCTTTAAATTTAAAAATTTTTACATTTCTCTTCCACCTTCTACCAAAACAATCTCTAAGGACACACATCAGTTCAGCTCCAAATTTACTTGAAATGAAAAACAAAAAGGCTCTCAAAGCTAAAAGGCTCACGGCACTCCTGGAAACTCTTTTTAGTGATAATAAATCTTTATAGCATAAAGTATAATATATCTATTTGATGTATTTATGCTCATCCATTAGTTGCATCCATTAAATTTTATCCACTCCTAGAATACCTACTCATCAATGCATTTTATAATTTTTACAAAGAATTTGCAAGCTGACCTATACATCATGGTCGCACCCATTACCATCATAGACTACCATATTGCTAACAATTCAATCCACCAATCTAAATTCTAGATATGCTAATTTAATTTCCTAAAACCTCTATTTGCATTAACAAAATAGCACGCAAAGCAATTAAGTAAAACTAAGAAGTGACATTTTCAATTCCTAATTTTGCAAAGTAAAATAAAAAATTTCAATATCCTTTGATATTTTAGAGCAACAGCAACCATAAAAGTAGAGAGGAAATTAAACTAAATAAGGGTCCACATTCTTTAAATAATTTGTGCTTTTCCATTTCGTCTATAACCATGTTATATGTGACATTAAGGATGCTTGAAACATCAGTGTTAAAAAGACAAATAATTTAATTTGAAGCCAGCCCCAATCCAGCTAGTTTTCCTCTCAACATCATTTTAAGTGTGTATTATACCAATTAAAAATACATTGACCAAGATTTTCCAACAACACATTTGCCAAATTAGGTTAAATGCACAATTAAGGTCCAAGACAACAAGCCATGACAATGGTGATAATTTTTTTACAGTTTTGCAAACTCATTCCTCTTTCAGTCATTTCATTTATGCATTATGATTCAAACATGCAAAGTTGAATGGAAGAAAATGATGAATCGGAGTGTTAAATGATGTCTTGCTTAATGATTATTGTTGTTCAGATCATCAATATCAATTTCAATCACCTAAAAACATAATAGATTTAGTTCTACGCTTTATTTGATACAAGCAACAAATATGAGAGGACAGATCAAACTAATATCTTTAATTGCATGTGGTGCAATCACTGGACATGCAAGGGGATCCTTTTTGTCCAAAACCAAATCCCTTTCTCTCATTCTCTCTCACACCTCAGAGGAATCCAACCACATTGGAAAAAAAAAAACAAATTCTTCCCTCCCCCTATTGGCTTAAGCTCATACGATGCTTAAGACTAAGACTTGTCAATCTTGCAACAAACATCAGACAGGACAACCATCTATCTTCTTTTACATTTGGTCATATGGCATGCTTCAATCTTCATTTTCTAGTCTCTCACATGATTGACTATGCAGCATGACTAACATCACACAAACCATTTGCCAAAATTACCCAAGTAGTCACAGCTCCAAAAAATGGAACATGAGCAGCATGCATATTGATCCCTGCCGCGCTATAGCTAGCACATTAAAGTAAGAATGGAACTCAAAAGAACTGAATCCTTCATTTCTAACCATGAATAATATTTTAGTACAAAACTTATTGATGATCCAAAATCTTTTTGAAGGAGCTACTAGAGGGAGATCCTGCCTAAATCTTAATTGCTATATTTTCATACTGCATGTTCCTTTGATTTCCCTGTATACTCCATCAAAAAATGTTACATTTAACTATGATTTTTCTACTATCTAGCTAACTGAGATTCTAGTTTGATTATTACAACATAGTCAACAACCTCGTCTAGAAGCCTTTGCATCCCAAGAAAATTAGAAAGACATTGATTCTTGATAGAACGCTAAATATATTAAGGACCTAACTGCAATTACAAGAGGGCCCAACTGTAATTTGTGGTTGGACTAGAAAGTTATTGCCACATATATGGTTTAACAGTCACCTCCACTATCTGCACAATTGTCTCCAACAGCCTACAACGGCTGCTTGGTTCCGTCCCATAAAAGGATTGGATGACAAAAGGGACTCTTTCTCAATTATAATTCTACAAGAAAACTATACCTAAAACAACTATAAAATCACATAAACACAGTGAACCATAAAAATCACCACCTAATTTGATAAATAAATTACATTGGTTGCTAATCACCTCTAGTTTTTTTGTCATTCTTCCATTGTGAAAAGACAATTAGGCAACTTTACAAAATCCTTACCTCCATGTTTTATCACAGAAAACAATAATTAAATGATAGGAACACACACCATTCAGTAGCTTGAGATTTGCAAAAAAATCAAATCTAACAAATCGTCTAACTCCTTCAACTGACTGCAATCACTTTTACACCATAGAATATCTCCTACCTGTTGGTCCTTGTCACCCTTATACGCAAATGCTCTTCCCCCCTTCTACTTGTCAAATACCAAAATTTCTCTAGTGCTCTAGAACCTTTTAAAGCACTTAAAAACCAGGCCATTCCTGTTACCATACATTATTGATTTTAAGTAAGATTTTATCGCTCTCAAGAAGAAATCTTGAAAGAAAAGCAAAATTAGCCCTCATTTCTCCCAAGCTAAAACCTAGAGATCAAGCAATAACCAGGTGTTCAAAACTTCAACAATGCAATAACTTTTTATCATCATATAATCAACAATCACAACCCAAATATCCTCAAAACATCACAATAAAGTAAAATAAAATCTGAAATACCTTAATATAAACAAGGCAGAGAAGAATAAATCATTCAGCTTCAGCTGCCTCCACCTTGGGACCTAATACGCAAAATCAACCAATTAATTATAAATAAACCAAACAAAATAAAAGTTTAATCATCTTCCTTCCGATCAGTTCAAATTCCATCAATACTCAAAACACGAGAAGGAAGAAGAAGTACCATGGAGAGAAATAGGACGATGGTCCTTGCCCCAACCAACGCCGCGAGTGGCATCGAGGTATTGATGAACGAGGTGGCGACACTTCTGGAGGTGGTTGACGCCTTCGATACGATAGCACCACTTGAGTTTTTCTCTCAAGATCTTGGCTTTCTCTATATCGATCCACTTCTCTCTCACAATGTGCTCCCTCATCTCCAGCATCGCCACTGGGTCCTTGTACGGATTCGATGGATCGAAGTCATCCGGCGGCGATTCCTCGAACTCTACTACTCCCTTCTTCCTTCCCATTTTTCGCTGCTTCTCTCGACACAGTAACACTCAACAGCTTTAGCTATTTTGTCTTTCGTTTTACTTGAGCTCTGATTTGGTGGGACGCGGTGTACATGAGATTTGTGAATGTTGGATTTGGATCATGGTTTTGGATTGGACTTGATTTTGGACGGTGGATTTGGGTCATAATCAAACTCTGGGCGAAGCCCCGAAGGTAAAGTGAGAGAGGAAACTTTTCCCTCAGTTTCTGTATGTCGTATCGACGTATAAACGACAGGAGGAAGTTTACTTTCTCGTTTCCTGTCAAAAATTACGGATTTTTTTAAAATAAATATTATGATTCAATTATTTAATTTCCAATCAATATAAACAGTCGATTAAAACCTTCGGTGGGTGAAGTTAGATTGGTTTGTTGAACGACGGGTCATAAAAACCTTTTATTTTAATAATAAAAAAATTATATATTAAAAAAAAAAAAAAAGAATTTATCCGACCCATAACTTGTGTCTTCTAAAAAACAAGAGAAGCTAACTAATAGAGATGGCTTTCCACAAGAATAAAAGACGGACCGGAACTATCGGGTTATAGACACGTGGCAAAAACCCACATGATTTCAGACATATTGAGAGTTACACTCCTACTTTCACGCACTGTCTCTTCAATTCTCTCTGAGACTCAAAAGACCAACGGTACACGGAATGCCAAACAAACCTAACTAAAAACCAAACCAAACAAAAAGGATTCTTAGAAAAAATTTTAAAAAAATAAATAAAAAATCTAAGTCTAATAAAAAAAATTCTTTTTTTTCACCCCATGACCAAGACAAACCTTCATTCTTACCTTAAACAACAAAAACAACAACAACGTGCATAGCTTCACCTCTCCAGCTCTCTGTTGCCTCAGGTTGGTTCTCTTTTTTCTCTTCACATTTTGGAGTTTTTTGGCTTATGTTTCTTGTAGGTTTTTGTCTTTAATGTTATATAACATTTTTGAATCTTGATTTCTTGATAATTCCTTCTTTTCTTTGTAGCTATGTTTGATCATTCTTTTTTTTCTGAATCAATGTTTGATCATTCTTGATTATATACAGTTTCCATTTATTCTAGTGTGTGAATGGTGAGATGTTTTTGCTCCTTATCTTGTCTGTTTTTATAATGTCTGAAGCTGTTGATGTTTAGTTTCAATTCCTTATATAGTTTCTAAAGAAATTGGATATAGAAATTCTGATTTGCATGTCATAATCTTATATAAGTTCTTCAACGGGGCCACATTAGTAGGAATTTCATATTTCTTTTTCTGTAAACTTTTCACCTTTTTATGTGACTGTTGAATCAATCAATCTTCTTGATGGCTAATTGATTATTTGAAACTTGTCCTCCTCTCCTTTTAAAACTCAAATTTATGTGAGAATTATTTTCTATACTTGTAAATTTGTGCTTCTTGAAAGAAAATTCTATTTATATTGTTTACTTTCTTTTTCCTTCTTTTTCTCAGTGCTTAATCTATTTTTCTGTTCTTTTCTCTTCTCAAGGGCTATAAATCTTACTGCAACTGTTCAATTTATCATGAGTTTCTTCTCGTGATGAAAGTGTAATGTTTGAGCACGGTCCTATTCAATAATTTATGCCTTCTGCAACCCAGGTTTGCAAATTTTCATTGTTAATTATTCAAACATTGACAAATTATTAGGTAGGATGAGAGCATGGGCACCGCATATATTGGGGCACTTCCATGTGATTTGAAAGGAGCATATCCTACTTGATAATTTCTTTTATGTAAATGTAGTATATTTTACCTATGAAACATGACAGGATCCGAAGTTAAGGATTTTTTTTTTTTTGGTTTTTAGTGTGTTCTTCAGAGGAATGATCTAGGTATTGGATCCATAATCCCAATATATAAGCTAGTGGATGTTATTGTTTAGATGCTTGCCAAAGGCATTAATGGCTCTTTATTTGCAACCAACCATTTGAGACACAGGCAATTGAGATGTTCATATTTAATCACTTTTACAGGACTGCTTATGACATTCTTGGGGAATTGCATATTGACCGTGTTTTCATACTTGGTTTTCAAGCTAAATGCCCCTTCCCAACTTCTGTTATGAATTCAATGTCGGATCAATTCGTAAAACAATGTGGAAGAATCAATAGTGGAAGATTTTCAAGTAGTTCAGATGTTTTTGAACCAACAATAACCTTGAATGAAGACATTGAGGGTATGCAATAATATTGAATTGGTTTATAGCTTTATCTACGCTTGTTTACTAATAGAATTAAGTTTCTTCTTTCTTTAATTTCTTATTTTTTTCACCTACTTCCAGCAAAGCAACAAATAATATTGATAGAGTGGATAAATAGTATCCTCCCTAATTTGGATCTGCCATTAAAAGCTTCATCTGAGCAATTCAGAGCATTCTTGATTGATGGCATTGTTCTACTTCAAATTATAAACAAGCTTATTCCTGGTTCTGCAAATGAGGTTGCTGATTTGTTTTTCGACTGTCCTTTCTTTTGCTATTCTATGCGTTGGCAATTTGGTTTGTAAGTTTATATTGCATTTTCTCTTTAAGGGAGGTGGCTCTGATCACTTGGAAAATGTTAAAAAGTTTCTGGCTATTATGGATGAATTAGGAATCCCCCGATTTGAAATATCAGACCTAGAGAAGGTAAACTGACATTTATATGAGTTATTCTTCTGCATGAAATAATTTATTCATATGAAGTTATGAACATTTGATTGCTATGTAAAATTTAACCATGGTTGATTTTAAAAATCAAAAGATACTAAAAGTTTCATAGTTATCCTATAGTTAATTTATCTCATTCTCTAACTGTGCATTGAGATTAATTTTTGCAGGGACCTCTGAAGGCTGTTACTTTTTTTTTTTTTTTTTTTGGTTTGCAATATTTTTGTGTTCAATTTCTGAAAACTTAAATGTTGATTTTTTCTTCCTCCACAGAGGCATCAACTGCATTGATGCATCATGCTGGACATAAGTTTCATGAGGTGTTTCAATTAAAACAGGGGCGTTATGCAGATCTTTCTGCTGCAAAGATTTCTGAGATGATGAAATCCAACAGTTTGGATGTAAGTTGTCAAACATTGTCGATGGACATTCCTATTTATTTCTTTCTTTTTACTAGTCTTTCTGTTGAGAATTTTTTTCAGATCCCTTTTCAATGTCATTTTAAAAACTTGTTTGCAGAATGCTCCAACTCAGTCACTTTTGAGTGTTGTGAATGGAATTCTAGATGAAAGCATTGAACGAAAGAATGGCGAAATACCTCATGTATGCAATGGGGGAGGCATATTAGTGTAACACAGTTTATTATATATATGAATATTATATGTACATACTGCAATGAATTTGGTGCATGTGTATGTAGTTCTACGTGTATCTAATATTACTTTTCTGAACAGCGAGTAGCTTGCCTTCTGCGAAAAGTTGTGCAGGAGATTGAACGGCGGATATCAACTCAAGCAGAACATTTAAGAACTGTAATGATGTTTTGTTATTTTGCATATAATGGTTTTCCCTTGGCATCTTTGTACCAATTGCTTTATCGTTCAATGCTTACAGCAAAACAACTTGTTCAAGTCACGCGAGGAGAAGTACCAATCAAGAATTAGAGTACTTGAAGCCCTTGCTTCTGGGACGGGAGAAGAGACTGGGGTATGGAAAATGGTATTCTTTTAGATAGCAGAAATGGAAATACCTCCAATACATATGATCGCAGTAATTTTTTAGTTAATTAAATGAATGCAATTTGTTGCAGATAGTTAAGGGCCACCTTCAACAAATAAAGGTATGGTTTAAAGAAAACAAGAATCAGTTTATATGTAAACTGGACAGTTGAACTTCTTGTATCTGATACATTTTGCAGGTATAAAGCTTTTTATTTCCTAAACGCTCTTATATTTGTATCATGGGATCTTGTTTCTCTTGCAGAATGAGAAGGCCAAAATTGATGAAAAGAAGCCAATTGAGGATGAACATGTGATACAATTGATGAAAGAGAAGGAGCAAATAGATCTTGAACTTTCGATGTTGAAGAAAGAGTTAGAAATTTTAAAAAAGACACTTGAACTTGAGAGGTCCAAAATGGATGAAAAAAGGGCATCTGCGGAAGGAGATGTTAAAAAATTAATGGAAGATAGGGAGCAAACAAATCTTGAACTTTCAATGTTGAAGCAAGAATTAGAAATAGCTAAAAAGACACTTGAACTTGAGAAGTCCAGAGTGGATGAGAAAATCATGCGCCAGGAGGATGATGTGATAAAATTAATGAAAGAAAAGGAGCAAATGAATCTTGAACTTTTGGCACTGAAAGAAGAATTGGAAATGGCCAAAAAGACACGTGAACTTGAGAAGTCCAAAATGTATGAAAATGGGAAACTTGAGGATGAACACGTGATAAAATTGATGAAAGAGAAGGAGCAAACAAATCTTGAACTTTCATCGTTGAAGCAAGAATTGGAAGTTGCCAAAAAGATGTATGAACTTGAGAAGTCCAAATTGGAAGACGAGAAAGACAAACTTAAGGATGAAGATGTGATAAAATTGATGGAAGAGAAGGAGCAAATAAATATTGAACTTTCATCATTAAAGGAAGAATTGGAAATAGCCAAAAGAACACATGAACTTGAGAAATCCAAATTGGATGAAAAGAGAAAACTCGAGGAGGAAGCTGTAATTAAACTGATGAAAGAGAAGGAACAATCAAATATTGAACTCTCAGCTTTGAAGCAAGAATTGGAAATGACCAAAAAGACATATGAACTACATTGCTTACAAATGGAAACAGAAGCTAAGGACGCTAAAGCAGAATTTGAGGAGAGGCTAAAAGAGCTTGGGCACCTCCTGGAAGACTCAAGGAACAAGGTGAAAATGCTTGAGGCGTATTCTGAGTCACAAAATCAAAGCTGGAAAAAAAAAGAACTCATTTTCCAGAGTTTGACAGGGATTCAATTTGGTGCATTGGAGGTATTCTTTTCACCTTCTAGATTTATATTATTTAACAACATTAATTTTCGCTAAATTTATGAAAAATGTTTAGGAATTGAGGTTGTCTTCAGAGTGCATCAAGCATGAACTTTCAAAAGCACAGAAGAGATACTCAGATGAATTTAATATTCTAGGTTGGTTGATTTTTGCAAAATTTTGTCAATTCTATGCTAGGGAAGATGATTTGTTTTAAATATTAAGTTTTGATCTCTTTCAGGATTAAAGTTTAAAAAACTATCAGATGCAAGTGAGAACTATCATTTGGTTCTTGCTGAAAATCGGAAGCTGTTTAATGAACTACAAGATTTAAAAGGTGCCACTCCTTGGTTTTTGCTCTACATGATTGTAAATTCTACAGTTTTCAAGATAATTTTTCAATTTTAGTTTTGTGATACAGGAAACATTAGAGTGTATTGTCGGGTAAGGCCATTGCTTCATGGGCAGGCTGGAAAACGAACAACAATAGATTATATTGGTGAGAATGGAGAGTTGGTTGTTGCGAATCCCTCCAAACAAGGGAAGGATGGCCATCGATTATTTCGGTTTAATAAGGTCTATGGTCAAGATAGTACTCAAGGTTTTCATCTCTGCATTTTTCAATTTTTATATTACTTAATTGAATGCTAAATGTTGCTGTATATTTCTGAAAGCATGTTTGGCGATTGAAATTAATTTTTGGAAAAGCACCATTTAGATGCTATTATAAAAGGCAGTTTGAGAGTGTTCTTTAACAATTTTGTGATTACAATATGTGAAATTCACTTTCAAAATAAACTTTAATGATGCTGGGAAATGAAGCGACCAATGTGGTTAGGAATGACTGTGATATAATTTAATATGCTGATCTTTTTTGAATGTTGCTAGCGGAGGTATTTTCAGACACGCAACCCTTGATACGATCTGTTCTTGATGGTTATAATGTATGCATATTTGCTTATGGACAGACTGGTTCAGGGAAAACTTACACGATGGTATGAATTCGCCACATGTTTTCACTACTGTTATTTTATTCAACTTTTGATTCTAATGCAACTTGACCTTCTATTGTAGACCGGTCCTAATGGAGCAACCCCAGAACAATGGGGGGTTAATTATCGAGCACTCAATGATCTTTTCCAAATATCTCAGAATAGAAGTGGCTCCTTTACGTATGAAGTCTGGGCACAAGTGTTCGAAATATATAACGAACAATTGCGTGATTTACTATCAAGTGACAGTTCTCATAAAAGATATCCTTTTCAATTAGGTTCATGAACTCTAAATGACGTGTTAGTCTTTAATTTGTTTTTGAGTTTTGCATCGGATCTTCGAATCACCTCTTCTCATATAAACTTGAATTCTGCTTTAAGTTATGGATACATTTTTTATACTTTCTAGCACATCTACTCCATTTTTGCTATTGAATTTGCTTTTATTTTACAATGTTCTTGAAACTTTTGTTTCCCTTGATTTGCACACACTTGGGATTAAGACATCATCCCAAAGCAATGGGTTGGCTGTACCTGATGCTACCATGTACCCCGTCAGATCAACCTCAGATGTTATACAACTAATGGACATTGGACTAAACAACAGAGCTGTTAGTGCCACTGCCTTGAATGAAAGAAGCAGTCGTTCACATAGGTTCTCATAGTTCCTACCATACCATATTTTTCTTCAACTTATTAAAAACATTTGAGATTTTCATTTATATTTGTGCATACAGTGTTGTCAGTATTCACGTTCGCGGAAAGGACATGCACACTGGAGCAACTTTGCACGGTAATCTTCATTTGGTGGATCTAGCAGGAAGTGAAAGGGTAGATCGCTCAGAGGTAACCGGAGATAGACTTAAAGAAGCACAACATATAAACAAATCCTTATCTGCCCTTGGAGATGTCATTTTTGCTCTTGCACAAAAGAGTTCTCATGTACCTTATAGAAATAGCAAGCTCACTCAACTCCTTCAAGCCTCCCTAGGTATCATTTTTTGATGGCTTGCAACACAGTTAAGCTTAGATTTAAACTAAACGTATATATTTTGTGATTTTTCATGTTACAGGAGGTCAAGCAAAAACACTTATGTTTGTGCAGCTCAATCCTGATGTAAATTCATACTCCGAAACTATGAGTACATTGAAATTTGCAGAAAGAGTCTCTGGAGTGGAGCTCGGCACAGCTAAAAGCAGTAAAGAGGGTAGAGATGTTAAAGATTTAATGGAGCAGGTTTGTTTGATGTTGAATGCCTAATTTTAATGAGACCAGGATAGTATATCAGTCTTGCATAATCTGTCATTCTAATTCACCCGGTAGACCAATATGTACGAAGAAGCATTGAAAGATTTTTTTGTTGGTACATCAGAAAGAGAGAATTAAACTAGGAAAATGAGTTTCATAAATTAATTTTTCATTCTGCAACAACTGCGCTGGCAGACCGCTAACAATGCTACTGCAGGTGGCATCTCTAAGAGACACAATATCAAAGAAAGATGGGGAGATTGAGAGATTGCAACTAGTTAAAGATCTTAAAAATGTTCACCCTGGATTGAATGGTGAGAAGCAAGGAACAAGCTTATCAAAATATGGAAACCAAAGACAATCGGCAAAAGCAACTTATGATAATGACAACTGTTCAGAAAGCAGTGATAAGCATTCGGAAGCTGATTCCCAGCAGTCTCTAGATGACTTAAAACAACAAAACAGATTCCTCAAGCAGATAAAATTTTCTGGAGTAGACATAAACCAAGACACCGAAATGCAAGGATATGGTGATGCAGACCGTGATGATAGACTAAGTGACATTTCTGATGGTGGTCGTTCTGCAGGTACTGAACCTGCTTGCTTAACAGATGAAGGCACAAAACTTTTGGATAGATCCGAGAGGTGAGTATTGCATAAAATTCTTAGAAAGAGAAATGGAAAAAAAATGGTTTTGAATTTAATTTTCCATGGATTTGGGAATGATTTGCCATAATTATTCAAATATGTATATCTTTACCTTAAAAATGAGAAAACAGACAATAGAAATGATAAAATTATATTCATACAACTAAAGAAACTATCTTTATGCAGAAGTAAGGCGCTACCTAGGGCAAGAAGCATGCAAAGATTAGGACATACTACACCGGTATCAAAAGACTCGTCGAGAACAGTAACAAGTGAGTAATTAACAGAAAAGTATTTCCTTTAGGGATTATTAGTTAATATACCTAACACTTCATTTCCCAATGATGCTCCTTTCAGGTACCCGAAAGCCTGCTGCTACTACTACTGCTGCTGCTACTAACTCCACCGCGGTGAGGCCTCCTAAAAGATGGCAGTAAATTAGTAAACACGAATCAATTAAAAAAAAAAAGTTATATTCAATACACATTGCACAGGATTCCTTTATTCAGGTTGTAAATTTGCTCACCAATTTTGAAGTGTCATGTAGATTTATACTCATAGATACGTTAATCGATTAGGCTTTGTTCTCCCCACTTGCATGTCTCAATGTCATGGTGGGCATTTTTGTAATAGTCAGAGTCCAAAAACAAAAAAAGAAAAGAATTCTAGGTTTGTATTTTTCCTGTTGAATTCATCAGGCTGTAAATTACTTACTGATTAATTGAATCATGTACATATATGTACTTTTATACCTCTCAAAAATAACAGTCCAAGTAGAATTTATCTCATTAGTGTTTGTTCCCTCAATTCTTAGCCCTAAATTACATATGAAATGGTGTGTTTTTCGATTAATCGGAATTTCATTTTCAATATGGTTTAAGTATGATTGTGATTTCTTCTTGAAAAAAATAATTAATAAATAATTTTCTTTTCACTTATATTTTTTTTCATATTTCTTCTTGGCTTGTCTGTCTGTCAAAAGATAAGGAATTATGGGAATGACAGAGTTTATAGCACCAGAAATATCAGAACCCTGTTTGTGCAATGAAGAAGATGTATGTTCCTGCTTTGTTTGGATTGAAACAAACATGTATGGATGACAACACACAGTCAATGTTTGCCAGGCAGACCATAATAATTATAAAACGACGTGCATTTGATTGACTTGCCATTTCTCCAAGTTTTCTGCCTCGGTTCCCCTGCCATAATGTCAATTCTTAATGGATTAATTGACTATTTAATCCTTGAATTTTTCTCGAAATTACTGTTCCATCTTTGTACTTGGTAAAATTACCTATTCATTTTTAAGATATTTAGTTCTATTAAATCATTCAGACTCTTCATTTTAAAAAATATCAATAACTGTAATTTATGCAAATGAGGGGCTTTTTGCAATGTCATAGAGTAAATTAAACCAAAAGATAGATTTTACACTATGTTTGGAAAAGGGAGGAAGGAAAATAAGGATTGATTTTATTATTCATTTCCTACCTTATTTTCCACCCTATATTCGGGAAAGGGAGGAAAATAAATAAGAAGAAAGAAAATAAAATTATTTTCTTTTGTTTGGAAAGAAAATAATATTATTGTAAATTTATATTTTTATTCATTATACATCTATAAATTAGACATTATAACACATTTTATAATTAAATTATAATTAGTTAATTATTTAATTAATTATAATGAATTAATCGTTTATAATTGAAATCATTGCAAGGTGTGCATGCATCATATTTTACATCTAAAAAAATGGAAAAAAGTAACATAAAAACATAAAGTTAGACAAAATTAATTAATGTTTAATGCCTTTAAATAACCAGTATTCAAGCTTGAATACTGATAATTATCAATCGATCAATGACACTATTTATGAAATATCCCAAAAATTGGTTTTCATATATTTTCCATTTAAAAATTTATCCCTAATTGCAACCTATGGGATTATATAATGAAATTTAAAATAAAATATTTTATTATTGTTAAAACGGATCTGTAAAATCAGTTTGAAATCTTCAAACCGGATAAAAATCAGACTAAACCATTGAGTTGGATCAAATCGGTTCGAATCGAACCTGAATAACCTAGAGGCTCTTTTTCTTTTCTCTTCTTTTTCTTCTTCTTTCTTCCTCTGTCACTCTCAGCGGCACCGATCCCTCTCTCTCTTCGATTTCTCAGCCATCACCTTAGCTGACCGGCGTTGAACCAGTTGCAGTCCATCTCCTCCTCACCATCACGCCGCTGGTCCCTTTCTCTCTCCCTTTCCTTTCTAGTTCAATGTCGCAAGCGAGAGGAGCTGCGATTTCGATCGACAGCTCTCTCTCTCTCTCTCTCTCTCTCTCTCTCTCTCCTTCGCGTTTTTCCGGCGAGCTTCACGCGATCAGTCGACTGTATCCTTCTCCGTCGACGACGAGGCTTGAAAGCAACTCTCTCTTTCTTTTTCCGGCGACGTAGCAGGGAAACGCTGCGATTTCCCTATCGCTAGTGTGGTTCTTGTCCACTTTCCGGCGAGACTAGTTGAAGGCCAGCCGTTTTGGCCCTTCCCCGCCACCGAAAGTTCCACCAGCCACCTCAAGTTGTCTTTTCGGCGAACACAGCTGCTGTTTCCGGCCAAGCCAACCAGGCAGTGTAGCAGTTTGGGTATTTCCTGGTAGAAGAGTTTGCTCAATTTGGGGCTATTAAAGTAATTTCATCTTGAATAGTGAAATTTTCACCCCCTCTATTGCCAATTTTCCTTCCAATTTGGAGTGATTACATCTGGGTGGGCCCAGGAGGAAAATACCCATTAAAATCATTCCTTCCTAAACAAGAGAAAGTAACTTTTCCTTCTTATTTTCTACCCAAATTTTCCTTCGTCCCGTTTCCAAACAGAGTGTTAATCTTATTTTTCCTCAATTACATGCAGAGATATTCCAATTGTTTTACTGAACAGTAAGAAATTTGATACTGTAGTTAGTTACCCATTAAAATAAAATGTTCCAAGCTGTTCTACGGCGTCGTTTTTCCACGGAAATCTTACTTGGGAAAGAGACCGATAAAGCCGCAAAATAGTAGATTGCTGTTCAAACGCCAATCAACTATTAGGGTTTTAATTTTCGAATCTAGATTGTAAAGATCAACCTCCATTATATTGAATCTGAAGTCCATTTGCAGAAAGTGTCTCTTCTTCTTTTATATATCGATTTGAGAAGATGCCATGGCAGCTCCTCGTGGGCCAAAACTCTCAGGAATGCAAAAGCAAGTTCTTAGCTTATATAGAGCATTTCTACGAGCTGCTCGTTTAAAATCACCTGAAGATCGGCGCCAAATTGAATCGATTGTATCATCTGAGTTCCGCCGCAACTCCACGCAAGTAGATCGCAAGAATTTCCTCTATATTGAGTATTTGCTTCGCCGGGGTAAGAAACAGCTTGATCAGATCAGGAGTCCTGATACTGTTTCATTGTCCTCTTTCGACCTCAAGAAGCCTTGAATTTCAATTTGAGATAATACTGATTTTAATTGTTTTTTTCATTATTGGGGGAAAGAATTACCTAATCGTGGTCTGCTATTCATTTAAGAATTGGGAAAAAATGTTACCAAATTTCTTCCAGATTCTTGAATGGTGGTTGGGTTTAAACTTGGCAACCAATACCCTATTTTGAATGTGCGCGACTGCAATTTGATAATTTCAAATGACATTGATGTGTAATGTGTTGTTGAAGAGGCTAATAAGGTTAAAGGGGTTTCTCCTTTTATTGTTTGTTTTGAGTATTGATAAATTTTTTTTTTTATTTATTTGTGTGTTTTTTGTTTTATGCTTACTACCCTTATCAACTGGGAAACTGTAATGCTCGATGGGTTTTGGGGTGGTTTTCGGCAGGGGAAAGAGAATGGGTGTCTTTTGTGGAATGGAGTTTTGAGATATGAGAATTTAGCCTATTGGAACTTTTCAGCTTGGAGTAAGGGCATAAAAAAAAGTTGTTGGGTCCTAAATCTGTGAACACTGGTGTGAAACGAAGGTGAGTAGGTGTTGGTTTTTTTATGGGAATATTTTAAGCATCTGTGATATGCCTACTTTTCTTTTTCTTTGAGATGAGAATGTCTTATTTTGCTAATCCTTTAAATAAGAGTTTTCAAGTGTTTTTGTTTGGATATCTTAACATTCATAGAGTTTGTAAAGAGTACCTGAACTTTGCAGATAAACTATTTAAGAAGCTATTCTCTGGGCCTCTTTTTCACTAGATCTTTTGGGTTTCTGGCACAGAAAATTGGGAAACCAAAAAAGAGTACAAATACAAGTCCAAGTCCCTTGATCCATTGAACAAACTTAATCAAAATTCAAAAGTATATTAGCACGCAGTTGGGCGTTTTCAGTCATTTTCTTCTTATATTTATATTTATATATATATCTCAAGTACCATGGTTCAGTGTTGATACGGAAATGGCATTTTTCAAGGACAAGTTTTTGAGTAATCATTGCTTAAATGACGTGAAATGCCATCTTGTTATGGATATACAAATACTAGAATTTATGGCATTTCTCATTTTTTATCTTTTGAAACTTTTATTTTTTCTTCCTGTGAATTAAAGCCAGAACCTAAAGAATTGTTATTTAATTGATTAAAAGTTTATTTAGTAGTGAGGAGGAGGCAAATGCAGTGGAATGGTAGAGTGGTTGTCCTACGTTATTATTAATTTACATTACATAATTACAACAAACAAAATAATGGGTGTATTAGAATGTTGATTACATTATGTTTTTCATTTATTACATATTGCAAATAATAGGTTTATTTTAAAATGGTCTCAAAGGGTGATATATTTCTGTGGTAAAATCTGGCTCAAGTTTTGTCCTAATTAGATTGAGGTGAAAAAATTTAAAGGGAGATAGATTAATTCTTATTGTACAGCTCATCTAACAAATAAGAACCGAAAAAAGAAAAAATTAAAAAGAAAATAGAATGAAGCACATCAAAGTATAGTCCGGTGATAAGTGTATATATGACCTGACAATAAATTTAGGTATACAATAAATTTAGGTTTGATACCGGATTATAAATTTAGGTTTTTCTTTTTTTTTATTTTATTTTATAATTTAGCCTTTCTTTTCATTAATTTATGTGATTGTCCAGACTTCACAAATCTATTGGGCTTGGCCCATCAAAATAATTTCCAACAAAAATTACAAAAGTGTATATCAGTCTCTTCCCTCTTTAAACAACCACCTCTAATTATTTCCGTTCGCAAAGGAACAAATTTTTTTCAACCAACTCTACATGGCAGCATTTTATTTTTTGTGGATGTTGAATCCAAGAACTAGCTAAAATTTTTGATAATTAAGATTTTTCTTCTACAAAAATATTATTGGCCACAATTATGGTGGGGCTTATTGTGGGACATAAAAGTTAAATGAGTGTGAATATGATGGTCTGCCAAGCAATTGACTCATAAAGCATTTTGGAACTCAAAATTAAATTTTGCATATAAGCCGTTCCTTCCTTATCATGGTATGTGACACTGTATCATCATCTCAACGACATTGAATCCAAAACAAATATATAAAGTTGACTCATAAGCATTTTGGAAAACTCAAAATTAAAATTTTGCATATAGCCGTTCCTTCGCTTATCAATGGTATGTGAGCACTGTATCGATCACTCAACGACCATTGAATCGCAAAAGCAAATATATCAATTATATATAATATATATTAGTATAGTATATATATATATAGTGATATAATACTAAATATTCTAATATATCAATAAGCATATAATCTATGCGTTTCAATTATTTAAATTACGTAAGGCCATGGCTGAAATAAAATAATATAATACACTAAATATTCTTAATATACAATAACATATAATCTATGCGCTTTTCAATTATTTAATTACGTAAGCCATGCTGAAATAAAATATGAATCATCAATAATATTTATTATTATATTATGTTTCATTATGAGCTCATCAATAATATCAATATCTTTTTCTAATATTTATTAATATTTATTATAATAGGATGAAGTAAGATTATTTTTGGTTACTATATTTAATTTTATATGTTTGTTGCAAAGGGAAAAGACAGGTAAATGCTTAGGATAGTCATACAATTGCTATAAGAACCTCAAGATGGGGGCCCTTTTCATTTTAGCCCATAACTCTTTAACAATATATGTTATGGGACTTAATACTTTGAAGTTCCTTTCAAATAAAAATCTTATTCCTCAAAATAATATAAAATCTTACAACAATAATAAAATATTCACATTTCCTATGCCCCTCCAAATAATTCCAAAAGTGAATAAAACAAACATCACTATAATAGGGTAATTTTGTAATATTTTTTAAAAGAATTGAAATATCTAAAATAAAATGGAAAAGGAGCTGTCTATACTCTCAAAATGAAGGGCCATAAATCACTTCACTTCTCAATTGAGATTAGATAAGGTTCTTATACACATTGCGCCACGTGTCGCCCCGAGAGGGGTGCCAAACGATAAGGCTAACATTTGATTTGTGTGGCCATGATAAGATCCAACAGCTTATTGTCCTAAAAATCAAATAACAACCGTTGGATTAGAAATGCACCCCAAAAAACGACAAAGTATTAGACACAGTAACGATTATAAAAAGGGGCAAAGGAAGAGGTCTTCTACCATTAGAGGCTGTTTTCGCTGTATAATAGTTAATAGTAAAGAAAAACAAAAAAAATGGCTTCTTCGATGCTCTCAACTGCTACTGTGGCTAGCATTAACAGGGCCAGCCCTGCTCAGGCCACCATGGTTGCTCCATTCACTGGCCTCAAGTCCACCGCTGGCTTCCCCGCCCGCAAAACCACCAACGACATAACCTCTATTGCCAGCAACGGCGGCAGAGTCCAATGCATGAAGGTGATTATCAATTGTTACTGCATTTCATAAAATTAATAATACATTCAAAGAATTTTCAAATGGATAATATTGTGTTTAATAAGTGAATTTGTTAAGTTTAGAATGTTTATTTATATTTAATTACAATTATTATTTAGAATGTTATAACTTATAAGACATACACTCAATTATTATAATTATTAGCAAAATGGCAAATTTGAATTTCAGTTTCAAAAGTTTTAAAAAATTCTGTATTATTGTGAGTTTAGGTGTGGCCTACACAAGGATTGAAGAAGTTTGAGACTCTCTCATACCTTCCACCACTCACCAGGGAGCAATTGGCTAAGGAAGTTGAATACCTTCTCCGCAGTGGATGGGTTCCTTGCTTGGAATTCGAGTTGGAGGTGATCATTTCCAAAACCCTCCTTACAATTTCAATTATATATATATATATTTATGAGCTTAACGGAGAAGAATTGACGTACATAGCCGTCTCTTTCTCAGCTCGAACCGATGACTTTTTAATATCGTAAGTAGTATCGTTACATATACTCGAATAGCTAATAATGTGCTTTGTTTTCTTTGATGGTAGCACGGATTTGTGTACCGTGAGAACAACAGATCACCAGGATACTACGATGGACGCTACTGGACAATGTGGAAGCTGCCCATGTTTGGATGCACAGACGCAGTTCAGGTCTTGAACGAGCTTGATGAGGCAATTAAGGCTCACCCAAATGGCTTCGTTAGGATCATTGGATTCGACAGTTATCGCCAAGTGCAATGCATTAGTTTCATTGCCTACAAGCCTAAGGGCCTCTAAGCAATGCCTTTGAATTATTAAACCCTACCTGCTTCGTTCTTCTTTTTCTTCCTGTATTTTTTTTTTGGAAATGCAATTTGTTGAACATTATCTTTGTGGGTTTTGTTGATTTAGGATGCTTTTGAAATACTTTTGACTTTTCTTCCTTCCTTGTGTTGCTTTTTTTTTAAGTTTCTTATCGGATGGATTAGTATCGATCTGGTATGGAATGAAATGGAATGCAATGCAATGCAATGTTTGAGAATAAATTTATAAATCTGTGAGTATTCTAAATTTAGTTTGTAATTTGTTATCATAGATATATTTTTTTATTACTAAATAATTAAAATTTTATATTAGAAAAACAATTTCTTTAAAATGAAATTAGATGTGAATGAATATATTACAATGTGAATATCAAAAAACTTAACAATCTTGTAATTAGAGAGTTTTAGAAGAACAATAATTGATTATGAAACAAATGTTTGAGTGACTTAGATTCATCAAACACCTTTAATTAGAGATTATTAGTAGTTGAAGTATCTCTTAAACTCATCATCCTAAGCTATAAGTTCCACCGGAAATTCAACATATCCATCATCCTAAGCTAATAGTTAGATGAGTCACATATGACTTAGGAGATCTAACCTACACATCATCACTTAGACGAGGATGATATTTTGTGAGAAGCGAATGGCTATAGTCGTTCATCTTATCTTTACCACATTCAATCGGATGAGGTTGTTTTGATGATATATATGTGTGTGGTTCTAATTGCCTTGCTCAAAAGATAAAAATACCACTCCCTTTCTTTTCCCTCGTAAGATGGAGACATGTTGGAAAAATATTTTAGCCATTAAAAACTATTTAGGGTTTTAGTAATTGTTGCTGTTAGTTGACAGTTTTTTATATAATGGTTTAAATATTAATTATTTAATTAGCTGAACTCGAATAAAAAAAAAAACAATAGACATATCAATTATGGAAGTGTTTTCATAAATTTATCCCTCAGTTTCTAATATGTAAATAACTTTACAAGGTCTTGTTAGGTCAGTATTTTTTTTTTTATAAAACTTGGGCCTATTTTTGGACTTGAGCGTCCCACTCCCACACAATAGCAGCCCTCCTGTTTGGTGCTATAGCCCAACTCTTTGGGAGATAGTTAAGCACAAGCCTGAAAGTTTAGCCCAACCACTTAAAAGTTTTTCTTTAGTTTTAAGCTGTTGAATTATATTTAATTCAAATATCGCTTACAAATCCAATTAAACTAAAAAGTTATTTTTCATAGAGTTATATGAAATTCAATTGTTAATTTCATACTTATCATCTTTGGTAGAAATAAAATTTGAATTAAAATTTCAGTTTTAATTTTATAAAATTTATTATACTTAATATCAGTCGTATCAAAATTGATAAAATTTGTAAATAAACTCTATTAGAATTTGTATTTATAAAAATTTGATCTAATAAAAGTATAAGCTAATTGGTTTTCGTAGTAAAAGACATGGGAGTTGGAGGTTCCTCTCTGTCACATAAATTAACATCAATTTGGTGATTATGGTGCATTGTAATAAGATTATAAATTCATAATGAATTTTTTATTTAAAAAAAAAAACATGAGTTGTCTCTTTTATTTTTTAATTTAAAATTTAACTTATTTTGACGGAGGCGGATAGCGGAATATGTATATATTTAATTTTATGGGATTGACTATTAACTAACCCATTTGCTCCGATGACATCTCAATAAATAGTACTTTAATTTAAAATAAATGAATTAAAAAAAATAAGTTGACTATTGTAGAAAGAAAGAAATGTATTTATATATAGACAAATTACTTTATTTGTTTTAAAATATAAATCATTTTAAGATGATTATTTTTTATCAAATATAAAATATTTTGAGTATTTAAAGAAATAATAAATTATCTTTTTTCTGATTTTATCTTTATTTATATTAAATACAATAATTATCTTAATAACATATTTTTAATTTTGAGATAAATGGTAATTTGGTCAAATTAATTACTTATTTATATTAAATACAATAATTATCTTAATAACATATTTTTAATTTTGAGATAAATGGTAATTTGGTCAAATTATTTTTAATTTTGAGATAAAAGATAATCTGATCAAATTATTTTTTATTTTATCATAATTTAAAAAATTAAATGTTGATCGAATATTTTTAAATGATTTATATTTTGAAACGGGAGATATTATAGATTTAAAATTTAAAATTTAGAAAGAAAATATAGGTCATAGCCTCGTATGTAACGTCCAACTAGTCTAGCACAAACCCTTCCCTGCAAATGATCTTTCAACCACTAACTAACTGAACAGTTAACGCTATCAATCGATGCCAGCCAATTTGTTTTGCTTTTGCTCACCTTCAATAAATGCCCCCTTTCTTTAATAGAGAAAGAAAAGTTGGCTTTTTTACTTCCAAAATTAGAAAATAAATTCATCAAATTATTATGTAAATACTTTTAATTTCAAAAACTTATTATGATTAAGGTCTCATAGTTAGTTTAATTATAATTTATGTATCAATTTTTTTTTCACCTTAAAATTCTTTTCTATATAAAATTAATTTGGTCTTTTATTAGTTAATTATAATTTAACTATTGACCAAATGAATTTGGAATAGGTATGAGCAGTAAATTAATTATTCACTGTAGGTTTGAATTGGACGCGGGTTCAAAATGCGGCTACCCTATACTCACCAAAACTTATTATATAATTTAAAAATTTTAATAAAAAAAATTCAAGTGAAATGCATTTACCAAAACTAAAATGCATTTAATCCAAACTCAAATATCCAAAACTAATATCATCAAATACTAAAAAATTTAATTACCAAAATTAAATATTAAACGGCTAGAATTTTAGAATTAGCCTTCATTTATACTTTTTTTTTTCTAGTCTCACCCCTTACAAGACTCAGCCAACATCAATTATAATGGACTTGGTGAGATATTGTACATACAAGCAAAGTGGAGTTTGGTAGATATCCTATTAAACTCAACTCATTTAAATGTGGTTTGAGTATAGGTTAAATGAATATAGAACAGAAGAGGATATTAAAATTTAAAATGGGTATAGATATGGATACTTTAAAAGAAATTTTAAACGAGTTTGTGATAGGTATGAATATAGCGCTTAAGGTTAATAGATGCCTAAGGGGTCCAAGCATACTAAACTTATATTTGACCCTCTCAAAGCTTTAGGAAATTTTATTTGACTCTTTTAAATAAGTGTCCTCCATCCATCATTTGGTGTAAGTATTAAAATATTTAATCCAATTTAGATGTAGATAGTGCAAATTTTACGAGTACCCGTTCCACTTCCATTGTTAGTCAATTGATAATTGAAAAGGTTATTTTGAATGAAACGACTAATATGTTAACTGAACCGTAAATTAAAGACACCATAGTTACTTTTTTAAAATAAACATTCTCATATGTTAACTTGACTGTAATTGAAGAAATAATTTATATTTTTCCCTCAAAACATTTTCAAGCTTTACCCCACCCCCAAAGTATTGAACTTTTTTTGTTTTTGAAATTTGATGTTCTGAATTTAAAGAACTTCTGCCTAGATCCCTCTAGTTTTGGAGGATGGTTCACTCACCGGAGATGGTCATAGTTATAAATGCCAATCTTCAGAAATACATTTTCATGTATAAGACTCTGTTTCTTTATAAAGGATAAAGAAGTCCTGTTTGCGTATGCACAATGCAGAAACAAACCAGACCAAACACAACAAACACAAAATGCTCCACTTAAGACCCCAGTGTTCCTCTCTGCCCCATTTACAATAATTTATTGTCATTTTCCTCTTGTTTTCTCTTTTTATTGTATTGTGCTTCAAGATAACATTTGCCACCTCAAAAACGACACGTATGTATGTTCATTTTGCTTTTTTTATTTAACAACCAGTAGTGTGCTATGCGCAGTAAATATTTTTATCTATAATCTTAGAGATAATACGATAATTTCAATATCAATATCAATATATTATTATAATTATTTACTAATATGTAGTAATTATAATAATTGAATGATAATTAATATCAATATTTATATAATGCTATAACTAATAATTAAATTCGTTGTGGCACTTTCAAAATTTAAGAGTTCTACGTGACATTATAATCATATATGTCATCACAAAGAATTTTATGTTGCAAAACAAGAAAAAAACGTACATTTAAAAAATGTCATGTGCCAACTTCTCGGGTAAAAGAAAAAAACAGCTTATTAGCATAACTATACTGAATACTTTGTATCACGTAGAGATTAGAATCCACTTTTTTATGATTAATTTAAGTCATATTAAGATTTAGAACCAAACCTCAGTCTAACATCATCAACTCTCATTTTTTTTCCCCACAAAATACTCTTTATCTATTCCATAAAAGTGGGTATAGTTTGATTTCGATAAAAAAAAAGTGATCAATATGACTAAATTATGGAAAGAACTTATAACTGGAGAATTGAAATTGGATATAAACAACAAAAGGGTGAAAATGGATTTCCAAAATGCTAATCCTTTTTTCTTTCATATTACAATTACAAACAAGGATTAGATATAAACGAGACACGGAACTATTACAAAGGGATCCCACCCAAAGATCTAATCATCTCTATCTCTTTATAAACAAGAACAATAAACCTACCAAGAGAAACACTTGGCTCTCCCCTCCTCTTCTTATTTCTTCAAAATTAAACCTCTCTCAACAACTTTCATTACATGTACATATATTGAGAGAGCACAATGCCATAACTCACCAAGAAACACCAATAGACCTGTATTTACAACCAAAAAACAGAATTACACTAACATTGGTGCCATTTTTAGTTCTCTCCCTCTTAGACTCAAAATTTGTTAATCTCTGTTCCTTTTTTCATTTTTTTTTTCAACTGAGAGTTCATTCAATTCAATGTTCATGCCACGGCAGAGATGCTGCAATTTCGCCTATCTCTGCCAAGGCAATCAAAGCCTTCAATCCTCACTGCTGCAGGCGTATGCCCGAATTTCATTCGGACACACCCTCCTCCTTTACGAGCTGACGATGAAGATGGTGATGGTGGTGCAGGAGATAAAGGAGTCATCTTTCCATTGCCAAATTGAGCGTCTTGAACTACAGGATTAGATGCCCTACTGGGTGGTGATCCACAGTAAAATGGTGGAGATGATGCTACCTGGTAACCAGATCTTTCCCCACCATATCCTCCCTAGGGGAAAAAAAAAATTAAGGAGAAGCAAATAAGTTTCCTTTATTGCTTATAATATGAAAGCAATATATTTTCCCTTTTCATTTTTCATTGACATTTAAACAAACTGAAGTTCTAAATTAATTGGAAACAAGAAAGTTATGAACTTTAAATATGTCAAGTATTTTAGCCATAAAACTGCAAGGAGCAGTTGTCAAAGTAAAAATAACAACAACAAACACAAATTAACATCATCATCATCAACAACAATAAAGGGAGCTAACAGATGAGCAGCAAGAAATTTCCACCACAGTTTAGAAGAAAAACCGTTTTCCCTAATAAATTTTGCACAGAATTTTATACAAAATAAAATAAAATTATATAAGAAAAATATTTTCATGCTTTGGGTTACTGTTAATTTAAAATTAAAATAAGTGGGTGTTTAGCTCCTTAGCCAGTACTTTACTATTACCAGTTTTTGGATCATCAAACAGATTAATCTATGTGCCATAGTGGTGTTTTTTTTTTTTTTTAAATTTTTTTTTATTTTTAAATTCAGCTACCATACAATACTGTAAACTCTACAGAACTAATCAGCAAAACAGCAGCCAGGCAAACAGACAGATAGAGTTGAACCTTAGTGAGAATTAGGTCTAAAAGCTCAGCACCAGCCTTCGAATCTCCCATATCACCCTGGTTACTGTAAAAAGCAGTAAATCATCCACTTTTAGATAGAATACAACAAATCTTTAAGGAAAAGAAAAAATACATGGAAGGCACAAAAATACATACTTCATAGGCAACCTTAAGGGTCTGATTTGATCGTAAAAGGAAGGATTTGAAAGGCACAATCGACGAGGCTTGGGACAAACCATAGAATCCACCATCATCTTCCTCTCCTCGTTGCCTCCCATGGCGTTCTTTTGCTGATACCCACAATAATTCATTTTCAATTTATCGCTCAAATCAATAAACGCCTGTATGAAAAAAAAAAAAAAAAAAGATCATATAACATCAAAACAAAGATCTGCAAAATTCTGCAATAAACCCAATAAAATTTGGTCAAGAAAAGAAAAGATTCTCGTTGTTTATATTTTTTTTCCAGACAACCAAACATAAAGTCAATAAATTTACAAGATAGATCTGTCCAGAGGGAGGTACCTGTGAGGGCAAGAAGGAACCTCCACGAGGAGGAGAGGAGAGAAATAAGGAGGAGATAGTGAGACTAGATTTAGAGAGAGGAAATGAAAGAGAGGGATAAAGAGATGGGTTAGATTGAGTATTCAATATTCGTACAACAAAGCGATAGAGAAGAAGATGAGCATGAGCTCAGGTTAGGTTCAGGTGTGCTCGAGTGTAGATTCGGTTTCTGTGAGATTTAATTTTTGTTGACCGTTTGTTTTATTTATTATTTTTTCGCCTCGAGTTCTGTGTCGACGAATCGCTGCAAGAGAATCTGAGGAAACACATGCTTTTGCTTTTTATTTATTTATTTATTTTAGATTTTTTATATGGAATAGATTTTTTTATTATTAGTGAGATTTAATTTAATAGTATATAAGAATAAATAACCATTTAATTTCTAAATTTTATAATAATTATATTTCATCTGCTAAATTTTATAATTTTTTTTATCTGGAATGGCAGCTTTAAAAAATTCAAAATAATATTAATTATTTTATTTAAATTTATCTTTATTTAAATATGTACATTAAACTTTATTTCAATTAAATAAATATTAATTTAAAAATAATGTCGTTTATCCTTATTTTTTTAAAATTAAATTAATTCAATCATTTTCTTAATTATTATGAAAATTTAAAATTTATTATTTTTAATAGAATAGATAAATTATTATTTTCTTAATTACTGTTGTTCATATCAAAATAAAAGATAATATCCCAACCTTTTGTTGGATTATTTTTCCTCGAGATAGTCAATATTATTATTCTCTTTAAAAAAAGTATAGATGAAATAATTTTATTTATCTTATTGTTCCTAAATCATATATATACTTATCACCGCTAAGCTACCACGACAAATCAACAGTTTAATAAAAATAAATTTTACTAGTTAATTAGTAAATTTATCAAAAAAAAAAAGGATGAAATCGTATCGACGATTAAAAACCTATATAATAATCAATTATATAAGAAATGAGATCCGATCTAAGTGATACACGCGTGTATCTTTCTACTATTTGGTTTGTTAATTACTTTATTTAGGTATTATTTACTTATTTAGTCAAAAAATTATTTTTTAATGAAAAGAAAATGAAAATGGAAATGAATTATTTACTAAGGTAGGTAATTAGAGCTTTTGTTTGTTCCCTTTTAAAGGCGTTTATGCTTTTTTTGCATTGGTGCATAACATGGGATAATGGATTAGTTTTAGCAAAGGAGTAGGGATATGTTTGTTTTTTTTTTTTTTTTAATTATTATAATAAAATAGCAAGAATGTTGGTTCAATGTTCTATGTTTAAAATATTATTTTGATTACACCCACACATATGGGGATATTGAGATGGAATTTATTTTACCATCAATGAATTTAATATAATGAATTTTAATATATAAAATATTTAATTGTCATGAAATATAAACTAATTTTTTGTAATTTACAAATTAAAAGTGTCTTTAGTGCATAAATTAATTTTCCTTTTATCCATTGAAAGGTCTAATGAAGTTAAGGTAAATTTATATATTTGGACCCATTGCAGATGTAAGTAAAGAGCTTTTTAGCAAATTTAATATTGATGAAACCAATATATATAAATATTTCAAAGTTAAGATTGGAATAATTTTATTAAAGATATATATATTTTTTTACAATGAAATACATATTACTAATATTATTTTGTGTAAATGTTTATTTGTTTTTATTTTAGTTTTTAAATTTTTTATTAAGTACAGCAAATTATATTTTACATTCTTAGTTGGAAAATAAGTCAACTTCTTGTTAGTCATTTTATATACAAACAATAATAATAATAATAATAATTAAATTACCTTCTCGTTAGTCATTTTTTTCTGCTATTATGCTAATTATATTGACCTCTAGAACATAGTTGCCCTTTTAGTTATGGTAATAGTTGATAATTATTGCAATAATTGGCGATTAATATTTTTTTTTGAGTAAAAAATAATTAATATAATTATAACTTTTTGAGAAGATTATGGTATTGTTCGTAAAATTAGTTGTTTTAATTTATTTTACAATCATTTCATCAAATAAATGTGTTAAAATATTAAGTGCTATCTTAAAAGTTTTTACTGAACGTGATCTATATATTTAGTAAATTATGTGAGTCCGAACCATTCAAATGTCGTATGATTATTAAGGACCATTTTAATGAAAATTTTTTTGGTGATTCTTTAGTCTGATAGAATGTTAAATTCATGGATTTCACAAAATCTATAAAATATAATATTTATGTATTGTAATCAATGGAATTTTACATCTTATTATTTAGAATAAAATAAAATCCATGTATTTGAATGTTATTTTTGAAAAAAAAAAAGGATCAGATCCTACTATTCATATTGAATGATGAAATCGACAAATTTCACATCTAATGTAGGATTTTTATCTCTTACAAAATTATGGAAATCGAAGCCATGATGGAATTTAATATGAAATTGTATATTATTTTTTCTATTAAAAATGAATCTGACAAATACTATGCTCTGTCAATTAGATCAGATACTTCAAATCAAAATTGTATTTTTTCATTCTTTGTACAAGTTAATAATTAAATTATTAAATTATCCCTTTTGACTCCATTTGAGTGCCCTCACTTCAGTGGAATCAAAGGTTCACGTGGAGACAATCCTAAGAGCCCATTGACTCATTCTCACGAAAATTTGAAAAATGGCCCATTGACCCAATTTTAAGATAAGATGGCAGAATCTCTACAATATATTTGAAGACCCAAAACTTTTGTCTTCATTTATAGGGGTGACCACTTTATTTATCCGACCCGAATGGATCCAATAAACTCCGATCGGATCGTAAATGAATTGAATATGGATACATGTTAATTCGATCCGAATATATTCAAAATCGATGTGATTATTTTTTTTTAATTTTTTGAAAAATAAATTATATATAATTGCAAGCAGAGTAGATTTTGAAAGTTCAGAAAAAGAAAAGAAAAAAGAAAATAGTGTGTTTGAAAGTTTAGTGAGATGACATAAAACTTAAAATGGTCCAATCTTGTACAAGCCGCCCTATTAATTTATCATTGTCATCTGTAATTTTCAATCTATAAAGCTCCAAAAAGAAAAAATGAAAAAGGAAAAGAAATTAGAAAACAACGTCTCACGGTACGTGTCCTTGATAATTATTAATTAGTTAGACTTTTTTGAAAAGATAATTAATTAGACTTTTATTCCCTGATAAAATCTCATGATAAATAATTTATTAAAAAATTACAATATTTAATTTAAAAATTACATCCCAAACGCTATTTATTTTCAAAATTCTAAATTCACATGAGAATTTGGATCAAATGGATGATGATTTGAATAAATATGAAAACTTTTTGAGCAACTTAATCGAGCGTCAATTATAAGTTTAAAAGATAAATTAAGTTAAAAGGTCGATGTTGTTATTTTTTTTAAAATAATAAATTTAGTAAGCAAATTGGACTTTATTTTCAAATATTATATTAGTGTTTTTATTATAATAGAAGTATTAACTATTAACTATAATTAACTAACTAGCATGTAACCTTCTTCCATTTTAGTACCTTTATGCTTTTCCTATTCTCCAATCGAGAGTATTTAAATGATATGTTATAATTAAATATACCTTTTTTTTTTTGGAAGTCTAAACTTGATTATGCATCCTGGTTATTTGCTCATTAAAAAAAATTAATTAAACATTTAATTAGAAAAAATGGGAAAATAAAATTTTAAAAAACCAATAATGAAATTAAAAAACTTTCTTTGCATTAAATAAAACTTTTATATGTATTATATCTTCAACAAATTCTCCGATATTATTCCGGCCTATTTAACCACCAAACAAATAAAAAAAACAAGTAGAAATATTTACATGCATTCTTAACTATATATTTTGTTAAATTGAAATAAATAGTAAAAAGTTAAACACGTCGTTCCTTCCAATATATTTTAGTTTTTTTGACTTTTGTCTTAATAGTAAATTTCATTATGTACTTTGCGACTTGTTTCAATTTTTTTTTTAATTTATTGGAGGTTTTTATAGGCAAAATAATACTGCGAGCTACACAATAAGAGTATCTATTTCTTTAACTCACCAAATTGATGAAAGCAACTGTAATTAAGAGGATTCGAACTTGAAACCTTCGACTCCTCACACAATTGTGACCTGTTTCAACTTTAACCTTGCCAAGTCTAATTTAAGTTATTTAATCTTAATTTTCAAACTTAGTTGCAATGCATAATGTATTTCATACAAAGATTGGTTTGTCATATGTAGGTGTCAAAATCGATTGATGTGTCGGGTTGAACACTAATTTGCCTAATGCGTGACATGATTAGAGTCAATACGGAAATGACTTATTTAATAATTGTATCAAATATTTAAATATGAACGTGATACAAAAATTAAACTATCGATATGAATACAATACATAGAGCCCATTTAATTAAATGGATCATTTATTAGGTTAATGCAATGAGTTTAATTAAATGGCCAGTTGCATCACTACTTTAATATAAAAATATGAAAATCCATCAACTTGAAAATGCAAGGCCACAGTACACAAGAATAATTAGCTTAATTATTACCCTCAATCAATTTCATTAGCTAACAACAACTTTCAATGAGGCAGAGAGTTGAAAAGAAAGCTAAAAAGAAGTTGACTAGAGTGGTGTATATAACCCTCTTAGCAATATATTTATTTATTTATCGAGAGCACTCAAATTTAAAACTTTTACTCTTTATATAGCTAAAAAGAGCAGTCAAATTACAACTGTTAGGCTTATATACATTTACTTTAGATAATAAAAAATGTGAATAATTAGTTAATCTGTTTTATGAGTCCATTCTCATATAAAGGTCATCCATACAACAAAATACAACTAATTATATCCAAACCACAAGATTAATAAACTTGTTTTCATAAAATAATTAATTAAATAAAGAAGTTTCCTAATTCCAATGTTGATTTATTCTCTTACTAATCTATTTATTTTTTTCCTCCTAGCTAGGCCCACAATAAATACTACCACATTGCTCTTTGTGTGTACCATGTGCTACTCTTTTTTATTCAACTACATGTGTAAACAGCTTTGCATACCCTTCTCTTCTTTTGATTCATCATCTGTAGATAAACCCTAATTAAAAGCTTTAAAAGAACAAAAAATAGAAAAAAAGCTAAAGTGAATTAAAGCTACCCTTGTCTATCTATTTCCATGTTCCTTGCTTTGTCTTTGCTCTTTCACTTTCAATTTGCATCATCATCTCTCATACCCATATCTCTCTTTACTCTTCTTCCATGTCACCCACATGTATTCACTTTGATTTGCAGGCCCCCCACACCCATCTTTTATACTTATTTATGTAATATTTCCCCATTTTTTTACAATATTTACAAAAGGGTGTCTAGGATATTCATTTTTGTGCATCCATGCACATCCATTATCTAGTCATCAAGCAATATATAAATTGTTTTGTGGGTCAATGTGCTGGGAAAAAAAGTGGTGAAGAATCTCTTTGAAGTTTCCCATCTAAAACTCTTACTTTGCTCATCTTCTCTTCACACCAATGCAATTGCTCTTCACTTATGTCACTCATTCTTAATACCCTTGACACTATTTTTAGGTCTATCAATCCCATTAATATCTCCATCTCTTCTTCTACCTTCAATTTTCTCTTTCTTATGCATTTCCGAGCTCGGCGAAGATCTTTAAGCTTCATCTTTTTCTGTTCACAAAATGTGACAAAAGATTCAAAAATGTTAATTATACAAAAAGTTTAATTCATATCAAAAGGAAAATAAATAAAGAAAAAGCTTAATTAATTATTACTTTTTTGTTAACTTTCTTCATTAGTTGGAGAAGAGCAGGATCAACCGATACTCTTCGATTTCTCCTAAAGAAAGAAGTAAGAATCTGGCAGGGTTTTTGTTTATCAGCTTTGAGAAATTTCATGAATGTTTGGATTCCCTCTTCCATTATCATTAGAAATGCAGCTGATGAAATTCTTGAACCAAAACCATCTTCCTTTGGATCATCTTCTGAATCTTTGGTGAGACATGAAAATAAGTAACATTATTAGAAATAATATATATAAAAAAATGAGAATGTAATTGAGTTTATTAAACTCAATTCATCAATCAATAGTCAAATGATTTAATGCGCCTACTTTGTAATATGCATTAAAGGATTTGTTTGGTACACATTATTATTTGAACAATATGCTAATTATGTGTGTGTGTGTAGTATATATATAATATATAAAGAATTAAGTGAAGGCCCTACGAAGAATAAAGAAAAGGAAAGCAAAATGGTATAAGAAAATAATAGTGCTCTATCTGTTCATAATCTTAAAAGTAATCAAGAAACACGATGGATCCAAATTTCCAGATTCATATTTCTTTGTAATATCCAATTAAAACAAAAGATTAAGACATTAATAGCATAACATCAAAGATGAAAGTAGATAAGCATAATTGGTGTAACTTTCAATATTATGTATGTGTAGGTACCTCGATATTCTGGTACTAGAAGTAACTTTGGTGCCAAAAGTCTCATTCTGGCATAGACTTCAGGTCTCCTGCCTTGCTCATAAGGTTCATTTTCTACATATCTTTGTAAAAGAACCTGGAATTGCTGAAACTGCTGTGCAATATGCGCTGGACAACCTAGATCGAAATCGCGCTGCTGTGAAGCTCTCTTACAATGGAAGTTCTTGTAATTCCAATTTAGAGCTTCCCATGTCAAGCAAATTTGAGCTACGTAGGCAGCCTCTAGTTCATGATACGGGTTTTGGCGGATGTCTGAAGGCTTTTTGTTCATAGTTGTAATTTTATGAACAATTCTATCTGAAATTGATCTTGGACATACTTGAATAGACTTCAGTGATTCTGGAAAATATAGGTACAAAGATATTTAGCTAATTAATGCATTAACAAAAAATTTGAGAAAAACACACAACTAGTACTAATGAATTCCATCTAATTACCTGTTTCATGAAGCTTTTGAGCACTAATTCTATCCAGGAACATCATTTCTTCATCATACTTTTGAAAGACAGTGTAGGATTCCCATTTAGGACAACTTCTTCGGGACGAAGAAGAAAATGGATCTTCAGTTACTGAATCCTTAATTGAGCTCCTCCATTCAGAGGAGCTCTTAGATGTAGAACCTACAGTGCATGAATCACCGAATATTTCTTCTTCTTCATCATCTTTTTCTTCAACTTGAAGCTTCTTATTGGACTTGAATTGGGTTGCTGCAAAAATCAAATACCTTTCATTCCCAGCAAAATTTGTATCCAGTTTTTTATTTTCCATATCCTTTGGATTAATGTACTCTTCTGCAAGTTACAGCATAAGCAATATCAGGACTAATGCTGTAATAATAATACGCAACAAGTACAACATGTGACTCTAAGATAACAAACTGAATTATTATTGTGATATATATGATAATACCTCCATAGTTTTCATCACTATCTACCAAACCAGTTCCTTGGCTGTGTGCAGTGATGGTTGAGGTGGGGCCGCCTTGATCCGGAGTAGAATCTTGAAGAGAATCAGCATCTCTTGTTGTTATGTCTTCTTCGTTATGTTCAGATTCTGAACCTGCTGAGGCAAGAAGAGAAAACTGTTCATCGCTAGCAAAAGTAGTATCATCATCATCATCTTCTTCTTCTTCTTCTTCTTGAAACTCTACAGGCGATTCCTCCCTTGGAGTTATGAATTCTTGAAGATTATGATTTTGAGTTCTTTGATTAATATTGGAGTTGTTAGACAAAAATACAAGTGATTCACCACCATGAACTATGTCAGCTACGAGATGATCTTTTTCTTTAGGCTGAGTGTAATAGTAGGTTTCATTATTATCTGTTTCTTCTTCCTCATCAGAAAACATATTATACTCATAACCATTTTGATTTCTGCAAAAAAGAAAAAAAAATTGTTAACAAACTGAGAGACTGAAACCAATAATAAGTTTCGGCTTAACTGCACCACAGTTTTTTTCAGAACTTCAAGATCAAAATGGAGCTAATTTAAAAAAAGAAGAAGACGAAGAGATAATAAGAAAAAGAAAGAAAAAAGAGTTTGGAAGCAAAGACCTTTGGATTATAGGGTAGCTGCCAATGAAGTTAAGGAGCTTGAGAAGCAAAGTGGAAGAGAAGTAAAGGAAGAGAAGGAGAAGAAGGGAGGAGCTTGAGACATTGTAGAACAACCAGAAGAGAGTTTCTTTTGAGCATTGCATTTTCTTTGTTGCTCAAAAATATGAGTCTCCTAGTTAGCTACTTTGAATGAGCAAAGCAAAACTCCTACGCACAAAAAATAAAGTGAGTGCTTCCTTTAGCTTTATAATGTATGTATAAAAAATATGCAAAAAAAAAAAAAAAAAAAAAAAAAAATTAGCTTTATAATGTATGTATAAAAATATGCCCAAAAAAAAAAAAACAAAAAAAAAAAAAAAAAAAAAAAAAAAAAAAAAAAAAAAAAAAATTGTATATTCCCTTTTCCTTCTTTTCAAATTTGTCCACCTCTTTGCTTCAAAATGGCCAATGTGTCCTACCACATGCAATAATAAAGCCATACAAATATTAATCCATTTTTATCTCAAAATTCTGGACCCAAACAAAAATAAAAAGAAGATAGACCAAAACCTTACAACACGCAACTAAAAAACATATATAGGTTCTACTTTCTAAAAGAATTATATTTATTTAACAAAAATAAAAAATAAAATAATTAATAAATAAATTGACTTAATTAAAATATGATTTAAGAGTTTGGGGGTGAGTGCTTAGTGGTGAAGCTTTACTGCTATATAGATTGATTGTATTCTTTGCCTCTAATGAGATAAAGAGCTCTCTTTTTTATCTAGGTGGGGTTTGTTTGTCCCTTTTGATTAACATTTTCTTCATTTTTGCTTCTTGTCCCTAACTTGGATACTAAGGTTTTTGGCAGAGGATGCTGTCTTACTTTCAATTACTTATTTTAATCACAAGCAATCTTATATATATATTATATATATATATATAATATATATATATATATATATATATATATAATATTAATATATATATAATAACATTTATTCTTTTATCCAAACTTGAAACAAATTTATTCTCCTTTTTTTTTTTTTTTTTTAGTTAAATGGCCATCATCAATCTTTTTTTTTTTTTTTAGTTAAATGGCATCATCAATCACTTCTTACAAATTCTACTAAATTTACATTATATCATTCACGGCCTAATGCGTAAATTTATTTTTAAAGTTTACGCGATTTATTTTGTAGCATCCTTAAATTTTCAAGGATCTATCATTATCCTATACTTTCACATTTCAACAATAACTATGTCCCTCGCCAAAATAAAATGTAAAAGTGCAAGATCATGATTGAACTCTTGTAAAGTTATTTCATTTTGAGAAAAGCATAATTATTACTGAAATGTCAAAGTGTAATGTTATGATAGGTCTCTCGCAAATTTGAGAATGTAACAAGGTAAATCATGTAAACTTCAAGAGCAAATTTATGCATTTGGCCTATCTTTGACTAACCACTTAATTTTTTTTTTATTCATAAGGAGGTGGGATGAGCTGGAAAATAATGACTAACCCTTTAATAGAACCAGAGTAATTAAGCTGATTTTGTTTTTAGAATAGTAAATAAAATTTCAATTGATTTAGAGTTAATTGTTTGAAATTATTATTTGAATTTTTATTAAAAAATTTGTATTGAAAATGTTTGTTAAAAGTTGGCCTAATAGTTAAATTTACTCCAATATTTTTCATATTCTTTAAATTATGTCTTACAATAATTTTTTGTTTGTGTTTGTGTTTGTGTGTGTCTCAACTGTACCTCAAATTGAAAACTTAGTCAATTGTACTCCATGTTCATATAATGGGAAAAAAATAATTTTATTTTCATATCAATTAGAACAGAGAAAAAATAACTATATTATATAGTGAATTGTGGTTAATTAGACTCTCCAGCTTTAAAAATTTGATAAATTACCATTAATTTGAACTACTGAGAATTTGTATATGTAAGCATCTGTCTTGCATGAGCAAATTGCACACTTGCGCAGTTGAGAAGAACACTATCAATACATGAAATTTTGTAGATAAAATGTGTTATCTGGATCTATAGGCCCAGTGTAAGTCAGACTTAGCCCACATTGAAGCCCACTACCCTCCTATTTGGTGAGAAAATGAAATATATGAGTTTTGACCGGCTCAAGTTTGACTCATTAATAAATGGGTGAAATCAAAGTCCAATACCATTTTGTAAGAACAAATTGATTTTATAATTTTTGATCCATTTAAGTTATAAAGAAAGTAGTACAATAAATTTATTTAAAAAAAATTAAAACATGTATATTAAAAATTTAACGATATTAAATAAAAAAATTTTAATCACTTCAAATCACACAAATAATATATAAAAAGACGACCGCTCACTTGAAGACCATATATAAAATAAAATTATCATAATTAAATGGCATAACAGAATTTGTTGATCTAATAACAAATTGAATTTTCTTTTTCTAGACAAGATTTTAAGAAGGATTTTATTTCAGTTTGCAGGTGCATTCAAAAATATTATGTTTAGAGTATTTTCTAATGAAATCCGAATCCAATTGTCAAAAAGAATTCATACACTCTTACTAGATGAACTAATCCGATGATTGTATTGACTCAAGTATAGAGTTCTTAGAGAGTGTTTAATTCAGTTACATTTTGGAGCTTTTTCGTATTAATCCATAGCTAATTCGTATTTATATTATTTTAAACTTCATTAACCTCATAAAAATTGCTAATAAATTTTTTCTTAAATATTATTTTAAAATTTTAATTATATTTTTATTTATTAATACATTAAAAAATAAAAAATATATTCACCTTGAATTAAAAAAACATATATACATTATACATCATAATATATAAAATAATTATGCCCTTAATGGTCATTTTATATTTAATAGTAACCGCTACCAAAATTTTACCAAACATGAACAATAATCAGCTAATTACTATCAACCATCAATCAAAAGCTATCAGCGACCATTATCAGCTATCAGCTTGTATAAACAAATGAACCCTTTTTTAATTTTGAGGTTATTGTTGTCACTGTCACAATGTTTTTATTTATTTTATTTTATTTTTTTGGCAGTAATGTAGATTGAGATGTAAATCTTCTTTTTAGTAGATAGAAGAATTTTAAAGGTTTATCAGATCAGACTTGTTTAGAGTTATTTTAATTTTAGTTTTAGTTAATTAAAATAAAAGTGGAAATTTCTTTTATTTAGTTATATAAAATATATATATTTTTTATGTTTCCTCTGAATGAAATTTTCACTAATCTTCTAAAAAAAAAAAGAATGAAAAGTTCAAAAAGAAAATTTTGAAAAAAATAACTTTCTTTCTCGAGAGAGAGAGAATTAATATATGTATAGGATTAGATGAGATTCTAGAAGGTGGAATGCAAGAAACACATGAAGCTAGTAATTGAAGATCTAGTTAGGATTGAAATTAACAGAGGCTCTGAAGACAAATAAGAGTTAAGAATCGAAGATCCAACAGAAATGCTTACCAAAGATACAGTCTTGTCTTGTGGGTTGGTGACCATTTTAACCACTCCTAGCTAGTAATCTTTGTCCACCTATTATTGTTTTTTATTTAAATAAACAACAGTATAGTGTCGTAGAAGCACCCCATGAAAGGATCTTGGAGTGTCATTTATCAAATATTCTACATTTGCCAATCATTATTGCATATAATAAGCTTCGACCTATCTTCTATAATATTTTTCCATACTAATATCTTAATCTTTATCCTAAATTTCAAATTAAAAAATAGAGCTAGAGTTTTATATTATTCGATACTAATTAGGTTATGCTAAATTAATATATCTGCAACTATACATAAATAATTAGAATTTGATCACTCTAATTGTATTAGCATTCAATCATTGTACTGCTGATTATTTTTTTTATTCCTCAACTATATATATTTCATATTAAACTCCAAGATTAATTAAAAATGCAAATATTTCAGCAAAACCCTATCATGTAATTTATAATTGATTAAGGACAAATGCATGATTCTATGTTTAATTATTCATCTCTTTTAATTACATATGTAAGCCTTCTAACTTTGGACATTGCCATAAATAACAAAATCCAGCTCAATTTGTCATAAAGTAGTATGAAATTAAGATATTTATTATTGTATTAACTTTGGACATTGCGATAAATTAACAAAATCCAGCTCTAATTTGTCATAAAGTAGTATGAAATTTAAGATATTTATGTATTGTATTATTCACGTCAATATTCAAATTTGTGAAATAATGTATCAAAATTCCAGCTCAATTTGTCATAAAGTATATGAAATTAAGATATTTATTATTGTATTATTCGCGTTCCAATATCAAATTTGTTGAAATAATATATCAATAAGATTAGTCTTTTGAAACCAAAAATTGAGGTTCCTGATATTTGTTAATCCAGAAAATTCACGCTGTCTCCTTCATGGATCTGATACACGACAAGCATTTAGGTTTTACCCAATGGTTGAAACATTTGTAGATAAAAAAGAAAATATTAGTCAAACAATTAATCAAATTTCATATTGGGTAATATTTATTATATATTATCTTTGTGGACTAACAATAAAACTAGAAAAACATAAAAATATTTACTGTAAAACAAATGGAAAACACGATCCCAAATATAGTGATTTGGAACAGAAGAGAGAGAAGGAGGAGATGATGGTAAGAGTACCAATTGTCAATAAGTTTATTGCGTGACAAACAATTAGTAAAGGCCATGTTATGATTTGGACTAGGGTTGGTGGTAGAAATGGGTGAAGCGTGGGTTGGGCAGGATCATAGAAGAAAACCTTTTTTAGCTGTAACAAGACTCAATCCTTCGTGCAGGAAACTTTTGCCACTCATTCACCACAAAAATTACCTTTTTTAGTGTAACAAGACTCAATCCTCGTGCAGGAAACTTTGCCACTCATTCACCACAAAATTAACTAACTCAATTTTCCAACCCATAAATGAAAAAAAGAAACAAAATTCTTTTTACTAGTTTTTCTTTTTCGTAATAGGAAGAATGAAAACAAAACTACACACAGAGCCTAGCATAGACACCACCTCTCATATCATGGCTAATCCACAAAACTTCAGCATACTTGGCTAACCAAATTACTTACATTTTTTATATTTGAAGGTAAATCTTTCAAAGTTAGAAAATGTATATATAAAATAGAAGGTACATTTCTTATATATAGTTTGGCTCTAAAATTCAAGAATCATATCTACAAAATCCAATTGATAGCAAGGACTTTGTTTTAACCTAGTGATGAAAGTAAAAACATTTAGGTGTAATATATTTATACATAAATTGTATTTTGACAAGTTTTTATACTTGGTATAACTGAGTTAGTTTGAGACGAGTGCATTGGCTTTGGTTTATATCTCGGCTATATTAAGTTTTTCTTAAACTATAATAATTAACTAAAATATTATTTGCTGATAAAAAAACATTTATAGTGGATGGGTATTTTGGTAAAATTTACAAAACACTCGTATAGTGATGGCATTTTAGTAAATTCCACCCATGAACCATCTTTGTCAAAGTGTTAGCTGTAATTATCAAGATGAAAATAAATAAATAAATAAATAAAGACTATGGCCAGCTGCTTCTTCTTGAAGGTTGATTTAATAGCAACACAGAACCTTAATATAACTCTTTCTTCTTCATCCCATAAGAACTCTTAATTGCTTTCAAGAACCATATATTTTTTTTTTTTTTATATATATATATATATACACTGCGGAGAAGGTTTGAGTTCTTGAAGTTATAACAAAAATGGAGGAAAATCTTCCTCCAGGATTCAGATTCCATCCAACAGACGAAGAGCTCATAACATTTTATTTAACAAGAAAAGTGTCTGATGTCAGTTTCACATCCAAAGCTATTGTAGATGTTGATCTCAATAAGTCTGAACCTTGGGAACTTCCAGGTATTAATAATATTAATTTATTTATTACTTCTCCTAGCTATTTTTCTGGTTTTCAATTAGATTTTGTATTTAGATATTCCAATCTTTGTTCTTTGTTTTCTGAAAACATGTAGTTCAAACATTATGTTATTGGTGTATACTATTATTGTGAAAGGGCTTTAGGGTACATGGAGAAAAGAAAAATGAAAGAAAAAGATTAATTAAGTGGTGATAAATGATAATTAATAATTAAAATTTGATGCAGGCAAGGCTTCAATGGGGGAGAAAGAATGGTATTTCTTTAGCTTGAGAGATCGAAAATACCCCACCGGACTTCGAACGAATCGAGCTACTGAAGCAGGGTATTGGAAAACCACAGGGAAAGATAAAGATATATTTCGTGGAGGAGTATTGGTAGGGATGAAGAAAACCCTAGTTTTTTACAAGGGTAGAGCTCCAAGGGGTGAGAAAAGTAACTGGGTTATGCATGAATACAGGCTTGAAAACAAACATCCTTTCAAGCATAATAAGGTATATATGTCAAGCATATATTTTGAGTCCTCACACCTTAATTTATTTATTTCCTCAATATTCTTTACCTTTTTTTTTTTTTTTTTTTTTCTTTACTTCCTTTTTTTTTTTTTTTTGAGAGCAATTCAGTTTTAAAATTCAATTTCTTAACCTTTTTTTTTTTTTTTTTGAGAGCAATTCTAGTTTTAAAATTCAATTTAATTACACCATTTAAAATCAAATTCAATATTCAAATAATTCTTTTATTTGGGGAATAGTTAAAATTTATGTTTGATATAAGATATATTAACAGCTAAATATAATTATTCTCTTATTTAAAATCACATTCAATATTCGTATAATTTTGTTTCTTGAAAAAAATTATTGTGTGAAACAATTGCAAAGTAAATGTTTATCCACTTAATAATTTGCTCATAATAATGTTAGATGGATTAGATATAGTAATATGGGTTATATAAAAAAAATCCTGTATAATCATGGGTGAAACTCATAGAAATAGTTGAAAATCTTCGACATTCTCAAAATTTAATTTTTCTCCTCTAAATTTTATTTTTATTCTCGAAATTATACATATTGATATCACAAATTCCACTTTCAAATTTTTTTTTTTTTACTTCTATTTTTGGCCATCAACATTTAAAGTATAGTTTTGCCCTTGTACATAATTATATTATGTAATATAAAGTGACTATTTCTTAATTTTAATAATCCTCACAAATTGGTTAAACTCCTACTACAATGGATGAAAGAATTAAACTAGAAATCCATATTTCTTACATCTTTAAAATGAGTGAGGAAAATAGGTAAGGTATTAAGTCATTTCTTTAAATTTTTGAAAAATTAGATATTTTTTCTTAGGGTGAAGATAATTTTAAAAAAAAAAAAAAAAACCTATTAACAACCATATAAGCTTTCTAAAAAAAATTGACCAAATAACCAACAAGATATTGGTTGAGGTGGTAAGCAACATCAATCCTATAAGGGTGATAATATAAGTTCTTTATCCAGAAAGCGCGCTTTGCTGTAAGGACAAAAAAATCTTTATGTTCTACGGTCAAAAAAGAAAGATTGACCAAATAAAATAAAAAAGTACTGAATTATTTCATTCTTCTAAGTTCCCAATTAATTTTTTAATGTTTCTTGGATATTAAATTATCTTTCATTTCCTGCAGGAGGAATGGGTAGTTTGTAGGGTATTCCAAAAGAGCTCACCAGCAGCCAAAAAACCACAACCGACACTATCCTCTCAACAATCTTTAGGATCTCCATGTGATGATACAAATTCCATTGTCAATGAGTTTGGAGATATTGAGTTACCAAACCTAAACAACATTGTCAATTCTTCCTCATCTACTTGCTTCAACAGCCTCTCTTCAACAGTACAAAATACTAATTTTCTCACCACCAATAACAATGACACCAATGTAAATTTAAACACAAATATGAACATGAACTGGGCTACAACTCTCCCTTCACTCTCTTGGCCTTCAAGCTTGCTAAGCTCAAATCTCACAATGAATTCCTTGCTTCTCAAGGCATTGCAATTTAGAAGCTATCAACAAGGAGAAGGTGCAGCAAGTAGTAGTACAACTAATCCTTACTCATTCCTTACACAGGGAATTCCTCAGTTTGTCGGAACGACAACGGATTGTATAAGTTCAAATAATTTTCAGGCTGCTTCTTCTTCTCTATCCTCCAAGGTTTTAGAATCTGTATTGCCACAACAACAACCACAGCAGGAGCAACCATTCAATTTGGACTCCATTTGGTAATGAAGCTGTGTAAATATTAAACCATTCCTAACATCTTTTCTGTTTCAATTATCTTCAACGAAGACTTAAAGTATATATAGAGTCTTGGAGCAACGAAGCTCAAGCTCATGCATATAAATGCCACAAGAAAAATAATGGTCAGATTTCATTTGTCTAGGAATGTAGTAAAAACCTTTAAAAAAATTGTAATGTTTTAGTTAATTAATTATGTATCTTTTTTTTATGTTGAAGTGTTAATTTTAGTTAAGTTGGTGAACTACTGCTTCAATACAAAAGAAGTAGCTTGCTAAATTAACATTACAAGTCATTTATTATTAGTTTTCTTATTGCTGTCTTTATCTTCTCCTTCCTATATATATGTATATATACACACACTACGTGAATGCTCAGTGTGAATGTGAATGGGAGACGATCTACTTAATACAATGGAATTAATTTGAATAAAAAAAGAGCCTAATGGTAAAAAATCCAAAACCTTTACATAATTTTCAAATTTCTGTAATTATAAATATTTCAATTTGATCTTATGATAAATTATTTTCTTGCAAGTTTTTTTATGGAGATAAACGAAATATTAGACCTTATTTGTCTTTGAAAATAATTTATCTTGGGAAAATATTTTCCAATGAATTATTTTCTATTATTTAGTTGTAATATTGAAATTAGTTAAAAAATATTAAAGTTTATATATTATTATTTATAATATTCAAAGTATTTAAAATTATCAAAATTTTATGTTAAATATGATGAAAAATGCATAAAAATATAAAATTATGGTAGTCGTATATAATCCATGGTGATGATGCTGATTGTGAACGTGATCCGTGGTGATGATTGATGACCAATTATGATCAGTGGTTGTGATTACTAGTCAATAAAGATTAGAGCTACAAAACTAACAGGTGAATTCGATGCCATGTGCAACCAGAAAAAGCGTTAGCAATCTTATCTAAAAAATATATTGTTTTTGAAAAATAAAAGTCATTTTTAAAAAAACAGTTTTTTATTGACCGATTTTCTTAAACATCCATATATAGAAAATCCATAAAATACTTGCCAATAAATTATTTTTCAGAAATAAACATAGGTTTAGTTGATAATGAAACTTGAAATGTAGACAAAAAAATTTATCTGCACGTACCACCTTCAATAGGAAAAAGGTTCTTATTTCTCTTTAACACTAACATTAATAATAATAATAATTATTATTATTATAGGTTTCTTATTCTCTTCTTTAACCTAACATTAATAATAATAAAATAATTATTATTAATTGAATTATTATTTTAATTATTATTATTATTATTATTATAGCTCTAAAAAGAGATTTTTTTATTATTATAGCCTAAAAGAGATTTTTTTTTTTAAATCTCCTTTCAAATAAAATTTTATTTACATTATAAAAAAATTCAAAAACAAAAATTGTTTTATGAGAAAAAAAGGGACTAATTAATTACCTCTTTTTACTTTTTTACACCATTTTCAGATATTAGCATTACAATTGTCAATTCTTTCAAGACTCAAAAACCTTGGGACACTTCAGCTAAAGATTTTCTGATGTTCATATTCTTCTAAATATCAGAAAATTAATCAGACTATACTTAATTGGCTACCATAGAAAGTCACACTATAATATTCATTTTTTCTTGATTTATTAAAGATAGAATGGACTTATTAACATTATCATATTTTTAATAATTTTCTCCAAATTAATAAAAATAGAAAGAGAAATTTGAAATTGTGGCCTCTATTTTGCAAAATAAAGATAAGGAGACCAACACAATTATATTTGACCTTCTCATTCATAATTATATTCACTGCCAAATATTAAGACACCATGCTATAAATTATTTTTTTTTTACATAAAAATTGTGTTAAACCATATATATAAGACAGGGTAACTTTGTTCTCCCATATCATAATCATAATTTATAAAATATGATTAATTACTGTTGCTAGTTTTGTTAACTCTTTTATAAAATTAGTTAATGAATCAACATATTATTACTAGATTTTAATATAATATATATTTTTTTAATAATATTTTAAGGCTTAAGAAAGCTTTACTTTGTTATTTAAAAAAAAAAAATTTTTTAGTTATTAATTACAAAAAGATTGCAAAGGCTGGGCCTTAAAACTATAAACTGGATATGGACTGGGCGTCGCGTCGTCAATTAATAACTCTCACTTAAATGCAAACAATTAAACTTAGAGAGCAACACAGCACGCCCCCTCCCTCCCCCTTTCTCTCTTTTTCTTTCTCTCTCTCAAGCAATGGCGGGAAAGTCTATCACCGGCGACGGATTAACTGATAACCTTGCCGGGATGACGAAAAATCAGCTCTATGACATTATGTCTCAGATGAAGGTTCATTCTCTTTTCATTGTCTTTCTTTTCTTGAATTTTATTATCCTCCAAACAACACTTATTTTCCCGTAACGTTCTGTTTTCACGATTGTTTGGCGTATGTGTTTGTTTTTCTTCAATACAGACATTAATCGAGCAGAACAAGCAACAAGCAAGAGAGATTCTCATCCAGAACCCTCTTTTGACTAAGGCACTTTTTCAGGTATTTATAATTAAATCTTTGTGTTTTTGTTTTTTTATCAAAAGGAGAAAAGTTCGGTATTTTTTTGTCGTTGAGCATTTTTCGAATTACGAAAATTTTATATTTTTGTGAGATTGTTAGTATTTTTTTGCATTGATGCTCTGTATTATGTGAATTTCGATGATTTTGTTGTTGTGATGATATAGAGTGGAATTAGGGTTTTGTTTCTCTTTTTATTTTGATTTAATTCAATTCAGAAAATCTTCTCCCTCAATGTGAAAATTTAACAAGGCCTTAATTCTTTTAATTAGCATAGTGATTGTTTATCTGATCGTAGATGCATTTATCCTGCCAGTTGCTTTATGTTTTCAATGGGATTAGCTACTCTGATAGTTTGGAGTTCAAGCCATCCTTCCCTTTTCCACACAGGAAAAAAAGGGATGATGAAGGGATTACCTTGCCTAAATAAACATAGGGATTAGATTATGATGAGACCATTAGTGTAAATTAGGGTTCTATTTTACAAAGGTTATTTTCAACAATGGTCAACTTAATTTAGCACTTGATTTCAGCATTGTATCCACACTTTATTCTGATGGAGAAAAATTGCCCACTTTTAATTTGTTTCCATAAGGTCAGTGTTGCCACGATTTGATCAGAAACTTGCTGGAATCTGGCCCAGCAGTCTGTAAAATTCCTAATTGATGACTTGAGTACATATCATATCTGAGCATTTAATTATCAACCTCCATAAGCTGCAGTGTTGTTTTTTGACAATCTGTATCCATATGATCTACTGTATTTGCATCCATCAATCTGAGATGTGATTTGTTGTGAGATTCGGACATCTTTCTGCTCTTCTGGTTGTGTATTCGTTTGACTTAAGGCACTATTCCAAATAAATTTCTAGGACCTTTAGGCTTAATTCATATCTGCTGAGTGAAAGCTTAAACAGGGTTTTGATATTCCTTATTGAAAACAAATACACTAGTTATTACAAATTCTCTTTTTTTTTTTTTTTTTTTTTTTTTTTTTTAATTCTCTTTTTTTTTTTTTTTTTCTTTTTTTTTTTTTTCTCTAACCACAAAAATTTGGTTACTTTTAAATTGTAGTTTGCTTTGAGTTTCAGGATAAGATCACTGTTAGGTTACATAGTATTGCTCCGGGTCTTAAGGATCGTTACTGGTTAGGTCAATTACACCTGCATGTTGTATCGATTTACACTAGTTGATTTTTTTTTTTTTTTTTTTTTTTTTTTTCTACCAACAAAAATTTGTTACTTTTAAATTGTAGTGTTGCTTGAGTTTCAGGATCATCACTGTTAGGTTAATAGTATTGCTCGGGTTTAAGGATCGTTACTGTTAGGTCATTACACCTGCATGTTGTATCGATTACACTAGTTGAAGCCGGACTTATTTTATTATGTTAGCATTGTATAGGATTGAGCAAAACAAGCTGAGGTTTGGCATACCTAGGCTCGGCTCATTTATTAAACAAACTTTAAGCTAGGCTCAAATTTGGTTCAAACAAGTTGAATCCAATATCATTCAAGTTTTGGCTTGTTTGTTAGATAAGCCTAAACTAGTGGAGAACTAGTTTAGCCTTCTCTATATATGTTATAAACAAAATCATCGCAAATTCGTTCAGAATTAAAATATTTATTTAGGAAATTGCAATAGACTTGGTCATGCCTGTTCTTTTTAGGATCATAATATATAATAGGATATGTAACTTTTGGTAGTCATGCTGCAAGTTATTCGCTATTATAAAGAAAATGAGTAACCTACTGCCCAAAGCATCCTACAGTTTTTTATATGCTACTATACACATGTGTGTGTGTGTGTGTGTGTATCTTATTTGGTTTCTATCACCTAATAAACACTGTTAATACGTTCTCTATGCTGTGGATATCCTGCATGAGCAGTAATAATTTCAGGCATAAGCTTACTTGTAGGCTTATACGCTACTTTGTTCATGTGTCTAACTGTGCTGAGCTTCACAGATCCTAAGCCTAGCAGTTTGAAGTCTGTGAACTTGGCTTATTAACGAAACAAATGCATTCAAGCTAGGTTTTATTGAGTTAAACTTCAAATTAGCTCATGAGTGGTTTGTCTAATTTGGAAGCCGTTGTGTCTTACATCTCATAATTTCTCTTTCACTCACTCACTAAATGCTACTCGGTTTACCTTGTTTAATCAGGCACAGATTATGCTTGGAATGGTGCAGCCTCCTCAAGTGGTATTCTCGTAACTTTGAGAAGTTTGACTCTCTATGTGTTACCTTGGTGATCATATGTTCTAATAACAATGTTCTTGTAGATTCCAAATATCCAACCGGCAGCACCACAACAACCTCAGCAATCATCACAACCACCTCAACAGTCAAACATTCAGGCTACACAACCGTTACCTGGACAAGTTGCTTTACAGGAACAAACAGTTGCATCTCAGACCCAACCACCAATGAGAAAGCAACACCAGAATCAACCTTCAATGCCAATGCCGTCTACTTCAGCTCCTCCAAGTCATCAGTCTCAGCCTATGCCTTCACACCCTCTACAGACACCACAGTTGCCCAAAGGACATCTGAATCCACAAGTGACGCCAATCCCTGTTCCACAATCCTCTCAACTTCCAAATGTAGCTCCACCTCTTCATTCTGCTCAACAGCAACCGCCACTTCATCAACCCCAAATGTCCACAGTCTCTACTCAGTTGCAACAGCCGTTGCAGACAACTGGAATTCATCATATGCCATTACAACAGCCATTGCCACCACAAGCTAGAGTATCTTCTGTTCCGAGCTTTCATCATCAATATGGACCGCAAATGGGACCCAATGTTGGTTTCCAACATTCTGGTGCTCATCAACATCCTTCACAACCTATGTTTCATGTAAGCTGAAGATTTTGGTTCTCAAGCAATTTTTCATAGTTATTTTGCATAACTTCATTCCTTCCAAATTTTTCAGTCTAGTAACAAACCTCAACCTAGCATGGGACCATCATTTCCACAGGGACAGCTACCTATTCCAAGTCAGTTACCACCACTATATCAGGTATGTTTGCTGATTTCAACTCATGGAATCATTTTATGTTGTTACACCATCTTATCAGTTGGTTATGCTTGATTCATGTGGAGCTTGTTGCTTTACAAGGCTCTCTGATGGGCATAGTTAACCCTTGTCACTTGACTTCCCTGTTTGTATATGTGCCTTAGCATATTCAGAAATTGTTTGTTATGCATGAGAATGATGTTCAAGCCTGTAACTCGTGCTAATCTAGAATGACAAAGTGATCATCAACAGTTGCTGAGCTATCTGCCAATATTGATTCATTGATTGCATGCCTGTTAACAGTTTTCATGGCTAATTGATGCGTTTGTCCAAATAGGAACAGGAATGCATTTAGGCTCGAAATTTCTGCTTGAATTTATTTGTTTAAATTTTGAACCTTTTATGATTATGCCCAAAAGTTTATGTGTGAACAGTGAAAAAAGATGAGTACTGTGACTCCTGAGATGATTTGTAATTGTGTGATTTGCTAATTCAATTGAAACAACAAAGTTTTATCTAATTGCTTAATGATAATGTTGTGGTAGAGATGTGTTACTGTAAATCTAATTTTCTTTGCCTTTATGGAACTTAGGAAATCTGTACTTGCTAGTTAATGGAGAATCACCTTCATTTTTTACATGTTTTCTGCTTTCGGCTTTTTCATTTTCTTTTTATTATCAGCGCATTAAAAAATGTTGGACTCACCAACGCCTGTTTGCTCTGCAATTTGGTTTATCAAGCCCAAGTAGCTGAAAATTAGAGTTTTTTTTCCTTACTCGCCAACACATCATCATAATGAAAACATGGTGGAAACATGGGGTGGCTTTACTTTATCTATAAAATAACCACTGTGAGCTGTCAAAAGCTTGAGCTTCTCATCCAAGCTTTCCACACAACCAGGATATTGTAACTTACTCTCCTCCCCCTGTGCTTTCCATATCCACCAGGCGAAGGAAAGCTTATTTTAAATGATCTTCCTTCACTTCAAAGTATGGGTAAACTTTTACACAACTTTAATTAGAACCTGCCGTCTAATTCGCATTCTCATTTAATGAGATGTGTACTGTCAACATCTATTATTACAGATTAAATCATTGAATGATAGAACATGCCTAATGGGAATAGGTCCGAGTCTCTTTATTGTCGAGATAAGGATTGAGTTGGTAAAGAAACAATTATTGTATTTTGCATTAGGCATGTTGCAGAAGATTGGACACAAATTGATTGTTTCATTTTTCAAGTTTGAGGGCAGTGTCCTTGTACAACTTGATAACTATTTGAGTTGCATTTGCTCCTGTCAATATTTTTGAACCTTTGTTGCTTTTAAGGCTGGAGGTTCGCATTTGAGTTTGCAATTTGCCCTGTCAATATTTCTGAACCTTTGCCCTTGCTTTTAAGGCCTGGAGGTTCGCACATTGGGGATGAGTTCAACAATCAAGCGGGAAACGCAATGCAAATTGATAGAGCATCTTCCGTGGATGTCAGGCCCACCTGAAAGCTCGATAAATGACACATATTTCAAGGTACCACCACATCGGTGCCTGGCCAGAACTGGGCTGAGGCAGTCAGCCTAGTTCGCACTGCAGGGTAAAATTATTTCGTTACAAAAAAGTTTTACCATATGCCTAGTCGCACTGCAGGAGTAAATATTTCGTTACAAAAAAGTTTTACCATATTCCAGGCTTTTATTAATGGTATCAATTTCTTTTCACTGACTTCTATTTCCCTTCTGTTTATGGTCTAGTTGACGCCTGAGATGGAGAAAGCACTGCTTCAGCAGGTCATGAGCCTCACACCAGAACAGATTAATCTCCTCCCTCCTGAGCAGCGGAACCAAGTGCTTCAGCTACAGCAAATGCTACGCCAATGAAATTAATCGGTTATTTCTTTGAATTGACAGTGACAGTTCTTACAGTATTTTATAAGGTCATCTCAGATAACGATTGCTTGCAAGTGAAGACATCATACAGGAACTGAAGCATTTGAGGATAGTTAATAGTACCAGTTTTGGCTGTGATAATTGTATTGTTTTTCTTTCACAGTTGAAATCATCCACATATGGCAGTGTTTGTATTCTTCCTATTTCCAGTCTTTGGATATTTTATTCATGTAGCACCGCTTGATAGGGAGCTAAATATCTATACAGATTATTAAATTCAAGCTTCAAAAAGGTGGGTTGATTTCTTTTTAAATCTTCAAAACTTATAGTCGTATCGTCGATCGTTTAAGATTATCCCATGCTTTTTCCTCTTCAGGACAACAATTTAACAGCCAAATTTTATTATCATAGTGAAGGCCTTATATCAATAATTTGTAATCACCTGAACTTTTAAACCTGCTCCCCTATTTTATTACAATTTAAAAGCTATTTGCGCTGACAGAAAAAACCTTTCATCAATTACATTTTCTAACATCCTTGGTCGATTGCTCATCAAGGTAAGACATGCATGATAGCTGCTTTACAATCAATGGAATTTATCGTATGGCAGGGAAAAAACAATCTCATCCCTTTTCCTATTCTTTTTAAAAATTCATCCCCTTCCTCTCTAATAGGCTACAATAGCTTATCCTGGAAAAAAGAAGCCTCCTCGTTATGGTGTACCAGTTGAATGCTTCACCAGATGGTTGGTTTGGACAGAAATAATCAATATTGTTGTCCCAGATTATGAAAAGCAGATTGCAGATCATTGCCAAGCGCCCAGAGCACAGTCAAGCACAGTTCAACTGCCGTAATTGAAGAGTGCTTCTGATGAATTCTAACAACATGCAAGCACACCTTAGTAAGCCATCCTTTGATTGGCACAAAATTGTGTAAATCCCAATACAAGCAGGAGAAGAATAAGCTCAGCCAACTAATGTCCATGAGAATCATCCACTGCTGTAAGTAAAACTAATGTCAGAAATTTGGGGGCAAAAGGATATGTGGATCAAGAAGCATTTCATTTATTCAACAAAAAATGATGCTTCAAATTCCAAAAAGAACAAAAAAAATCCTATTTTAGACAAGTGACATTTAAGTGTTTATAATTATAATCCCCCAGGAATATAGATAATTTATTATGATTGTCTGCAAGCTAAATCATTTTAATTGACAAACTTCTTTTGTGAATAAATATCAAAAGCACAGCAAATGATGTGTAAGACAATAATGTGAAAATCACGTTCAAGCTGCTGCCAGAAAATGGTAAAATAGCAGAAAACATTATGATTACCTTTATCAGACATGTTCAACGAAAAAATGCCATACTAGTTGCTTCAGAAATTCAGTGACTGGTCAACCATTTATGTCATAGGATGATCATCATTTTGGAAGCCTGAAAATTCAACATCTCCTTCGGATTCCCAATCAATCTCATTCTCAAGTTTGCCCTCACCGTCATCATCATCAACATCATCATCAGACTCTTCCCCATCAGCTCCAATGAATGAAGGTTCATCCTCACTCTGTCCATCCATAGGAAAAAAATATATATATATTTCAAATTAAAGGAAATATCCTTCATAACAATAGAAGTAATATTAGATGTCTAGAAATTACACAGGAAACAACTATATATGGGGAAAAAAATTCACAATGTTATAATGATGACCAAGTAACAAAATGCAAAGAAAAATATCTTACTTGTGTGAAATCTGAGAGATTATTTAACCGGCCATGTTCCTTTGGTTCTGAGGTCCAATTATTCTCATCTTCTTCTTCTGGAGAAAAGCCCTGTAGCAGATGATCAAGAAAAAGAACATCAGTTTTAATACAAATGACGGCGGTGGTGGTAGAAATGATGAGTTAAAACAAACAGAATTTCATAACAAAATATCACTGATTGAAGCATCTACACATATAAAATATGAGAAAATATCGCCACCTATAAGACCTACCTATCGCCTCCCACTCCTCCCCCTCATATTAACTTATAAAGGAGCGTACAACGACAGTGCTTGTATGAAAACAATTTAAAAAAAGGCATGCTGCCATTGTGCGCACATAAACTTGTGCATTTGACTGCAAATACAGCATGTAGGATCAATTCATACCACATCTATAATGCATATAAAAGTGAGAACAAGGAGGAAGACCATTAAGATGCACAAAGAAGGATATAATTAAATTAATAATGACAAACTACCCTCTATTTTGATTGGCTAAAAATTAAAATAAGGAATTATTATTTTTGAAAAATCTTTAATTTGATTGACTATATTAGTTTCCTACTTAAATCTTAAATACACTTAAATAATTCCCTGACTTATGGTTCAATGAACTATATTACTAATTTACATGGTTAAAAAGGAATTAATATATCTATATAATATAACTATAAAAAAAAACACGTACACGTACGTGTCTATTATACACCAACAACACATGCATATATTTTTGAAAATATATGCTTGCAATTTCTAAATAACGGAAACAGCACTTACAATTTCTTTCTTCATTTCCTCTATGGTTCTTTCCAATTCAGATATGTGCTGACTAAGAGCCTGCATAAATAATGTAATATATAAGATATCTACAAGTAAAAGAAGGCCATAGTCATAAGATACAGGCTGATATGTACAAAAAGTAAACGCAGAATTATGTCCCTTTTTGTTCAACTTTATGTCCTTTCTCTTTTTATGTTTAACCTCTTCTCAATCAGCTCTAGCAAAAGCCTATATCTAGCATCTAAATGGCTGAAAGCAATCTTAAAAAACCAAAAGTAAGGTCAAAATCCAATTGACTAGTGATCAATGATACACTGATGCAGGATCCTGCAGCCAAGGTTCCCTCCAGTCTGAAACTCACTGTTGGTCTAAAGATCCCCAGCAGTTGATATTTTGGAGGATTATGGAGGTATTGCTGGTCTAAGATTGGCAATATTGTCATTGGCTTTCAATTGATGAGTTGGTCGCCACCGCTCAGTCATTTGGAGAGTGTGGAATCGGCTCCAATTTACAGTACTGATAAGGATTTTCTACATGGGAACATTTACGCAATTTTTTATTTTTTATTTTTTTTTATTTTTTTTTTATTTTTTTGTATATCAGAACTAGCAGATTATGTAAAGAGGGATAAGAAAGGATAAGGAAGATTGAGTTAAGTAAGTTTTCTTCCTCGTACTTCTTATCAAAGAGGGGGATGATCTGCAAGCACATTTATCCATGTAACCACAGTGATGGATCCAGGATTTCTTTTTAAGAGGGGGCAAACTTAGTAGTATAATAACTTAGTAGTATAATATACTTTTTAACAGAGGGGGCAAACTTAGTAGTATAAATAACTTAGTAGTAATAATATATATATATATATATATATATATATATATATATAGCAAAAATCAGGATAGAGGAGAAAACCTCATGGCGTTGCATGGCCACAGATCGCTTCAGAGCTTTTGCCTTTGTCAAAAGATTTCTTGGCCTCAAGTTAATGGGTCGGCGATAATTCTTGCCACGATAGTAAATTAGAGCAAATCCTTTGGGCACTCTTTCTATTGCCACCAGAATACCACCACTCTCATATTCCAACAACCTAGCTGTATCTTCAACAAATGCAAGAGTCTTTTGTTTGGATATTAACTTCACAAGTTCTCTATGCTTCCAGTGCAAATGCATATTCTCGATGACACCATCAAAAACACCACGAATGCCTGTTTATCATTAAATGCACATTGTCAGAATTTAAGACCTCTTGAATTTCACTCTATGGCTAAAGAAGAAAATATCACTCACCAAGAGGCAAGTATGCCTTCATTCTTAAGCCAACTCTACGGAACATTGCTCTTTCCTCATCAGTTATTGTTTCTTGGTCGTAATCAGGACCAGAAGGAAGCATAGAGGCTTCTATCTTCGATAAAAGTCGTTCTGCTCTAAGCTTTTTGGCTTGGGCCTGTCCAGGCAATCAAACATCAACCAAGTTACTTTATGGGCCCTACCAAAGGCCTGAAATAAGCCCCAATACTGTTATGTCAAATGATGACTGTTGAGTAGATAAGAATTACTGCAATGTCATAGCTGTTAGTTGCAAATGAAAGGATTTTACTGTTGCGCCAGACAGTAGCCCTTTTAAATATTAAAAAATTATCCCCTTCAGAACTTAAAAGGGAAAGGTATAAGTACCCTACGTAGAACAAATCTTTCCCTATGAGACTTTCTGACTGGAGAAAGGAATGTTACGTACGCTTTAAAAATCTCTTTGCAGAGAATCTCTTCCCCCCACCCTCTCACACTAACTCCAATCCTTGTGCAATTAATAGTCAATTCTGGAAGGAAAGCCAGTAAATACCTTCTCACCCACCTTTCGAACCAATTAAAAAAAATATTGTTTTCCTTATAAAAAGGGCCTTTATGTGCAGTGCTTTAGTGGCAGAAATACAAAGTACAGTTTTGTTTTCAAACAGAAAGGAAAAGAAGAAGAAGAAGCTTACAACAGCTAATTTATGTTCAATTCGTTTGACAACTCTAGCCCTTTTCGATCTAGCTGCATCTTCAATCATCTTTTCACGTTCCTCAGCAGATATAGTTTTGCCCCACCTGGCTTGAGCCTCATAAAACTCGGCCAAGGTGCCTGCAAGTGCCTTTCCTTGACCTTCCTCAGATAATGCTGTCTCCACTCCTCTGCTTCTTACCTTCTCTTCAACATCTTGAATCTGTTTGGTTAATTCCTGTCTCTCTGCTAAAGCAGCAGCGACACTTGTTGGCAGAAAATCCTTGCCACGGTATATTACAATGTAATACTTGTTCCTGAGCAGTAAGATACCGCCTGTTAACATCTGCAAAAACATAAGAAATTTTAGCATCATATTGAAATAATGGTTAGTCTGCATGAGTAATATCTTCTTCAGGCATTTGTTATGAGGAAAGCACTATACAAGATAAAGAAACCCAGTGGAAAATTTCACAGAAAACCAAATAAAAAATTGTAACAGAAATGACATCGGAATTTCACCATACAAGCAACAGCTTGCACAAGATACAATCAAGACAGTTTATTTGGGAGAAAAACAACATCAACAAAAAATGGCCAGCGAAATACAAGAAAAATAATGCTTTGAGATAAAAAATGCAACAAACCTTCAGCTCATCAGCCATTAGTTTATTATTTGTATTCTGGATACCACGTTTAACAGCAATCTTTGCAACTAGGCTTTTCTCCCAAATCTTACGTATTGCAGCTGCCAACCCTTGGTGGTTTCTGTTTCTCCCTATAAAACAAGTTGCAAAACAGATTAAGGGCAATGAATTGACAGTGATAATGAAGATTTAACATAAAATGAGCTATACCAAGTGCAAAATGACAAGGAAGAGTTTTAGCAAGTTTTCGCAAATTAGTCATCTCAGCATTCGTAAGTCTTGACCGCATTCCAGTAGGAAGAAGCCTAAAAGGTGTTTTGTAACCAGGAATTTTTGGAGGAAGCAAGTCAGCATCCACTGGAAGTATCCCTGTGCCCCACCACTCTTCAAATCGAGGACCAAGACTATCTAGTAAGCTGTTGAATTCAGCTTCCTCCTCAGTCATATTCTCAGCACTGTTCATTCTTCCAATAGCCAGTTCCCTTTTCTTTACGGTCGAACTTACACCATCATGATTCCTCAGGGTTTCAGTATCAGGAGAAGAAACATCTGGAATGAAAAGTGCATCTCCTTCTTTATCAACAGATTGGGGTTTAGATGGAGGCCCTTCATAGTTACTTCCACGGTACACCATCATGACACTTCCAGCCCTCCATATAACTAAACCTCCAGTTCGACGCTGGCCATTACTACAAACAGTTAGTTTACACATGCCAAATCCTTATCATCTATATGATGAGGTTATTTTTAGTAATTCTAATGAAATATAATGCAATTTAATCAAATGCATTTATGGCATCAATTAGCTTAAACATCTATACCTATCCCAATATAGGAATACAATAACGGCAAGTAGAGATTGGCTACCAAGGTAAATACTATCTGCCAACTACTGTAAAAGCACATAGAATATAGAATCAACAATGCAAAATATAGTCTAATCAATTTAAATGAAAATTAACCAAAAGCAGCCAACCTCAGTGATCTCGTGGGCAGTTTTCATATCATGGGCGAGAACCTCATGAAATTTAAGCCTAACCAACTCCTGCTTCCTCCATTTATCATGAATCTTCTCCAATACATCCTTCGTGAGTCCAGCTTTGGGCACACTAATTCTCTCTCTTACAAACATGCCCATTTTCCTTAGCCTTCTCAACTCCTCATCCTCAATAGTTAATTCTGCCAAGGTTGGAGCTTTAACAGTCCTTTTTCTTTCCCTCCCTCCCTCTCCTCCTCTCTCCTCTCTCTCGATTTCCTTTCTCTGCCATGGTAAAACCAAATCGTCACTCTCCTCATCGTCCCTATTGCTAAATATAGTATCCGGCCGGACCCACTCTCGCTGCAATAAATCTGCCAATCTCTCATCTCCAGTTACTTCCGCCTTATCTCCACGGTCAATTCCCTTATCCTCCTCTCCATCATCATCTTCATCGTCTGATCCTAACCCCAAATTTCTCAACCGAAGCACGATTCTTTCTATCGCATTTTGACCTTTGCCCTCGGGCGAAAACTGGGTCTTGTCTTGACCGTTGGATCGAGCGACTTGTCTGGGAGCGGGAGCGGGAGCAGGACTGGGAGGGCCCCATTTGGAGAGCCAAGGAGAATTCAAGGAGGGAATTGGGCTTTTGGGATTAGGGTATTTGTTGGTTCGAAGTGAAGAAGAAAAAGAAAAGGGCTTTTTGAGAGAGTGAAATGAGGGTTTTGAAGTAGAAGAGAAGAGGGAGTGAGAAGTGAGTGGCAGCGAGTTTCTTAGTGGCAATTCGGTTAATTTGGCTGTTGTAATGGCCATTTGGATGAACTTCAATGGATTCTGGTTGAGCTAGGAGGCGAATAATGATTTATACTCTTTCATCAGTGAGGTTGTTTGGATTCTGAGAAATTTTTTGGACGAAAGAAAGGAATTGAGAGCTTCAGAGAGGAAGAAGATAAGATGTTTTTATGTTCCTAAAATGAGATATTTTAACTTTCTTTTAGGTAACCTGCATGGGTTGATGACGTGGCATACAATTCGGAAGGAGGGGTTCACATGGCTGCTGACCTGGCACCGGATGCTGACTCGCACATAATAATTGCTCGTACAACAATTATAGATTTGATTTAAATTCATAACAGTTAATAGCTGTGAACAATTACTAATAATTTTTCATTAATGCTTTCTTTGTTCGTTTAGTTTGATTTTTTTTTAAAATTATATATATATAAAAAAAGAAATTTCCTGTTTCATTAATGATTTTTTAAATAGTTCTTGCAAAGGATTAGCTTTGGAAGATTAGAGTCCCTCTCATGGTATAGATAATGAGTAACGTTGAAGGCTATAGTAAAACTATAATAGAGTACCATACACTCAGAACAAAAAAAAAAATTATAAAAAAAAAAAAAAAAAAAAAAAATATTAAACAGTCGTTAACACTTTTTTAGAAACATCCTTAGTTAATTATATGAAAAATTTAATCAAAACAGACGCACAGATTTAACCCTTAATTAATTACCAAACATAAAAATTTATATACATAAATTGGTTTTACTAAATAACTTAAAATAAAATGACTTCACATATTCAACCCATCCTACGGTCTTATGAATGTCTGGACCTTCGTCCAAAAAAAAAAAAAAAAATATAAAGTCGTAACACTTTTTAGAAAATCCTTAGTTAATTATATGAAAAATTTAATCAAACAGACCAAATGTTAACCCTTAATTAATTACCAAACATAAAAAAATATTTATACATAAATGTTTTACTAAATAATTTAAAATAAAATGAACTTCACATTTATTTCAAACATTAGGTCATGAATGTCTGGACCTTCGTCCATCTAGTAGTATCATACAAAACAAAGCACAAGCTAATCTCAGTAATTGGACAGTGACAACATCTTATTCTTATCAGTCCTTAGTTACATCATTTGCATATACAAATAAATATTCAAACAAATGCTAATCAATAATCATCATTATACATCTTCTGATCTTCACATGCAGAAAATGCACCCTTCCTAAACCATTCACTCTCTCTGTCTCTATCTTTTTTATCTATCTATCAAATAATAAGTATCATGAGATATGAAGACCAGTTTTCTGCATCTGCTGCTAAATGAGCTAAAAAGCCACAAGCAAATCACACAGCAAAAAAGAGGGGTTAGAATAATGCCTACAGAGTGGAAAACCCATGTACCTATTAAATCATGTGAGGATCTTTGTACAAGTAACGTGAATCTCCAACGAGGATAATTTCCTTTGAGGTTAAGACAGTGAACATACTCAAATTCCAGAAGGTCTTCTGCTAAAGGAAGTTGCTGAGCTAAAAAGTTCCTGGCCAAGCTCCTTTATTTTGTTAAGCAAAAGCATTTGCTCGGTCTCGAGCTGTATCATGTAGTCTTCTTGCATGTCCTCTAAGCTTTCCATATCACTCAAAGCTGTTGAGAGTCCTTCAAGATCACCATTCTCGATTAAAGAGTGAAATTTAATCATCATCTCTCTCATCTGACCAAATCCATTATCGAAAACTTTAATATTAGATTGAGTACAGTTGAAGTTGATTAAAACAGAACATAAATAAATTATCATAAATTATGATGAATCCTATAAAAGATAAATGTTGAAATATTCTTTTTCCTCCCAACAAACTCTTGAGGTCCCAAATTCACCTGGACGGTATTTATTGGAAACCAACCGTGATTCTAAACAAGTCACAAAAGGAAAACCTTATAGAATAACAATTTAAGCTTAAATAGGAACAGACCATGGCAATTGTTTGTCAGAAGCTGATAAAAAATATTAGTGAAGTTGGAAAGTCATCTCACATCTTAAAGGCTTGAGAACCTCATGCTAAATCACCAACTCCTAGAGGATGATAAAAGAGTTACTTTGCTTATTTTTTATAAACTTTAATCTGAACACGCTTCAGAGCTTGAATTGTCTAATTAATGCAGTAAATTATTACAAATCAAGACATTTTGTTTCACATCCTCTCAATTTGCAATATATTAGAGATTATGACGTATATAAAAAACCAATCCTGAAATTTTTGGACAAAACTAGCTTTTTCATATGCTATGTAGCTATCAGAAATAAAAATAACTAGAATTTTATTACAAAGGTTGAAGTAATGCATGGCCTAGATGAGACGGGGAAAAAGAAAATAAAAAGAAACGTGAGCTTTGCATTCTCACCTGGCTAGATAACTGAGGTGATCTAGATAAAGAAGCTTCAGAATCCAAACTGGATCTCTTTTGCATTTCTGGAATTTTTCTAGTAATTTGAATATGGATCTCTCCCCTTTTCACTCCTTGCAGTGGTATCCACTTGTCAGACATCTGGTTAGGTGGCAATCTCTGATATTCTACAACACAATCACCTATACTTGATGTGGGAAGCAAGGCATTGTGGTCTTTCACATGTAACACTAAGGGACTGCCATCATCAGGGAACTCCAGCGTCTGATTCCACTTGGGATTCAAAGTTTTGTATACAACCTGAAAGAAATCCATGGTACTACAGGTAAGTGATTATGCAGCGCAAGACCAAATAAAAACAGCAAGCAGATAGATAGCATATATCGTTTTCATTTTATCACAGAGAAAAGGGCAATAATAGTTACAGGGTATTAATAGTAAATATGAAATATTCTAGACATGCCAATTATTACCAAAATATGACAAATGTTACACAAAAATCTCAAAACTGAGGTGAAATAAGCTAGACCCTGACTCGTCAAACAAACAAAGGATAGAAAATTACAGAAACTTGTAACTTTCAAGTTTCATTCTGCAAATAGAACCTTGCTATTGTTTTAAAAAATACATTCATAAGATAGTTACTGTCTTTTTGATGAAAAGCAAAGGATCTGAAAATTCTAGCAAGAAATATCAATATTTCAATTATGAAGGAGTTGTCCACCTTTGTTCTCTTCTTCAAGTCTCCATATTGCACTCTCACATAAGGATCGCTTGTCCCTCTGAGATCAGCAGCAACAAGGTCCCTTGCTTCGATAAGAACAATTTCAATCCAACCGTTGCTTGAGCCTGTAGTTGAACCCTAAAAGTCCAAGGAAGAAGAAAATGAAATAATATATCAGATTAGGAACCCACAAGCTAAAAGATTATGAGCTGCCAATGATAGAGATTTATTAGAAATAGCCAAGCTCTAATCTCATAAGTTTACATGCTATGGAAAAGGTGGCTCTGTCCTACAGGTTGAAATCTGATAAAAATTGGGAAAGTTGGCAAACCATTAAAATTTGATTCTCCCAAATTACATGCAAAAACAACCTTAAGACAAAGTGAACAAATTGGTGCATTCATGCGTGCTTTGAATCTTAAATAAATTATTTTGATAGGGTGAATCTACATGAATTTTTTTAATGCCATAAAGTACTGAAAATGCCTTGTAGTTGGAGATTTGGAGGTAATCAAGGCATACCTTTGAGCCATCATTGTCATCTCTTACTGCTTCTATTTGAAGCCTCAGTTCTCCTGAATTCACTTTTTCAAGGGGAACCCACACATCCCTGATTGAACCTTCAACCAGTCCCTCCAAGTTTACTCGTGCACTGCCAATGTTGTCATCTCCAAAGATATCTTCATTATAGCATCTAATCCTAAGGTATTCGCCTCCTTCAATCTCATCAAATTCAAACTTCTGATTCCATAAAGGATTAGAAGCATGTGCAGTCCTTGTTCTCTGGAAAACCTGAAAGTAATTTCATCAAGTACTTAGATACTTTACACAGATTTCAGTATTATTTAAGTATTAAAACCTTGGTTTAGCATGGCACATCGTTCTGTGGAGAAAGAGAAACCTGCCTTTCCATATTGCAGTTTAACATATGGGTCACACTTTCCAGATTTTTCTTTTGTGGTAAGATCCCTTCCCTCCATAACAACTACATTAATCTTTCTCCCTGTCCTTGAAAAAAGATTTGATATGCTATCCACTGACTGCCGAGAGCTAGTCCGCAACTTGTTGAAGCTATGTGAACCGTCAGAGAATTGCCATTCTTTCAAGACAAGCTTTACCGTTAACTGAAAAATGCAAACAGACAATAGATATTCCTTCTATCAATGCACCATTTAGTGAAAGAAATTAATGAGTATTCTAGCATCAACTTTATGATCAGAAATATGAGCAGTAAGCAATGTAATATTATTTAGATTTGGAATTAGAAATTGGCTAAAAAATAATGGGACCCAGGACAAGTTTACAGTAGTAGCATGGCATGATCTAGTCCTCCTATTTCATTAAAAGATTAGAGCAACGAATATTTCATTAATTTACAACTAAAATAGGCAGTTAGTAAAAAGAACTATAGTTGACACATCAACTAAGACCTGACGTAATGCTAATCGAGGCTTCAACATTTCACTGTAATGGCTAGAAAGGGAGAAATTTCAGCAAACATCATTGTGCAGAACACGCACAGACTACAGATTATTTTCATTTGAGCATAGTGACAGAGTCTAGGAGCAGGACAATTATTCACCATTGATGGTCTCTAATTAAATATATGATCTGTGATAAGCATACATCTTTTACGCCATAAATACAAGATATGTCATCCTACACACAAATCTCTTTTCTAACCAAGGGAGTAGACTTAATAATAGAAGTTAAACTCGTTGGAGTTTGAAAGACCAAATAAAAGCACCAAATAATATTCCATTATGATAACAAGAAAAGAAATATAAGCAATAAATTTTTGCATGTACCTCTCCTGAGTTAACCCCCTCAAATGGTACAGTCATCTCCACATCTTTTCCACAAAACTCGGCATGCTCAGCAATTACACCTGTGTTGGGTCCTACTGCCCAAAACATTGTTGAATCATCTGCAACATACTTCACCTGCTAGCAATTCCAAAAATTAAATATCTATGCAACAACCAATGGTAAATTAACTGATATGCACAGAATTCTTTTTTGAAAGTAAATCCAGATGTTTAGATGAACAAATTTCACAGATATTAGCTGATTGCATAGTATAGATATCAATTTAGTAATGCCTCAGTTACAAATTTCAGTCGTGCTTTTGGTTTCTTGTGAAAAGAAAATTTCCTTGCTTGGAAATGTGCAATATGTAGATATGTGCGTCATCCCTTATATATCATAAGATTCTTATTTGATGGTTTAACCCATAAACTTAAACTTCTTAAGTTTGTTTAATGTTAGTAAGAGACAAATGAATCTCATTATAGAGGGAGGAAAACAGTATCTTTGCATTAGAAAGATACATTTTCAGTCTACCAAAAAGTTTGATATGAATAGTGCTTTGATTCATATAGCAACAGAAACAGTTATATGGCCAGCCCCAATTATAGGCATGACAAAAAGACCATACCTACTAGCATGCTTCAGAAAAGATGGCCATGACATGTGGCTCTATGATGTTAAGACATAATTAGCATTATTTTTTAGAGTACCTTTATTTCACAACTCGCAAGATAGTCAAACTTCACACTGGATGGACTGGAATTGTAAAGATGAAATCGAAGAATTCCAGTTTCTTCATGTAAAACCATATTAAATGTTGAATCCCATCTTGGACCTGAGCCCGATCTCACATTTGTTCTCCTTGTTAACTGTTCAAGTTCAACCTCCACAAAAGTTTGCAAATCTCTATCATCAAAATACTCTTCTAAACTACCATTTATAGAACAATTTTGTTGCCTTCTTGAAGGGCTTCCTCGAAAGGCACTTCTAGAAAGGTTACTAGCAGAAATGACTGTCACGTGAATAACTCCGCCAACAGCCTTCTTCCTTAAATCTACTGCTGGTAAGGAGAGACAACGGCGGCGAGGTTCAACCATTGTCTTAACTAAGGTGTCAGTCAGAATTTTGACCTGCATTTAAGGAAAACAAATAAATGAAGGTGACATAACAAATAGCCTTGACAAAGGATGTATAGTGAGATAAAAATGCAGCAATATTTAATGAGGTATGTAATATTTTGATGAGAAAGAGGTTGAGATACTGAATCAAACAGTTGCTTGTCAGTAGGTTCAAATAGGAATGGGCTAAGCAGCCTGATCAGTTAACCCAAACGAATAGGCATGGGCTTGGGCCTAAATAATAGGCCTGAAATGCAATCCCAGACCTAAATTTCTAAGCCCAATCACATTGGGAGGAGGCTCAAGCTTAGAGAAAGGTAGGGCCAGACCAAACAAGTAAATACATATGACAAATATATAAACTCGGTTGTATGGTTTCTTCTATAAGATACATGCAATATAATATAAAAAGGAAAAAGATCACAAAACTCAGAAGCTTAATCAATCAAAGCTTCATTTAATAAGCTTGAGGCTTGTTTTCTAAAATAAGTTTATCATTTGAGTAATCAAAAGTAGCTTACATGGATTCTCTAGAATATTTTAGTTGAAGAAGTCTCTTCTTGGTTTTCAAATTAAGTCATTAAATAAGTTGCTTGTTATCAGGAATTACAGTAGATCCATTTGTAAGTTCTTTTTTTTCTTTTACCAATTTATTCACAATTATTATGTCCAAGCCATTGAAGTTCTAAGAGTTATGGACGGCTTTCTTCCATTCTCTTTTTTTTAAGTTAGGAAAGAATATTCAGTTTTATCTATGTTTCTCAGGAATTACAGTAGATCAAGTAGCAATTTTTCAAACTAATGTTCAGTTTTATGTCTGTCACTCAAGAATTACAGTAGGATCAAGTAGCAACTTTTCTAACTAATATTCAGTTTTACGTCTGTTAGTCAGGAATTAAATAGATCAAATAGCAACTTTTCTAGGAACAATCTCCATATCGGTCATAGGTGAACTAGTCTTACACTTACTGCTATCCATTTACCTCAGTTTTCTACTTTAATCTTCCTAGCTGCATCAATATTTCAAAATCATGTCAAAGTTTTTAAGGAACCCAGAAAAGAAGCAGGATTTCATAGAGAGAATGAAACCAAGCATAATGGAGTTTGTGTTACAAAATTGTAAATAGTAGAGAAACACACCAGCCAAGAAGAAACAACAGGCAGCTCAGTGGCAGGTAGAGACTGGCTTCCTCCACTTCCAAAGGCAACTCCTATTCTTACTTCTGGAGTTGAAACAAATGAGTATAGAATTGCTCCACCATCCAGAACAGGCATCAAAAGAAGCTGCACAGATTGTTGAATATTAAATACCAACTAAAAGATGCACACAGTGGGAACATCTAAAATTCAGAAATAGAATATCCAATCAACAACAACAAACTAAGGGCAAAACACAATTGACAGTTCCTCTAAATGCAAATAAATATTGGATCCCTGATTACCCCACAACTACCAAAAAAAAAGAAGCTAAATAGCCATTTACAAAACAACTATGAGAATGAATAATAGTCTAAACTATAACAAGGGAAAAAATGTGATGCAGAAACAAGCAATGCAGCCAAATAACTGGGTCATAAACATGAGAGAAACACAGTGATCTAGGCAAGTTCATTTTTCAGTCTCTAATTTGCAAATAAAAGTTCATAAACAATCAAGTAATTAATCCATCAAATGGTTATTGAGTTGCATGAGAGAGGAGCAATTTCACGTACATCACCCTTTATATGAAGGCTGTTAACAACAATCCGAGCTGCTCCCATTGGCTTGACCAGCTTAGCCAGCAACATAATGCTCAAGTCAGATGTGTCCCAATCAAAACTGAGACGCATAAACCCCTGTTAGAATGGGAAAAAAAAATGCTTCGTAAACACTTAAGATATACTTTGCTGTTTGAAGGGCGAAAAAAAAGATGAACAGTAAGCATTTTAATACAAATTATACTCATATGCATTATCTACACAAGGCGCTTCAGTTCTATTTCACACAAAAGAAGTAGAGTATTTGACAGGGCGATGTCGATATTAGCCATTGGCTGGTCTAGAGGATCCCTGCTCGCTGAAGGGAAGAAAGAAGCACAGGATGATGATGAGGGACTGTTGAACAACAGTAATACAAAATGCATCCAGTGACTTCAGATAATAAATGAATTTTCCCAAGTGCTCAGACAAAGATTTAGTTTCTTTACAGGAAATTACTTAGAGTCTTGTGACAAAGCTGAATAAAAGGCAGGTCAGAAGGCTAACATACCTTAAATCATAGGTTACCAATGATAAAAACCTTTTTACAGGTCTTTGGACAAGCTATCCATTTTTGTACTATTATCAGCAAGCAGTAAAAGGGAGGCAATTGAAAGTGCTTCTGGGATTCAGAATACAAGAATTTTTGGCAAAATCCATATTTTATACAAACCTCAGGTCTACAACCACCATTATCTAAAGATATCAACTTGACAAATCAGATGTTACAACTTCATTGAATGCGAAACATACAGAGATTAGAACATTAAAACACAAGAGCAAGACATGAATTTGCATATGCCTAAATAAACAAAAAGCCAACAGTAAATTTCATAGAATGATTTTAAACTGCAAGGTAACAAACTAAGTATCCTATTATTTATAAGAAGTTCCCTCCAAGCCATAATGATAGATCAAAATAAATAAATAAATAAATAAATAAATAAAAGAGGAAAGAAAGAGAAGCGCTCTCAATAAAAGCCTGATGATGGCATAATATTAAAAAATGATAATCCAAAAACAAACCTGGTCACCTGAAGTTGACCAACGAGTGCCATGGAGAGCCAAGTAAGGTGGGGAGCTACCTAACGAAAGCTCCTGTAATTCAATTCTTTCCTACAGAAAGTGTATTATTTCGTAAGTTACATACATATTGATCTAACATATAATTCTTAAATGATCCACTCATGTCCTTCAATGCATGATTATTAAAAAAGAAGGATAATACTTACTATAAATTTCGACTTCCGCTCCTTTAAACGCTTCTGCACAAGACAACGCTTAAGAAATTAGTTTGATCGTACAAACAATTAAACCAGAACTTCATGATTGTGTAATTATATATGCACATGCATTTGTCAACGTGCATGCAAGCATTTGTCTGTTCATACCAAACAAAAAGGATAAATTCTATTAAAAAATGCAGGGATAATAAAAGATTGGCTCAACAATTAAATAACAAAGAGAGATGAAGAGTTCTCAACCCACTAAGTAGTTAGTATTAAGGAAAATCAATATAGTACACGTATTCCTAATTAGTTCCTAAGTATATTTCTAATTAGTTTATGATTTGTGTTCCGAAATAGCTAGATAGCATAGGAATTCCTTATATATAGACCTATGTAATCGATGGATGAGATACAAGAAATACAATTACAATATTATCTCTCAACAGTTAGGAAATAGAAAGGTTATTGAATCAATTGTACAAAAGAAGGCATGAATAGTGCACAAGTCTCCTTGCTTGGCGACTCTGAACCAATTACATACCAGCTTCATTTTACAAATGGCTGCATTAGTTATAAGAAAGGCTTATCTATAAAAAGATCACAGATGCTTGAGATGACTCAGCATTCAAACTTAAAAATCATTTTAATAAGAAATTAATACTTTTGAAAAGAAATTCCACCAGTTTGCAGTGTTGAAATTTCCTAAAGGAACTTACCACAAGCTGAAATCTATTAACTTTGGACCCTGAAGATATTAAGGAAAATTAGTTCAAATGCCTACTTAATAGAGCTTCCAGCTGAATTGCAAATTAGTCCAGTCTCTAATGTATTGAACTTGTATCCTTTTTATGGATTTGATTGTGTTCTGTCTTCCATCGAAGCCCAAATTCAGCAGCTGCCAGTTGCAAAGGCTGATGTTATCGAAGGAATATTAAACGTCAAAGAAGTTTGATTTAGATGAGGCAACCCATATAGATGATTGTGGGTGAAGCAGCTTGGTAAACCAGCAATGAAAGTAGCAGAATTTCAGAAGAAGAACTAAAAAGAGATGGTCCATCCATATACGAGGAATATGTCAAGGTTTACTTGTTGGAGTTGATTTCTTTTTTGGCCAAGGAGAATGATGCAAGAGCATTCAAGTTAGATCAGGATTCCTGATTCATAAAGTATGTTAATTGATTAGGAATAGTTTTTCCATTTTTCTTTAATTTGGCATCCTATTTAATAAAGTATGTTAATTAGGAATAGTTTTCAGTCTGGAATTAGAATGTAACTAGTATAAATAGGACAACAATAATGAGTTTATCTCTTATATTTTTCTCCGTCATTTCTGAATTTTCATTCTAAGGTTTTCTTTAAAACCAATTATTTTATATTGTTCGAAAAATGATTACCCTATTCTAGCACTAACTGTTGAGAACTAATTGCCCTAAATTCTTCTGATATGTCAACCATGCAGGGTTATAGATTTAGACAAAGCATGAGGGCATTTTATAATAAAGGAAATTGAGATAAATATGATATTTTCACTAAAAGAAACTGAAACTGCATGCAACTTTGCAATGGAATTTGCTTCTCTTACAATGCGATTCTCCTTTATCCCTTGGAAAATGATACACAGTCTCCTTATTTAATAAATTGGACAAAACCAATAAATTAATGGGATGAAAGAAGCTAATTTATCCATCCATTTCATGAAAATGTACAGACAACGACAATCAAATATACATTCAACAGAAATGTAGGAAGACATCAATGTTGACTTATATTGTAACCAATAATATGGTCCAAGAAATCTGACCTCGACAATGGATGAAAACCTTATTGAAAGTTTTGGGTTTATGTAGTTGGGCCAAACTTCCATTAACAGTTTGTTCAGCCACTCACAGTGTTCCACTGGTGTTACTGGCTGTATAAACAAGTGACAAAGTAAAATAATGAAATCCATAAAACATAAATTTAATGTACACTCAAACTGAAAGGCAAAGACAGAAGAGTTACCGAGGTGCTCAATACAACTCGTTTCCACTTTGTATTCAGATCTTCAACAAGTATTTGACGTTGATAACCGTAATACTGTAGAATAAAAAAGTATGTCTCAGCTGACCACTATTTATATCCTTACAAATCACGACTGGTAAGACATAGCTGAAAATTAGAGCAGCAATAAACCCATGAATGGTAGCTTATAGAAGATTTAAAATTTAATGCAGGTGTTTTATGCAGAAAACCTCTTAAAGTAGTAAAGTGACGAAGAAAACGTAAAAAGAAAAAGGCAAAGAAAATCACAACAACCAACCCAAAAAATTTGGATAAGTTAACCAAAATATAACTTCTGCCTTCAAACAGAAAAAAATTGTTAAAAAAAGAACATATAATGCTAAGCCTCCAAAAATAAATGATTATGTAGATATCTCACACCACCTAGTACTCAAACAGCTGGAAAAGTAATCAAGATGGACAATGCAATTTAGTAAAAGGCTGATCCTTTAGAATCTCTCTCCAGAAGCCAGAGATATTCAAGTATGACAGACGAGTAGTTGCATATTGGCAAATTATGATATTGATGTTTCACCAAAACAGAAATATGTAATCAAAAAGCTTTTCCAATGAATTGAGCAAAATTATCCAAAGGACAAATAATACTTTGTAACACTGTGCTTGGTTAAAGATAGAATACAAAATGTAACCAATGAAAGAAAGAAAGAACCCCAAAACTGAGTACAACCAAGAACAAACAAATACTAACAAAATTTTAGGAAAAATAAAAAATAAAAGATGCAAAACTTAGAAATTAATAAAAACGTATAAACATACAAAATGTAAAGTAAAGCAGAACTTGAAAAGAAGAAGAAGAAGAAATCAAAGGATCCATATTGGACATCTAAGGTTAGCATGAAAATAGATGGTAACAGTAAAGAAAACAACTTATATACCACCAATAGAGAAATCAATTTAGAACACACCTGAACAGTAGCCCAAACAGCAACAACAAGAGGGACCCAATTGGAAACAGAGAAAATCCATTTCTCAATAACCCAAAGAACCAAAATCAGAGGAACTAAAAAAGGAAAAAGAGGCTTCTCTGCATATAGATGATTAAAGAAATCCACAACCTCTTCAATATTTAATCTTGCTTTCCTCATTCTTCTTATTCTCGCCATTTTCGTATCAAAAGGGACAACAAAAATAAATAAATAAACTAACTAAAAATTTGGCATCCATAGTTCAATTTATATGTAGAAAGAGAGACAAGAGTGTGATGTAATTGTAAATGTAAACTTTGCTACTTAGAGAAGAAAGTTAAACAGTTAAATGGAAGACGAGGGAATTTCGGGAGTTTCCATTGTTTTGGGTCAGAGAAACGAAGAAAAGTCTTCTAGTCAAGCAGAAGACGGAGACCATAACAGGCTAAAGTTAAGACAGCAAAAATGGGCTCATTAGGCTGATATTTAAACTGTAATTTAATTTGATTATCCATTTCAAAATGATGCAATTTGTAGTTTTGACGAAACTTTATACAAATTGTTAAATTTAAACTTTTTTTTTATCTTTCGAACCATCGTATTTTATTTATTTTATTTCCTATGATCCTATACTATTCTAGATGAGGATTTGAAAATGCCATTGATGATAATTACCAAAATGTTGAAATTATTTCTACAACGAATATAACAATTGTTTACTATTAATTTTGAAAATTTTATAAACAAGATCTAAATTGTTAAGATTAATTGTGTGATTTAGTTAAGAATTTTATATATTTAAAAATAAATATTAAATATGAAAATTTATTTACAAATAATTTTTGTTGGAATTAATTGGATGGACAAAAAATACAAATATTCAAATGAAAATAAAATAAGATTTATTTATAATATTAAAGTAAAATTATATTAAATTATTCAAATATAGCAATAATAACTTCAGTACTTTTTTGAAAGGAACTTTAGTTTTTTTCTTATTTAAATATATGGGAGGAAGTTTGTCTAATGACTTTTATTAGCACGCGGAATTTAATTTGACTGGATCTTATTGGTAAAAGTCAGTAACTATGAACATTTTATATAACAGTATGTTCAGTACCAGGGGCATCAAAAAAATATTTATTTAATTGTGGGACAAAAATAAAATATTTTCTTTTTCATATTTTTAGATGGAAAATTAAATTTTCTATTTATCCGGGGGCCATGGCATGTGTCCCCCTACGTAATGCTAATTTTCTATTTATATAATATGACATTTTCCATAGAAAAAACGTATGACAATCTAATTATGAATGATAAATCTGTTACAAATAGGATATATCTAGTTCTTCAATTTTAGTTGAAATTATTGTAAAATACTTAATATTTAATAATATCACTTATTTATCCTTCAAGTTTAGTCATTTCATTTAAAAAATATTAGTCATTTCATTTAAAAAATATTATTCACTGTCATATATATTTGAGTATTTGATTCATCACATTTAATAATAATATTATGGCAGTATTTGATTCATCCATTTCTATAAATATAAATAATATTATATATATATATATAGATATATATTTATTTATTATCTTGATAATTAATTGTTCACTTGTCATATGAGGAATGCAATCGTGTTGTGCTTATTATGTTGGACCGACATGGCTCTCATGTGCTTTATAGTTGTTATAATAGAAATAACAAATAAATATTTACAACCAATAAGGTAGCATAAAGTATTAGGATAAATCCACTGCTAACATGGTTTAGTTAAATACCTTTCTCCTAAAATATCTGTTTCCTTAATATTTTGTTTACCTACTTCAATTTATTTATTTGATTAATTAATTGTTCCATTGTCATTGAGGAATGCATGTGTTGTGTCTTATATGTTGGACCGACATGGTTCGATGTGCTTTTATAGTTGGTTATAATAGAAATAACAATAAATATTTCAACCAATAAGTAGATAAATATTAGATAATCACTCTAAACAATGGTTTAGTTAATATTTCTCCTAAAATAATTGGTTTCCTTAATATTTTAGTATACCTAATTCAACACGTGAAAATAATTGATTAAATCATGTTTTAATATACCAAATTGACATATTTAATATTGATATTTTTTATTTGTTAGTTAATAATAACATAATTTTGGAACCGAGGATTAAGCTTATATCATTTACTTTACAGGGATCGAAGTCGCTAACCAGCTCAATCAACACTTTGTTAATAAGAAACCCTCATATTTACTATTTTTGTTCCATTTCTTGTCATCGAACATGGTCGAAAAGGAAATTAAAGGGACATACACATGAATATATAAGGAAGACGGTATAACTTTTAAAAATAAGAAAAAAATTTATATTCTTATTTTATACTGTTTAAAGGAATATATAAAAATAAAAAAAAAATTATCGAACTTGAACATAAATTCATACTTTTATATAATTTGTAACATAAAAAAATTTATTCAAATTTTACATTATTGATTCTAGGGAATTCCTTATTGATTATATTTAAATCAGAACTATACTACTTTTGTTAAATTTTATAAATAAGTTTCAAATTTATAAGACTTAATATTTGACTTTATTAAAATATTTATATTTTTAAGAAATAAATATTAAATAATTTGTTTTATTTGTTTGTTTGTTTGTTTGAGGAATGCATGCGTGTCTCATTCTCAGATGGTGAACCACTTTGTTTGGATGTGCTTTTATTGTTGGTTGGTTGGAATTGTCAGAAGTGATGGCTACTTGGAAATTCCCCAACCCAAAATGCCCCACATTGTTCTCTTCTGGTCAAACTATAATTAAAAGTAAATTCTCAATTCATCAACTAAAAATAAAAATAGTCTTATTTCTTATTTCTATTTTTGTATTCACAGACGTTATGAACAATTAATTAATATAATTTAAATATTTTCATAGTAATTTTTTAATATAGTCCTACGCGCTTGTATTGATAAAATGCAAAGTTCATGATTTTTTATCAATTTTTTGAAATCTTCAGAAATTTACATTTAATTGTTTTGTGGAAAAATAAACTCTGTAGATATTAAAAGGCTATTTGGAATGCAATTAAGTAGCTTAAATATCATCATTAATAAAAAAAAAATGATAAAATCGATAATGTCTCGCTTATTTTTCCTTCTAAAATACTGGGATATTGAAAGCATTAATGAAATTTATTAATTTAATAGATTTTTAGGCTAAATCATTAAAAAAAATACTCTAAACATTGCGGGTAATTTTAATTGTACCTTAAATCTAACTTTCTTCTCTTAGTACTCCGAACTTCAATTTTAGTTACAATAACACCCTAATTTCAAATTGTATCCAATTTAATGGATAAAATATTATTTGTGGGACTTAGTTTAAACTTTTTCCTCAAACTATACTCATCACTTACCACCACTGCTTATAAATAAATATTTTTATTTATTTATATAAATATTAAAATAAAAAACTAATCTATTATTTCACTTGGCTTTTATGAATTTAAATTTCTAACCAATATTAGTTAAGACATTATTAAACAGTGGATTTTTAGTTAACCTGATCATAAGAGATCCAAGAAAAATAATATTTTATTTATTAAATTGGATACAATTAAAAATTAGAGTGCTATTGTAACTAAAATTAAAATTCAGAATACTAGAAGAAGGAAGATGAATTTAGAACACAATTAAAATTACCAGCAAAGTTTGGGGTATGTTTATAATTTGGCCAATTTTTGACTTTTTTTTTCTCAAATAAATAAAGTAATCTAATAAACCAGGAAATGTCTGAATTTTATCAGTCAAATCTATTATTTAAATTATGAAATACTTTATTTAATTTATCTTTTCATATTTTATAATAAGATAATAGTGTAATTAAATTTTTATTGAAAAATTTTTTAATACGCTGAATATAATATATATTCTTTTTTTTTTTTGGCATATGATGAGATTTTCTTTTCCAAAGCCGTATTTTGTGTTTGGTATGAATTAATGGGTTATAAATAGAGATGACAATATTACCTCAGTGTCGGACACTCTATTCTATTCGATCCAGTTTCGGTGAATTTCAGCGATGAATAAAAGAATTCAGATAGTATTTTTACTATCTATATGGTGTTCAAGTTCAAGCCTTTGAATACCCACAAGCCATTATAATACTAATTATTTTAAAAATATATATATATATAAAGATAATCTATAATCAATAGATATTATATCTGGGGCATTGGTGCAGCCATACATCTTCCTTTTATGTTGTTTAGAGATGAGTGTAGGGTATAGTAAGTGTCTGTAAATTTGGGTACAAAAACTTTTCACTTGTTTTGTTTTTGGAGAATTTTGCAGAAATTGATGTTGTGAAATCTCCCAAAGTCCTAAGCATAAAACATGAATAAATTCACTATTGGAAGAAGCAACTTGGAACCTAGTCCATTTTGCTGGATATCTTTGACCCTAAAAGACAAACAAACAGGACTCCAATTCACCCACTCGACACCATACACAAATCCAAACTTTAAAATTATAGGTTTTTAGGTATTTCTTGCTTATTATAAATAAACTTACGCAATTAAAAGTTTGGATGAAAATGTTCATGAAAATAATATTTTGTATTTTATTTTTTATGATAACTGTGTCTTTTGTACGATTATCGTCTCAACTCAGCTGACATGATTGTTAAAACTAATTAGTGTAGACTTACACATGACGCATCGTAGTTAATTGAGAAATCCACTGACAACTAAAAGAAGAAACTTAATCCTAATGGCAGACCGAATGTTGCTAAGTTTTAAAATTTAATTACATTAAGGCCTTTTTTTCCTGAAATGCTAGTGGGTTTCATTATCAGTAGTAACACGTTATTTGTAGGAGTTCACACTAAATATTTTAACAACTATGAAAGTACAAGGAGGCTGCAATTCTGATACAAATGATTGCGTTCGGTAATAGTTTTTTAAGCAGTCAAAACGCTAAACGCTACTTAAAATGTTATTTAGTAATATAGCGTTTAAACTAGCTTTTAGAAATTAGGGTAATTTTTTATCAAAAGTTAACTCATATAACGTTTAATTTTTAGCGTTTCATGAAAAGTTATAGTTAACAGCTGAATACTACTAAAATAGCTAACGCTTACTAAAATAATTAATTTTATTGAACAAATCCAAAATTAAGATACAAGATATCCATTGATTAAATTAAAAAAATACCCAAAATTATAAAAAAAATGTCAAATTAATGACTTTTTTTTGCTGTAATTTAATCTTTTTTTCTAAAGATTTTTTAGACAATCATCTCATATTGAGTTAAATTATAGTTTATACAAAATATAAATAAAGTGGAATTCAATTGAATTTCTACTCATAATTTGCTCAAAATTTGGAAACATTACAATTAGAAAGAACTAGATGAAGGCCCGTGCATTGCGCGGATAACTTTGTTGCAATTCAATTATTCTCACATAATTACAAGAAGCTTTTATATCTTTTAAATGATAAGATTTATCATTTCAAGTCTTTATCTATAAATGTTAGTAATTTTATTTTTTAATTTCTCACCCAATTACCAATCAAAGAAGTAGTATCTGAATTTAATTTTGCTTACTCAAAAATGGTTGTCATTACAAAGGTGAATTAGATTAGTCATTACACTTGTTGATGTTGAAGAGGTTAAGTAAAATCCTTCAAAATATGTATTTTGATAGGCTGTTATACTGTAATTCACATGAAACATCATAACAAATTGAGATAATATTAACTAAAAAGAGGAGTAATTAATGATTGACATACCCAATAATAGAAGCAAGTAAAATACAAGAAAATTTCTTTAACCAAAGAAGATTTGCATGAACTTCTCCAACAAAATTAACAAATCAATTCAAATGTATTACGAGGAAGATTAAGAAGTCTTAATTATTTATCTAAATATATTTTATTTAAAAAATTGAAAAAGAAATTTAAAAAATTTCGAAGGCCCTAATTTTTAGGCTTTAATATTATATATTTAAAAAATGTCTAAATTGATTATCTATATAGTGTGGGTTATAGTGTGGAAATTAAAGGATACCGATTTTATAATCCCATTTCTAAAAAATTGCTAATAAGTCGGGATGTAGTATTTGATGAGAAAAGTGCATGAAATTAGAATGAGATGTAACATGATGTAAGTTTTCATCAAGATAATAGTGAATTTGTTCTTGAACAAGTTGAAGATGGAAGTGGTAATGACATTTCAGATTCTTCACCAAATTCCTCACCACCTAATACTACTGCTTCTAGCCCCTCTAGCTCAACATCATTCTCAACCTCAAGCACACCTCCCAGAAAATGGAGATCTCTACAGGAGATTCATGAACAACTCGATCCATGTCGGCTTGCAGTTGTTGAAAAGCCTAACATTTTTTAAGAAGCCGTAAATAGCGACAAATGGCGAAGTACAATAAATGAGGAAATGAAAGCATTAGAAAAGAATGAGACATGGGAGTTGGTTGATTTGCATTTGGAAAAGAAATATTAGGGCTGAAGTGCGTGTACAAGTTGAAATATAAACCTGATGGCTCAGTCCAAAGGTACAAAGTTCGGTTAGTTGCACATGATTATATGCAGTGTGAAGGCATTGATTTCAAAGAAATGTTTTCTTCGGTAGCAAGTTTTAACACCATTCCAACTGTTTTATCTATTCTTGTATATTATAAATGAAAATTTTTTCAATTTGATGTCAAATCAGCCTTTTTAAATGGTTTTTTGGAAGAAGAGATTTCTGTAGAACAACCTAAAGGTTATGAAATTGATGGTGAAGAAGGAAAAGGTTTATAGTTGAAGAAAGCACTCTACGGCCTCAAGCAAGGTCCAAGTGCCTGGTATGAAAGAATTGAAGCATTTTTACAAAAAAGGATTTAAAAGGAGTGCAAGTAAGCCTATTTTGTATGTCAAGAGAAGAGGAGACAGTGAGGTATTGATCGTTTGTCTCTATGTGGATGACTTAATTTATACTGAAAATAGTATTGACTTAATCAATGATTTCAAGAAAATCATAGTAGCTGAATTTGATATGAATGATTTGGGCAATGAGTTATTTTTTGGGTCTAGAAGTGAAATAATGTTATGCTGAAATTTTTATTTCATAAGAGAAATATGTGAAAGATCTTCTAGCAAAATTCAATGTGAACGATTGTAATGTTATCATGACCCCTGTGACCACCAATCATAAATATTGCTTGGATGATGGAGAAGAGAAGGCAAATTCACAAGTGTATCGAAGTTTGGTAGGTAGTCTGCTCTATTTGACATATAGCCGTCCTGACATTTTTCAAGCTACCAGTCTCCTATCACGGTTTATGCAAAGTCCAAATGTAATTCATTTTGGTGTTGCAAAAAGGGTGTTAAGATATTTAAAAGGAATCCGCTCCCATGGTTTTTCTATTTGACATTAAAAATCTTAAGTTGTATGGATTTTCTGATAGTGATTGGACAGTATCCTCAGATGATCGCAAAAGTACTATAAATTATTTATTTATGCTAGGGTCAAGTGCCCTATCCTGGACTTCAAAGAAGCAGCTGCCATCCATAGCTTTATCATCTTCCAAAGCTGAATATATGGCTGTTGCTTCAGCACCATGCCAAGCAATTTGGCTAAGAAGAATTTTGCAAGATATGAGAATTGAGTAGAAAGGAGCAACAGCAATTTTTTGTATAATCAGTTCACTGGTTTGATGGCGAAAAATCCAGTTCAGCACCACAGAACAAGACGCATTGACATTCGGCATCATTTGTAAGGGAGCAAGTTGCAGAAGAAAATTATAGATCCGTTTACGAAGTCACTTCCACATTTTATATTTAGAGTCCTATCTATTTGTTAACATGGATTAGTTGGTGTCCTTATAATTTGGGAGTAGTTGAGATTGAACGAGATAACTGATGAATGAAATGCAACAGAATGTTCCAATTTTTCCACTTTTGTATCTATCGCTTGTCTCATATTTTTTTTTTCTTTTTATTTTAGCTTTTATATTTGTAAACACTGCTCAGTTTTAACAAAACGGAGTAGAAGAAGAACTAAAGAAAAAGAAGAAGAAGAAGAAGAAGAAGAAAAATTTAAAAGAGGAGCGAAATAGAAAGAAGAGAGTTGGAGAGAGAATTAATGAAGTTTGTTATTCAATCTGTATAAACGTGACAACTGTAAGGTTAGTAACAACATTTATACAGCTGTCAATAGGCTAACTGATTGCAATAGAATTCTTTACAGTTGTGCCATTAGATACCTTTTTTATATACTGCAGAATTACTTTTTTACTCTTCATATTTTTACTCTTCATATTTTTACTTCAACACTTCAATTTTTATTCCACATGCACAGTGTCACCAATATCTACTGCAAGACCGTAACATTCTAACAAAGTCATAAACGACTAGTTAGTAATACATTATAAAGTAAACAAAACTATTGTAAAACCTCTATATTTTCACAACCAGTCACAAACTTTGCCAAACAATCATTTCAATCATTTTATCTATTTTCAGTGCACAAATGCTATCAGGGGTAAGCATTCCGTCAATTTATAAATATGTATTAATTATCGCTTATAAAATTTATGTATTTTTCGTGTTGAATAAATTAAAATTATAATGTATGTTTATAAATTTATTATATCACAAAAAATGATGCTTTTATGGATTTTAAATTTGTATTCATAAATGTTGAAAAAGTTTGATATCAGTGCTCTTTGTGTAGGACGAAAAGAGATAAAAAAGTCAAGCATGATAAATTAAATCATTTGTTAATTTATAAAAATCAAAACAAGTTCAAGGGTTAAATTGATATAAAGGTGAAATCTGATCTTTTTAATTATTTTATACAAATTCAAAGGCTAAATTGGCCCAAAAGATCAAATTTAACTTTTTTTATCCTGCCAAATAAGTTCAGGGGCTAAATTAGCCTTTATTCCAATATAATATTTATAATAGTATTAAATAGGTTGAGGTGGTGTTTTATCTCCTTAATATTTAGCGTTTAATAATAATTAGTTGAATTTTTTAAAATTATTGTTATCAACTATTATCAACTATTCTTACTTTAAACATCCGATAGAACAATTAATATTGCTATGAACTTTATGTATTTTCTATGGAATTGTTTATACTTAAACTCAAACCTCATTGAAGTATTTTTAAGATGCTCGTATCAAATCCATGAACAAAAGAAATAATTAATAAATAACTAAAATTCATCTTGCGGCATTCTTAATTTTACTTAAATTCAATAGATCAACTAAATATCTATTGAATAGTTAAAAAATATGAACATTATTGTTCCAAAATTTAACCACATGTGAAACTAGTATTTTTCATATAGAAGTGAAAGATAAAACGGTGAATTTATGCATTTGAGCTTTAGTCACCTTCTCTTCTGTAAACATTTTATTAATTTCAAAAGGGTTTGAGTGACCACATTTTTTTTATGTGAGGATGATATGAAATCCCATTGCTAAAGAAGATGGAACCACAAATTAACTTTCTATTTATTTACTACTGAAAAAATTCAACTTTATAAATTCTAAATCATTAAAAAAAATTCTAAATTTTACTAATAACTTTAATTGTACCGTAAATTCAATTTTCTTCTCACATTACCCTGAACTTAAATTTTACTTATAATACCACTCTAATTTCAAGTTGTATCGAATATTAAAATAAAAAATAATATTTTATTCATTGAATTGGGTACAATTTAATAAATAAAATATTATTTTCAAATTGTACTCAATATTAAAATAAAAAATAAATATATTCATCTTAAAATAAAATACTCTTTATTTATTTATATAATAATAGCAACAAATAATGATTCTCTAAAATTAAAATTATACCGTAATAAATAAAACCTATTTTTACAAGAGATCTATCTTAAGTATAATTTCAATAAACTCTAACTAAAATTCCATGCTTAAAAAATGGCAAAACAAAAATTTAAACTAATCTTTTATGCTTATAACTAACTAAAACTTTTTATTTTTCTTGGTTTTTTATGAATTTAAAAAAAAAAAACTTCTAACCAATACGTGTGAGGCTGTTGTTAGGATTCTCTATACCATAATTAGGCATAAAAACCTGACTCATCTGGTAATAAAACGGGCCTTAACAAAACTAATAATCTTCACACCAATTCAGTTTCGCGATTGGCTTCATTAGGATCATGTTGTGCTCTCTTCACCTGAGAATCATCAAGATAATTCTGGTAGGTATAACAGCCAAAACCCCAAAAAGCCAGAAGCAATGCAATTGCCCTCAGACCATTTATCTTGTCATGGAAAACCAAGACAGCAGCAATAGGTGATACAGCCAAGGCAAGAGTACTTATAACATTGGAGAACAGGGAAGATACCAATAAAATCAATCCTACAACACCAACAGAACAGACCTGCCAACTCACTGCCGTCCAAAGCAATGTCATAATGTAAGACACTCTTCCGTGACCAAAACCCTCCATTTCTCCATGCAAAGCCTTCCATTCCCCACTAGCAAAAAGACCAATAATGGAAACACAACTGGCAACAAATGATGTGTAAATTTGCATTTCTAATACCACAGAAAATGTTTCCTTTTTAATGATCTTTTGGAAGGACAATTGCATAAGTGAAAGCAAAAGAGAGTACATTGCTGAAGCACCAAGAGTACAAAGGAATCCGATGATGTATTTCCACTTAGAGACTCCTGACGGCCCATCTGAGTCATCATTAACTGCAATAATGGCCGCAGAAAATGAAAGAACAACTACAGAGTTAAGGATTAAAGAAGTGAACTTCTGAGAATTGATGAAGTATGAGAAAACAGCGTTGAAAGCCAATTGGGATGCACAAATAAGAGAATAAGTAGAGGCAGACAGATACAACAACCCCTTAGAATACAGCATGTTATCACCAGCTATAAGTGCTCCAAGAAAGAAGTAGATCAAAGCAAGAGTTCTGATGGATGGCGAGGTGGAAGAGGTTGAAGGCTTTTGAGAGCGAGAAAGTAAAAAGAGAGGGATGTAAAGAATTGGGAAGGCAACAGTCTGAACAAGGGTTGCCATCCATGTACTGTTTCCACCTTCGTCATAATAAAATCTACCCAGAAGAACAGCAGCAGATTGGCCTACAACAAGGAAGAAAATGTTGATTGCCACCAACAGCCACCACTGCCAGTGCTTGAGTTTCATCAATGGTGATTTTGCACTAGTATTTTCATCCTTATCCGTAATCGTTCCTTGATTATCTGTAATCAGGGGGAATCAGGCAAACAATTTACAGAAAAACAAAAATTACTGGAACAAGTATATACCTATTATAATACAAACATGCATGAGAAAGAAAACCGATACTAGATTTACATATATGAATTCAGCCAAATAAGGTGTATAATAATACTTCAAATGCTTTATATTTCAAATCATCAGAAATTCTCTTGATCTTGAAAATCATATGGAACTTATGAAGCATAAAATATTATCTTTGGATGAGACTGTGTGACAAAACTTTATTGGGAGATTAAATTAATTATCCGTAAAACAAATCCACACAAAATATTTAATCAGATTCATAAGAGCAATGAGAAAATATAAATTTGACATAATGGATTAGCAAAAAGGAGACAAAGGGAGGAAAAGGAATGGGTACGGAAGGATATATAAGCAAAGAAACTATACCCTTGACAGAAAGCTCTTCTTTCGCAACTGAGGCTGAGACCTTTCCTATAAACTCTGCCATCTACTCTTCTCGAGCCGTAGATGCTACTGCCGTTGTTGAATGAAAGAAGGAAAGAAATATCTGCAGCGAGAATGGAGTGGCTATTTTTGGGGTAGTAGTGGGGTTTTAATAGGATTTGACAAGAGGAAGGAGACTACGTAATTGATGATGAGAAACTAACAAGCTTAGCTAGTTCATTCACATTTTCTATATGACACAAGTACAGGGCACTCATACACAGCTCCCACCGAATGGAAAAACTTATCCAACTAGATTCATGACTCCATCTATAGATTAAACTAGTAAAATCTAAATTTTTTATAGAAAGTATCTGTAATCATATACTTAAAAAAAAATTAAAAACACTTTTTAAAGAATCTTAGGGTTCGATAATTTGGTTTACATAGACCATGGATTTGATTTAGGCAAATTTTTCCCACCTGAACCATTTAGTTACCTGATTACATTGAGGTGGGACCATTGCACAATTACGGAGGAGTCAATGGGTTTGCCAATTTTTATTAACTAAATACTTTTACTCAAAAATAATAACTTAAAAAACTATATAGAAGTAGTATATAAATTAAAACTTGGCAACAGTTTTGCCAATTTTATATATAAATATATCCACACACGTTGTTATTTAACAATGCATGTTGTATGTGTTATTTCTTATTACAGATACTCATTATTTGATTTATAATTTTTTATTATTTATCAAGAATGATGTTCATCACTGTTTTAATTTCTAGTTAAAAATAATTAAATATAATAATTAATAAAATTATTCAAAATATATAATTACATAAAATATTTACTACAGTTCAATTTTCTCCCCGTATTCTTTTTTGCAAAATTTGAATAAAAATATTCATAAATCTAAAAATTGCAAAAACGGTTAATAACAATTTGTAAAATCTAATTTTATTATACAATAAATAAATACTACTAACAATTATCATTTTATTCCATAAGCAATGCTAATTAGCATTGCCAAAACGAGTTGTCCGGCCCGGCTCGCACTGGCTCGATCCTAAAACAGGCCGAGCCAAAAAAGCTAGCTAAAAACGGGCCTCTAATATTCAAGCCCAACACAACGCATGCGCACCAGCAGATGGGCACGGACATGTCCATTTTGAGAGTCTATCTATTTTTTTTTTAATTTTTATTGGCTTTGTATGTCCATTTAAAGAGCCTTAACGTGGAAAAAAGATGGAAGCAAGCTCTCTTAGTCGGTCTATGTAAATTTTGAATTATTATTCCCCTTTTTATTTTAAATTTTTATGATATATACATATATATTGTTCTAAAACGAGCCCCAGACTGATCCGGCCCGGCCTGGGCGGGCTTTGATAAACAACGGATCGGATAAGAAAAGCTTATTTTAAAAATGGACCTCAATTTTCTTGTCCACATCCGAACAAATTATGGGTGAGCATGCGGGTTAAGCTCGTTTTGACAATGGCATAACATGCCATGACTAGGGGTAGAAGTATGCAAACTATAACCGAACTGAATCGAAAATCAAATCGACTTTTTGATTTTGTTCGTTAAGTTATTCAAGGGAGGTTTGGTTAAGCCAGTTTGAACTAAATTTGTTTTCTAGTTCGAATCGATTTCATAGAAATTCATCTGTTAGACTTAAATCGAATCGATATGGCAAAAGGTGACCAAAATCGGTTCAACTGATTGGTTCAATTCAGATTCAAATATTGATTCATTTGGTCTGGCATCCAAAAATTTCGATTTGCATTTTTTGCGATTGGTTCGATTCGAATAAAGCCAATCATTTACTCACCCCTAACTAGGGTGAGTATTCGGTCGATTGAATCGGACCAAATTAAATTGTTACAGTTTGATCTGACCAAATAAATCTCATGATGAGCAAACCTAGACGGAAGAGTGTGAAATTGGTTCAGCATCAAACCGAATCAGGCCGATTTGGGTTATTCAATTTTTCTGAACCAAATAATCTATTTTGAGCCTAAATATTAATTCGGCTAGTTATGCAAATGACCAAACCAAAAGTCATTTGGTTATCACTATTGAAACTGAATGGTAATTGGACTCTTAAAATATAGACCGAACCATCGAAATGAATTGACTTTGATTAATTTTCTCCATTTAATTTCTCAAATATGAGTGTACTTTGATTATGAAGCATCAAATTTCAATTGGTGGATGATTCTAATTGTTTGAGAAGCCTTTATTGTTTAATTAATATTCCCTCCGTCTCAAAACGATAGTTTATCTTTCCTTTTTGATTTATCTCAAAATATAGTTCACTTTCCTTTTTTGTATGATAGTTAATCTTTCAATTGTCTATTATACTCTTATTAAATTTTGTCTTATTTTCAATATGCCTCATTAATTCTTAGTTATTATTCTAATATAATATTTACTCGTGTATTCTTTAAGATGACATAATAAGAATTGTACGAATAAAATTGTCTTTTAACAGTATTTGTTAATCTTTGTGAAAATAGAAAGTGAATTATGGTTTTAGGACAGAGGGATTATATAGTTTGCACATTATGGTAAAGTTCTGGATTTCGGCAACCGCATGCAGCCGCGGAGATGCTAACTCCAGTTAACCTCCAGTGAGGACAAGTCAACAGTTTTGTTTCGAATATCTGGACACGTAAAACACAATTTGCTTTTCGATTCTTGCTCTTGTAGTTCTTAAACACAATAATCGACAAATTTGAATACAGTAGTTTGTAGTTAAATTGCACAATTATGCAAATGATGAGCAACTGAAATTCATCCTTCATATTTATAGACTATTTGTAGTTAAATTGCACAATATGCCCAATACTGTTTTGAGAAGATTCCTCGATATAATTTAATATTTAATATGAATAACTTGTTGTAATTCCTACCTTTTATAGAAGACTGTCCTTGTTTCAGGGTTTTTGGCGTGGCAATGTCCCAGCTCTACTCATGTTTATGCCGTACACAGCTATACAATTTACTGTTCTACACAGATTGAAAACTTTTGCAGCAGGATCTTCAAAGTCAGGTATTTTTATGAACTTACAAATTTTCTCCAGATAGTTTCAGCATGGATATTCCCCCAAGTCGATATTGACTGTTTTGTAACATGAAGAAAATATGTTGCAATTTTCAGATGTCTATAGTGGGAATGCAAAGCATTAACATTAAATATTGTGCCACAACTCTCTTTGAAATCTATTTTCTGCCACATTATTCTGTCATTCATGTTGGCGACGTCGGATCAGAAATATTCTATGAATTTTGTGATTCCTTGCTGAATATGAAACCTAGGCTTTCCTTGAACTTTGTGCAGAAGAGGTGATATGTTGTATCATTTTTTGTGTTTGTCATACCGGTCTGTCTAAAATTTACTGTTGTATCCTGTTTTCCTGCTCTAGAATTCTGAGAGTTCATACTGTGGATGGGAAAAGGAATAGTATAGTGTATTCAAACATTATATGACTGTTGTTCTTCACTTTCTTATTTTTAATGGCTATTGCTTTGCTATGATGCAGAGAATCACATTCAGTTGAGTCCTTACCTCTCCTATTTCAGTGGGGCATTAGCAGGGTGTGCGGCCACAGTTGGATCATACCCATTTGATCTTCTTAGAACCATATTGCGTCACAGGGTGAACCTAAGGTATATGTATACGATATGCAATATGCGATAATATGTCCAATTTGCTTCAAAACTCGATGTTTCTGTAAGGTCCTATGTGAGGTGCATTTAACATAATTATTTCTGCTTTGGGTTTCGATATTTCTTGCACTTATGGAGAAATGTCAACCATGATTGAAAGGTTCTTGTCTATGGTTGAATTCTTAATGTGTCAGATAGTTCCTCGCAATAGTTTTTATGCTTTTTGAGCATACATTATAACTTCAAACATGCTCTACACCAGTATGCCAGTAGGAACTCAAGCAAATTATTACATCCTGTCTTGCTCTTTTTGTGACAATTCAAACAAATTATATATTTATCACGCAGCAATTCTATTTTTCTTTATTTTATAATGTTTTTCTCTTGCTTTATGTTCAAGCGTTTGTAAAATTACATTATATTTACTCTTTAGGCTTTAAATATGAACCGAGTGACCAGACACCGTGCATACAATGTTTCTCTCTTTAGGCTTTAGACATCAGTTTCTTCCACATTTGTGCAGCAATCCACTAAATTATATGCTAATGTTTACATTTGAACGCGCATGTTTCTCTATTTTTCAGTGAGCAATCCCATTTCTGTTAATAGCTTGGTTTGCTTGAGTCTCAGTTTGTCAAGGGTACTTAAGGGTTGAATTGCACTTCGATAAATCTTAATGAGCAATGGATATCTGTTGACCAAATGATGAAAACCTCATTTTGAAGCTTGAGCAATGGGCTATGCTGGCTACTTGGGTCTTTTGTTGTGTTCTAATGTTGCTGCGAGTATATATTTTAACATTTATTTTTGCCACAGTTCACCCATTCAGTTTCAAATACCCATTGACATTGTTCTCTCTGTTGCAAAGTCACTTTTTCTGAAGCTACCTAATTTTGAACTTTTCTTTTTCCACAACCTATTACTTGACTAATGTGTGTCCACATTTAGGTGTATCCAACAATGAGATCTGCATTTGTTGATGTCATCAGAACTCGTGGCTTCAGAGGTTTATATTCTGGTTTATCAACAACACTGGTTGAGATCATTCCTTACGCCGGCCTTCAATTCGGCACCTGCGATACGTTTAAACGATGGGCGATGGTACCATTTAATCAAATATTATTCTAAGCATCCATAGCGTCTTTTGTGATTAGGAAACAGAAGAAATTGAATATCATGTTTCTGATAGGGTGATGCTGTAACATAATATAGACCTTCCAAAAGGTGCAGATATGCTCTTTCTGAATCACTTGCTGTTGACTCATCTTACACTCTTATGAAGTTTTAAGGGTTGAAATTTTTTCCTTTTCCCATTATAGTAGAAATTGAGAATATATTCAATTGTGTTGGAAGTTTTCACTCTTTATCAATTACTGCTATATTTCTGGAGAGACACCCTTTCATTTCTATAAAAGGTAGCCAGACAAGTAATTGTGCTAGAGAAGTTGTTCCATTCTTGTTAATTTGAATGGCTTACCATAAATATTCAGATTTAGATTTATTTGTAGTCAAATTTTTAAGCATTGCGATAAATCTAGTTCTTGTGTTGTGGAGAAGAACCCTGTCTGAAGAAACTTCTAAAAGGTGGTCTATAATTGTCGATTTGTTGCATGAATTCCTGCGCACGTGTTTTGGTGGATGTTTCTTTCGGCTTATACACGCTGAGTTGTTTTGGATTGTGATGCATTTTAACAATTATGGTAAATAAGTTTTTTGAAGTAAATATTTTAACAATTATTATTTTAATAGTCAATTACGTAATTTTGTATATATAAATAATTGAAATAACAACTATGATACTTATAGGTATCTAATCTATAATTAACTATTTAAAATGAAAAGTATGATTATGATAAAATTATTTTGAAATATTAAAACTTTTTAAATGAATTTAGCTATTAATGGTTGAAGTCTGATCTCTTACATATTACAAATCAAATATCAGTATAAATTAAAATTAAAATAAACAAATTTTTACAAATTGACATAAGTGAAAAAATTACCAAAAATAGGAGAATAAAACCTTTTGAATTTATAAATTGATTGATTAAAAGAAGTTCAAGCCATACTATGTAAATCTTAACAACCTAACAAAATTTTTTCACTTGAAAGATTTCTTAGTATATCACAACAAATCATTTTTGCCAAAGTGGATTCTATATCAATTCCAAAATATATAGTTTTAAACTTGAAATAAAAGATTAATTTTAATATAATATTAATATATGAAAATTAATTATTGTATTGGAATATATATTAAAAAAGAAAAAGAAAAAAAGAAAAGCGAAGAGTGTGAACGTGCCTGGCACGTGGATCAAATGGCGCGTGCCTTTCCATACCAACAAGAAGAGAAATCTATGCTTCCTAGAAACCAACCTTTAATTTTCCCGCCAAATACGCCGCCACTGCCCAACGGATTGAAATTTCTGGTAAGATGTGGCACGTGGACCCACATATACAACTGCTTTTCCTATAACCACTCAAATTTCGCCACGTCATCATCCGATGCTAATAAGCTTGCAAAAAGCTCCTAGACATCCCTTATTCTTACCCAAATGACCAAAATGCCCCTATATCAACCCATTAACACATCCACTAATCACTCTATTTTAGCTTAATTGAAAAGTACATCTAAAGTACCATAAAGGATAATCACTTCTCAAAAATCCTAATTAATTAACATTACCATCCTAATTTCACTTTTTTAATTACCTAGACACCAATCATCTAATCACCTTAAATTAAGGTGCAAGATTTTCTCTTTTCCCATATCCCCTATTTAGCCACTTTTGTGTTTGTATGTTTTATGTTTTTAGCCATTCAAGAATTAAAGAGATACAAAATCAAGAAAAGAAAGAGAGAAAGAAAGAAATGAGCCCTTCTACACCTAATATCAACAATAATAACTGCCCTCCTCCTTTGAAAATCAATAAAGATTCTCATATGATCAAGAAATCTTCCTCTTCCTCCAATTCTTCGCCGCCATCCTCCTCCTCTTCCTCCTCCGCCTCTTCCCTAACCGTGGTTGGCCCTGCCAAGTTGCCACCACAAGGTCCACAACGCCACCCGGTTATCATTTATACACATTCTCCAAAAATCATCCATACAAATCCTAAAGATTTTATGCAATTGGTGCAAAAGCTTACTGGGTTATCGCGGCCGGAGGATGATCATCCGCCTCGAGTAAAGCAAGAAAAGAGTAATTCGTCGCAGGATGAAGAAAGTAAAAATGTGAGAAGTATTGGAAATGGGAATGATGATAATGAGTCATCATCAGTGATTACAGAAGAAAATTGTGGGGGGAGCATAGTTGATGGACAAGTTAATTCTTGTTTTGCTCCTCCAATTTTTGATCCTCCAAATCCTTATATGACTAATATTCCGGTTTTTACGCCAAATTCAGCTGATTTCTTATGCGCAAATCAACCATTTTTTAATTATACTGATTCTCTGTTTTTCAACCCTCCTAGTGTGAGGAGCTCCATTTCTTCTTCTTCTTCCACCTTGGAAGGGATAAATGAGCTCCGTGAATACTAGCAAAAATGAAAAAAGATTTTTTCTGCTGGTTTTGGTTTTTGATGCCAATAAGAAATTTTGATAGGTCTTTCCTTTTTTTTTTCTTCTTTATTTCTTTTAAAAAGTTTTCCACCTCAGGAATAAATTCTTACAAAATAATGTTTGTTTATTCCTGTTTCTTTAATTAATAATGTCTTTTACAGGAAGAAGGAAAAAGGAAAAGGAAAAGAACAAGAAAAGTAAAAAATTATTTTGTTTAATAACTTTCTCATAAATGTTTTGATTACATAGTTGAGATTCAACATTGTTGAGAATGTTTGTAAGCCTTTGATCCATTTAACTTGTCATGATTAAGAAAAAAGAAGATGAAGAAAAAAAGGTAATTCCTTTGCTGCGTATATTCTGGGTTTAAATTAATTTCTTTCAAGTTTGGAAATTAAATACCAATTACTGTTTTTTTCCAAAGGCAAAAAAGGGGAAAAAAATGTACCGATGATGGCATAATAAGTTGGTATAAATAGCATTATTATATCCTATGTCTCCGGGGAGCTTATTTTCTGACTTGAACTCAACTCCAAGTCACAAGGAGAATAACTTTTCAATTACATCAAAGTCATCCTCCTAGAGCCTCAAGATGTCAAAGAAAAATTCACTTTTCTTTGATACAATTGAGACGAGAGAGATGTGGATAATGATGATTTATTATAAATGATACAAATTTTCAAATACATGAAATGTATTTGCATATATATACAAACATTTATGTTCTCCAACTCTCTCAGCTTTTTTCACTTTTTTCTTATTTGTCTCAATCTGGTTGTAAAGACAAGAACGAACATATATGATTTATTTCACTTTTTTCTTGTACAAGTTTCTTAAAGTACGCAGAGTACAATGTTTTCCATAAAATGCTCAAATTACATGGCAGATATACCTCAAAAAATCTGCTATACAGAGACAAGATAACATGCATATCAACACGGAAGTCATCTTGTTCAGAGACAACAAATCACTTCTTTTTAGTTATTATTACTTGTCAGTCTTGTTGAGATTTACATTCTGACGTTTTCGTTACTGTACAAACACTTGTGTATTATGTTACATAAAATTACATCATTTCTTCTTTTTGTCTTCCTTTTCTCTTTCAAGAACAACAGGAGCTGCCGGTATGCTAAACCACCACTCTCTCAATCTCCTCGACCATCTTTCTGTGCTTGCTTTCCTTGGAGGCGAATACCTTGTAAATGCCTCCAGAAAGGTCAATAGTACTATGTATTTGCTAGGTATGAAAACTAGGATCAAAGCCACGCATAAAAGTGCCACTGCAAATTTCTCGGTTGCCTGGTCATTGCATAAACACATACAAGTGTTGATACATGCTGGAGTAAAATGTGGATAAATAAAAAAGATTGCTCGCACCATAGTTTTCAGGAGCTTAATGCAGATTGAAGTAAAAATGAGAAGAGGTAAGCCAGTGAAGTTTGCAAGGGCAAAGAAAGAGAGATACCTGAGGGAAAATCGACAGCAACAAGGCACGGAACTTGAGAAGGAAAACATTTCCATCTTGGACGAACTGTTCCACGTGAGAAATTGCAGTCTGAACAGCCAAAAGCTGTTCCATTGTGTTCATTGGTGGAGGTGCTACCACCTTAAGTTTGTCAACAGGGCTTCCTTCATTACAAAATCTTGTAAGCACCATAAAGATTGCAAGAAAGAGAAGTGCCAATCCATAGGCATAAGCCAACCATCCCCTAAGATTAACATATTGCAAGTCCATTAGGAAAAAAACCCTACAAGTATGATGTTTGTGGGAAACAATAACGAACTATCTAGTACCAAGCATCCACCTAATTCTGTAGTTTCTCTCGTTCCATTTCTATAACCATACTCTTTCTTGTTGCTCTCTTAAAATTCAGTTATAATGCATATTAAAAAGAAAGAGAAAATTCCAACCATGGGTTCTTGTTTCTGATATACTCTAATAGCACACCAGAGTCTAAACTTAGCAATATCATTGTAAATGCCAACCATGACGCAAACATATATACTGAAGCTGAACAATTTCTCATCCCAGCTTCACAGAACAAGAGACCACTATCATGGCTAGAATGAAAGAATCAATATTTTTATAAGGGTACATGCGCCCAACTTTATCAATTTATCAGCGATGATCAGTTATGTAAATCTTGATTACTTGTTTTTGGTATAAATAACTGTGTGTAATTAGTGAGTTACTTTACTCGGGCATGTACCTTGTACCTTAAGGTTAAATATGCAATAGACCTATTTGACCAATTCATAAAAATCTCAGATTTTGGGGAAGTACTTCTCTGTTCTACATGCAGAACCAACAAACTAAACAACACTATGCTCATCTTGGGTAAATAAATCCCAATCAATTTGGCAGCCATAGAAAAAATATAATAAGATTCTAACTTTTCTTTATCTGATAGCAATGATTATTTTTGTGAAAGGCCTCTCTCTCTAGATGAATCTAAAGTGGTTCAAACTTAATTGTGAAGGGAATTTCTTATTTTGCATGACAATAACACAATTCTTGGAATTTAGTCATTTTTAACACCCTCAGAAAAGGCACTGACAGATATCCAAGTATCCAATCAGACATTAAATTATTCGATAAAGATTATTTAGCTGGAGTCAGCAAAAGACAAAAGCTTGCTACTTAAGCATTTTCTCCACAAACCAGAATATGGCTGACTTTGACAATTTGATTGTCACAATTCTGTAATATCAAATAAAACAAAAGAAGTATATAGCATGGACAAGTTTAATCAATGTAATTACAAGTGCATAAAATGAGTCAAACATTGAAAAACAAGGCTCGTTAATCAAGATTTCGGGTGGCAGTTGAATCAAGATTTTGCGTTTTTGATTCATGTAGTGTTGGATTGTGGCAGGTTGTTAATTGAATTTTTCTCAGTGAAGTAGAAATAGACTAGCAGGTACCACACTCCCTCCAGGTATTGAGGACAAGGATGGAGATGATTGCTCTCGCTGACCACTGGGTTTTTGGTTTGACAGACTTAAACAAGGACAGTGTTATGCTGGGCTAAATGCCTAAAACCCACCCCAATTTGGCATGTTTTCGTAAAATGCTCAACAATGTACAGATTCCTACCAAAAACCGTATACAAAGAGAGGTAGCACAAAAGTCACAAAAAACAACATATATTGGTACAAACTCCACAACATTATTATGAAACATCGTTAATTGGTTAAGTCACTACCAACATCCAATCCAGTTTGGTTTCTGTTGCATGAGAAAGGTGGAAATTTGAAAAGCCAGATTTGACCTAATTCTTGGTAAATCCCTAAGTAAATCATGCACGAATATCGACAGCAGGATTTACAAGACTGCAAACAAAATAACTAAATGAAGCACCTGGTTTATGGGAAACTTAATAAAAAGCCACACGCATGTTCAATCATTTAACTACTTTGATACTTCAATATTTTTTGAAAACTCAAAGTTTATTATCATTAAATCACCAAAAGGCCTTCCACTTTCTTTTCCCAGATGTTCATTACTAATCAATAATGTGAACAGTATATGGCATACCTCCAAATGACATAAGTGAAAATCAAACAGAAAACCGAAGACTTCACAGGATCATCCCAAAATGCCAAGGAAAGAAGCCACTTCCCAACTTCCATAACAGGATGAAGTAACTCCTGCACATACAATTTTAAATAGATTACATGGAAAATCAGACACTGGAAGTTGGAGGCACAGCAATGTCTGGTGGGTAAAAGAGCATGCAACAAGGGTCCTGCTGTTGATACAGTTAAAATAGTTTAATTTGCTAAGCAACTGTAATACAAATATGTGACAGCATAAATTCAAACAAACGATCACATATAAGCCAGTAAAAGACACAAAGATAATTCACAGTGTCCATCACTGTCAGGCAACAAAAATCATCATGCACTTGAAGTCAACCAAATGTTTCATCTTCACTTAAAGATTTAAAGTTATCTCCAATTACAATAATAATGGCAAGTGAAGGAGCAAAACAGGAAGGCAGCAAGATAGAAATTCAAAGCGCATAAATAACATCATTAGTATCACCTTCATCACTGCCAAATTGGTGTCAATGCCATCGACTTTAACCCCATCAACTGTTTGTTGGGCTGAGACCACCTTTTTGTAGCTTTTTCTAGATTCCTTAACTGCTCTTTCCAATGAACTCATCTCTCCCACAGCTATCTCACCCACAGCAAGTCCAGCCTCACTTGGATCACTTGAACCTGTTCCAAACACAAATCCTAAATTGGAAACCATGGTCAAGGCTGAGACTGAATACATTCCACCCCCAGCTTTATAATTGCCCGTGCTTTCTGATTCTCTTATGGAGGACATGCTTGCTAGAGTTTCCAGTATCAAATCTCCACCAGGAAGTTGATCACAGAGATTAAACATGAGCAGAGTTTCACATTGAATGGAATCTACAGAACCAATTTCTTGAATGGCTTGTAGCCTCAGAATTCCAAGCACAGCCTTTGAAAGTATTTCGTCCCGTTCAACTCCTGTTATTTGATATTTATTTATGAATCTGTGAACATACAAAATTTCCCGAATAATCGCCAACCAGTAATCACGACGACTATGCCCTTTAAGCTCAGGAAACTCTATGACAACTGGTTCTGATCTGTGAGGGAAATACTTAAAAGGTTAACATTAAAAAACTTTAAGCAGCCTTCAGATGATGAGAATGAGACAGAATCTAGATTTAACATGAAGATATAAAAAATAAATACTTATTCCATTGATAGAAGAAATATACATCAACTGTTCCTTACAAAGAAATAGATTTATATGAGACTGCCTTGTCAAAAAGTCGTGTACCCCATGGTCCAGTTAACTCAGGTTTAACAACTTGTTTTAGATCATCTGATAAATCATATACTTTTGGCTTGTCATAAGATACAACACGAAGAGCTTCAAAGTACAGTGAATGATCTGTGAGAACTAGCCGACCTGTATGCAAGACAGTGTATAAATACTGAATTGTTGCATTTCGAAAAAGGAAAATTATAACATAAGTGCATTAGTCACATCAGTTTTATAAAGAGGGACACTTGCAAAGCTGATTGAACCAAATGATTCATCTAGTGAACCTACCCGGCCAAGTAGACATTCCTACATGTTCAAGAACTGGTTGGGTGGTGACTGTTCCATCCACTTCCAGAATTTTTTCTCTTCTTGGCGAGCGAACTGCAGAAAGAAGTGATGAATCTGATTGGGTCTTCATCTTCTTTATTGCCCTGTAGGGAAGATTATTCAAAATGTAAAAACCAGAAATATAATTCACGCAGAAAAACATTTGAAAAAACTAAATGAAACTGACACCATAAATCATATAAGCTTTATTTGAAGAGGTAAAGTCAATAACTGTGCAAGAACTGTGAATTTCAAGTTCAGATGCTACTAAAGAAACAAAATATTGGTCGTTAGAATGAATCTAGAAGGTGAACTACATAATAATTTAAAAGAGAAACATACTTCCTCATAAAGTTCATCTCAAGCAACTTCTCTATTTTTTTGATCAAAACCTCAGTCAGCTTTTCAAAGTGACAAGATCCTGCCTAATATGTCAATACTCTTATGGAATCTATAGGGGGAGAAAAAAATGATCTAGTTTGATGGCCAGCCAAATTCTTCTATGAACTAAATCATGCATTTGCATGTAGGATTGTGAGTTAGGACACGAATTTTCACATTATCCAATTCAGCTCAAGTATACCAATTCATTTTTTCTTGAAGCATGAATTCCATTCAGCAATTTGCAATTTGCATTTGTAAAACAGGCCTCTGCACTTGCATTGCTCTTTCTAATGTCTTTTAACCATTTTGACACATGTATGTACACAACAGATTACTGACACACATTATAAGCCCATTTCCTTAGCCCCAGCTCTCACCCCCATCGCCACCCATCGCACTTTCCGTCCTATATATTGATGAATGAAAATTAACAGACTAAAAAAGAATGTACTAATAATTAATTTATTATCATGTATCATTTGGCTTAAAAAATTAGGAAATGTAGCAACAAGGAGTATTTGCAAAAACAATTTCTCATTATTTAATAAGAAAATGTGGTTACCTCTCTAGTCCGCTTAGGTACTTGTCATAGATGGAGAATTGAAGCCGTCCATCAGTTGACATAGTCAGCACCTCAAAAAGATTTTCACTTATAACCACATTGGCAATTATCGGAATAGCTGGAGCTATTCGCAGGAAGGATTCTAACCCAACCATTAAGTCCTCATCTACCTACAAGAAGGAGATAGCCATACACGTCCATCAACAGTAAGGAGCAGCCACAACAGGGGAATTAAGCAGAAATTAACAACATTCACCATTCAATTACTTAGAGTGAAAAAGCTAAACATAATTAAGTGAACGAACTCACATTAACGAAAGGTTGGCTGGAAGCTGCTGGAGTCTCCCAAGCTAGCATCATGTCATACGTCAAGCGTCGAAATTTTCTATCAGTTAGATGATCTGTTACCTGAATGGATACAGCCAGCGCTCTGAAGCTGCAGTATTCCAAAAAGTTCCTTGCATACCGGGACGGATGCTTTATTGAATCAGACGCCTCCATATTGAAGCTTTCTTGCAGCTCAGTCGTGGAAACGCCGAGAATTCTGCATCATTTTATTTCATTTGTTCCATGAAGAAATCATAATTAATTAAAAATAAGAAAAGGCATGTCTGTTGAAAAAAGTAATGGGATTCTGTCAGAGAAAAAAAAAGGGAAGAACACTATCCCACCTCATGGTCAACTAGATAATTACTTGAATTTTTTAAAATAAGCTAAATGATAAAATGTGCAATAGATAGAGCAAAGATAAAAAAGAACAGAGATGGAACAGTAATGGCACTTACTTCGAGCATCTACGGACAATCATATTAGCAAGTGGAGAGAGCTCTGCTATCCAATTCCTGCTTCCAGATGGAGATCTTCCCATCTCCTCAAATTCTTCATCAAAGGAAGTTCGCCTGCTAAGTAACCATTTAAAAGATCCTTCTCTTACTAGACCCTCGAGCACAGTCCTAGCTTTGCTAGCAGTTGCCATCTCCAGTAGCTTATTCAAAACCCAGCCAAATCTCACTATCTCATCATTAATCCCAACTTCACCATTTCTGTAATTCTTGTCATGCCCTTCAAAATCTTATTTATTCCAAATCCAGGTACAGATTTCTCCGCAAACCTAACCCCCAAACCTTAAATTAACTAGAACACCAAGCCAACTAACTGAAAATGAAAATTAAAAAACCAAACAAATATTATATTCTATTAATTCTCACAACATAAAATCCCTATTTCAATAAATTTTTATTAACTACAATCAGCAAAAATCGAATTATATATCTAAAAACAAAGTTACATTTCGTACCTCAAATCTCTTCAATTTGAAATATTTGAAGAACCCCGCTTCAGATTAAGTTGAGTTTCCTATTCTAAAGTTACAAACCCATCTCACTAAATCGCAAACTTAACAACAACAAACCAACTGAAAGAGAAGCAACAAAAAGGGGATAAGCTACAAGAACTGCTTCCAAATGGGTTTATTAACGATTCTGTCTTGATTGAGGGTTTATCCAAAAAATTATACTAGGAAGGTAAAACGACAGCTTTGCTTTAAAAATGAGAGAGAGAGAGAGATGGCTCTGTGCATTTGACACGCAAGATTGAGGCGCGGTCGATCGATGAAGAATCAGTTTCTGTCTCGTCACCACCTCAACTACTCGGAGACAGCATACGAGACAACGTGTTATATTCTTATTTGCTGAAAATTGCGGTCCTTCAACTTGGATCCGACATGGATAGGCGAGTTTCTTTCTTTTTTGGCATGGATAAGCGACTTTCTTTAAAATAATATATAAATAATTAAAATTAAATATCAATTAAAGAAAATATATAAATTAGTAGTGTATAAAAGTGTGGAAATGAAAGTAAAAGGAAATTTCAGAAATTTTAAAAATGTCCAACTAATTAAAAAATTTAATTTAAAAATATATAATTTAAATAATTACTAGAGGAGTAGGAAAAAAATAAAATATTAAATTAAAATAACTAATTAGAATTTGTATGAAAAAAATATATAATCGATTGTAATTTTATTAATAAATTAGGAAAAATGTAAAAAATTATATTTAAAAAACTATATAAATAACATTTGATTGTAATTTAAAAATTTTACATGACTAACAAAATATCAACATATGTAATATTTAATAAAAGTTAAAAAAAATTTTGATTGAACAGTTCATTTACCTATTATACAAATTACTTAAATTATTAAAAAAATCTTCCTTTATTCTCTTTTGATACCTTTTTAATTATTTATTTATGTTCTATTGTTTTTTTGTCCTGCATTAATTAAACTCACTTTTATTAATGTGCTTGCTGAAACAGTAACAAGTGAATGGTCGTTAAGACAAGATAGTTTTATCATTTATAAATAAGTTATCTTTTATTTGAACCGTGCCTTTTAAATACTTTTTGTCACGATCCGATTCCATGGGCCGGACCGGCACTAGGGCCCAGGTAAGCTTAAGGCCCCCGAGGCCCGTAGTAAGCTTGAAACATTAGAGTCTATTATCTCGGTCTAATTAATTAAAAAAAATAAACTTCAATATTTGATTATTTCTCGGCCCAAGTTTATCTTCTACATTTCGGCCCAAAGTTTATTCTTCTACAATTTCAAGTTCGAGCCCCATTTTACAATATAAACACCTGGGCTAACAGAATTACTTCATCTATATTACTACACGACTAGACGTATGTAAATTCTACAACTGCGGAGTCACTAACTGTTAACTCTTTAGTATACATAGCTTTTTATACACATAATTACATAGTGAAATAATTATAGAACTAGGAAAATTTCTCTATTGCTCTGCGCCGAAGAAACATAGTCTAAACCGGATTAAAGAATTGAAAAAAAAAAAAAAATAGGAGGCAGGGTTGAGCGCCAAGCTCAATGAGTAGGGTTAGACAACCCTCTCACCCCACACAATCACACATACCCTATAATAAATCAATTTAGTCCTCCGACTAGTTATATGATTATACAGTTTGTCACACAAATGGCAATATAACAGCAATAACAATTATTATCATCTTCATATAATCACATCACGTGCAAATTAGTCAGTGGCGTCACCGAAAACCCTGATGAGCCGTCCTCCCCCATCCTCTCCAACGTTTGCACTAGGGAACCGATCCCCCATATATGGCTGACCGGTCTAATCCTCACTTGGCCAACCCTTTCATTGTTTTTCCATTCTCTCGTTTCTTTTCCATACCAATAGGAGGCCACCCTGTGGTTTTTCATATCATCCATATCATATCATCCCCATCCATGGCCGACGGTATCGCAGACTGCCCTCACAAACCCATGGTGACCCACTTCATTCCAACTCCACACAAGCAAAGTAATATAAAGCACATCACAATTAATCAAATCATTTCCAATAATAACAATAATGCAACACAAAATAACAATTTAATAAGTAATGCATGATAAGCATTTAGCCTGGAATGTATGGATGCAAATGTAGGTGAATGATGCGAATTATCTAACACTACTCACAGCTCTTTATTGTCATTTAGAGGACTATGTTATGAATTAATCTCAAATAATTCCACAATAACCTAGATCGTGCAAACCACTAGATTCAACAAAATAGATTGAATAAGAAAAGGTTGCGTAAATAAATTAAGAATAATAATATTAACAACAACAAAAAGATAAAATAATAATAATCAATATAATAATAATAATAAACAATTGATAATGAAAATAAATTACATAATTTACATAATAAGAATAATGATAAGGTTAATTAAATAATGATAAGGTAATTAATGCACTATATTTATTTTGCATCATATTATAGAAATTATCTAAATAAAGTTATTTATTATGTTATTTATTAAAATTTAGTCTAAAGTTCTACCGAAATTTCGGCAGCACCTCCCCTAAAAATGGGACCATCAACCTGTTTAAATATCCCAACAACACTAAGTATCATTCAATATTTAATTGTTAATATCAAACTTTAACTTACTATATAACATTAAGTAAATGAATAAATAAGCAACTAAATGAAAAATAGCTATTTGCTTAACCTCCAGAAGTTACTAGTTAAACTATCTAATATAGACCCTTAACAATCATATAAAACTATAGCTTATGTATTCAATAATAGCTTATGTATTCAATAATCATTAACTAAATTCGGAGTTTTTCGATACCAAAATTATATATTACACATTAACTAATCAATGTCATAAATCATCTATAATCTACACATGTCTTTCTTTCTTCATACCATTACTAGAACCGAATTTCTAGTCAAACTCACATATGTATACACTTAATAGTTCCATTCTAAAACCATCCATCGTCTAAGTCTTAATTTATAACTTCTCCTAACAATATTTATCCAAATTCCTAACTTAGCTTACATCGATGTTATACCAATTGCTTCTTAACAAAATTTTATTTGTTTGATTATTTACCCAAATTCAATTTAATTAACTAATATTTATTAAGTTTATAATTTATACCGAAGATAAAGAAACTGATCTTAGAACGTACCAATTGAGAATCGGATCGGGCGACGGATTCCCGATCAGCGCGAAGAGACAGAGGATTCTGTCTCTCGGGAACCTCGTCCGGAGTTGCCGTCCGGCCGGGTTCACCGGACCGCGCCGCGACCGCCGTGCACCGGTGGCCGCGAAATTCAATTCAATCACCAAAAATTAACAAACAATATATCATTTTAATTCGTTTCGATGAGAGGATTCATTAATATGTATTCAAATCAAGGTGGGTAGAACTATTTGGCCGGCTATTTGGCCGGAAATTGATCGGAAAGGTTCGGTGATACCCATTTTGGGTTTTCCGATTCCGGCCATTACAGTCGACGAGGAGGCCATCAAATGAAAGAAGAAGAAGAGAGGAGTCATTTGGTACTCACCTTGAGCCCTAGGCTTGCCTGAAACGGCGTGAATCGCCGGAAAAAGGGTGTCCAAAACTTCAAACTCTTACCCTTCAAAATAGACACAATTTCAATTCAAATCTACGCTATAATCTTCATCCTTGCGTTGAGTAGATGTTTTTAGAGTATTCATTTGCCGAATTTGGTGGCCGGAGGAAGGAGATCGAAGAAGAGGGACGAGGAGGAGGAGGAGGTGGTCACGCTACTGCCGAAGAGGAGAAGGAAGAAAAGAAAAGGAAAGGAAAAAAGAAAAGAAGGAAATGGGGGCCGGTCTGCGTTCGATTCGAACCGGTTCGGTCCAGATTCAGTGATTTGGGTCTTCATTTCGTTTTTTTGAGTTTTTCACTCCGGTTTTCGGATAATTCGTGTGGTTTTTTCGAAAAATTCATTTGCGTTTCGGGTCCGGTTTTAATTTTATTTTAATATTTTATTAGTTTCACAACATTTCCTTCCATTAAAACTAATAACAATAAAAATATAGTTAGTATGTCATATTGATTTTTTTTTTTTTGGAAAATTAATTTATATATATGCATAATAGATTAATTGCTGACTTTCATTATTCTCGAAATTTCCGAACGAATATTTTGGGCTTTAGGCCCAATTTCAAAATTGGGCTCGAATTGGGGACTGTGTTACAACTGCAAGCCCACGCGGCCAAGAATTTGCGATTGAATTGGGACTGTGTTACAACTGCAGCCCACGCGGCCAAAATTTGCGATTTTTGATTTAATAAAAATTCAAAAGTTTCGAAAATAGAAATTCAGGGTGTTTCACTTTTGCATTTTGATACGTTAAAATATTAAATATTAATTTTTATATTGTTTGACTATATAATATTTAAATTAATTTTTAAAGGTTAAGGTAATATTTTAATAAAAGTCAACGCTCGTAACGTTTAACTTTTAACATTTTATAAAAAATTAATAAAATAGCTATTAACTACTAAAATAATTAAATAGTATTAAAACAGTTAATTTTGTCAAATAAACCCCTTATTCAAAGGGTAAAAATCACGTTAGTGTAAAGTAAAGTAACAAGAAATGTTAATAGGTCCACTGAGAAAATTAATTTCTTCTTTTCTCTGTCATTTTCTTTTCTTAAAAAGATAATCACATAAGATTCACCAAAGAGTATAATATATGAAATCTAAATTTTAATCCTTATAGTTTCGAAAAACTTAAAAAATAAATAGAATTTTAAAATAGTAGTAGGATTTTTTTTAATATAAATATGCTTATATATTATTATAATCAGAATTCAACATAGTCCCGAATGATAAATGGTGGAACAAGCCCCAAATTAAAATACCAAAATAAGAATAACCAGTCTCAATCAATCGTTTTCCACCACCACCTCCCTACTCGAAAATACGTTCTTTAACCAGCTTAATGCCTCCCTGATACCCAGAAGTTCAGCAACACTATTCACGCCACACATCACACCACCCAAACAAAAGCACTGCCTGTCCCGCAGTATCCAGCCCAAACCTGTCCTAACCGAATCGCCCACCCAAGCCACATCCACGTTAACCTTCAACACATTACCCATAGGAGGCTGCCATTTAAGGACCCAAGCACACTGCTGTCTCCTCATGGTGAAACGTTTGCACTGCGCTGCGCTTGCAGCCACTCATGAAGATAATTGAGTGCTGTATGAATCACCCAGGCAGTTGACCGTCGACCATCCAGCCACACAATCTGATTCCGATTTCGCCACAGCTCCCAAGCCACCATGAACACCCTCCGCCTCTGCTCCTTATCATATCTAGTACACAGTGCCATTAACCAAGTCTGAATATTCTGCGCATCAGGTCCCCATACAAATGTTGCAAACGGACACTGCAACATGACATGCTCAACTGATTGATCGCCAACACAACACACTGTTGCAAATAGTAGTAGGAATTGAATTTTCACAAAAGAATAATTTTAAATCTATCGTTATGATAAAATAATAATTAAAATTTATTATTGAATTAAGTCAATTACCGAGAAAATTTTTCTTTTTAAACATAATTATAAAATTCATTTTTAATTAGACAAATGTTAATAAATTAATATTTTTTTTATCAGCAAAAAGTTTAAATTTTATTAACTTATAATGTCTAGAAAAAACTTATTTTAAATCTATACATTATATTAAGTTGTTTCTATTTACATTTAAAAAAAAAAAAAAAGTTGCTTTTATTTAAATGATTATATGTATATATAGGATGGAGCATTCAATGAGGTTTGTATATCTATAATCTATAATCTATATAAAGACTGTGAATGGATGAGAGAATATTGGAATTATCAAAAATGCCCTATTAAATTTATGACTTGATAAAATATCATTAAGAATTTTAATTTAATTGATTGCAAAAAATAAAAGTAATTTAATTTTGATTGATCATATTAATTTTCTATTTAAATTTAAATTTTATTAGATAAAAAAAAGAAATTACAATATATACTATATAAGATAATGTTTTTTATTGCTATCATTAACAACATCCTTAGCTTCTGTTAACAAATGTCTACCCAGGAGATATCAATACAGACATATTAAACTTTCTGTTATGGTCAGGCTAGTTTTTAATGGTCCAATGGGCTTTTCCTTGATGAACAATATCAGTGGACTATTCGGTCAAATCTTGACCCTATGGAGAATTCTTGTCATGTAGAAGAAGTTCGGATATCAATATCAGTGGGCTTTTAATGATTGGGTATTGGGCCCTAAGCCTAACAGTGCCAAGGCTCACGTGTACAGGCTAAAGGTGAAGAAAAAGGCGATTCGGTTTGACAAGATAAAAAAACATAAACCAAAATTTTTTGAATATAGACCGAACCATTTTTTTTTTTTTTTTTTTTTACATACTTTTTGAAATATAGACCGAACCATTTTTTTTTTTTTTTTTTGGTTTAACAATACTTGAGGCGGAATGATAATGAGTACAAATTATCTTAACAGTTTTTAGTAATTTTAATTTTAAATTCTCAATCTTCCAGATAAAAGTTCGTTTTGCCATTCCATTTTTAGGTAAATTCAAAACTTCAATTCTCCGAACCATTTTTTTTTTTTTTTTTGGTTTACATACTTGAGGCGGAATGATAATGAGGTACAATTATCTTAACAGTAGTAATTTTAATTTTTAAATTCTCAATCTTCCAGATAAAGTTCGTTTGCCATCCATTTTTAGGTAAATTCAAAACTTCAATTCTTTGAGTTTGTCTCTAATTCCTTGTTTTAACCTATTATATCTTCAATTTGTAATTTTTGCATCAATAGTAGTCGAAATGTAACCTAAATAACTACTATAAATTAGTATTAGTTACTAAATTGTATAAGCCGAATACATAATTTAACTCATATACTTTAATAAAAAAATTTTATTGGATCCTAAATTTTAATATCGATCTTTTGACATCCTGAATTTCACTTTTTGTAGTTATCTCAATGTATTACATTAATAATAATAATTTTTTAAAGATTTTTAGTTTTTTTATACAAAATATTAGTTTGAGACGTGAATAATATAATTTTTGGAATAACAAATTTTACATTTTTTAACTATAATTAAAATATCTAATGACCCAAAATGAAAATTAAAGATATTATAAGATTTTTGTGAAAAATACAATAATAAATTTAAGCATCGAGCGAAATTGTACATCTAAAGACAAAATTTATTAAAACAATTTGCCAAAAATAATAAAATAGTTGATATTTGAATTTTGAAGGCATCCACTTATATCCCAAAGCTTATGATATAGACTTGGATCATTGTGAATAAAAATTTTTCTTTCCTTTTATTTATTTTAAACGAAAGAGAAAAAAAAAACAAAAAACAAAAAGAAATAAAGAAGAATACAAAATTATTAATAGATTGGAGATGGATTAATGGAAGCATACTGAAGAAGCTCCTTGTCTGTTTCTAAAACATCAAAATCATCTTCCTCCATCAACACCCATGCTTCTACTCCTTTATCTATTCTTCTATCCATCAAAAATACAAAATTTGCAAGCGGCGCCTTCAAGTCATCCACATCCAGTGCAAGACAAGCTGCCCATATCGCCTTTCCCCAGCCAAAATCAAAACCAGAATCATATATACCAAAGTTACACCCACTAGAAAACCCAACAAACTCCACTTCTCCTCTGCTACCATATGAATTTCTAAGCTCCTTCATTGCATTATAATACTTGATAAACCCATCTTCGCCTCCACTTCTTATCTTCTTCAATAAATCGTTATCTATTTTTTTCATTGATTGTCTTAGTTCACTCACCAACTCACTCAACTCTTTCTCCTTTTTTGTGAATACTGCACCAGCAAAGCCTATCATGTTCCCGAACGAACATTCTGGTAATGGGGGCTCCACTTTTCTTCTCAAATTCATAGAATGGCAAATTGCAAGCGGTTTATCGATACCTGTTTTATTTTTGAAAGAAGAGATAAGGCATTTGCTGAGAATTGCAGTTACTACCTCAACGCGCGATGGATTAGGGTTAATATTGTTTAAACTTGCTTTGGCTTTAAGATTGGCAATGGCGAATTCGTTAAACACAATTCTCTTCATTACGTGCTTGCCTTCTTTTGAAAACGGAGCATACAGAGTAGTAGAAAAGCTCACCCCACTTGGAAATGAGGTATACTGTGGGAAAATGGACTCCATATCCAAATAAGGGTGTGTGTGTTTGGTAGGAGATTTACGTGTAGTCGTAGCCCAATCTTTTACAAACATTTGCATACCATTTCCATCACAAACATTGTGAGAAAAACATAAACCAATGGCGAAGCCACCACAAGCAAAGGTGGTTTCTTGAATCAAAGCAACATGAGACCCAGATGAAAGTTCATACTCACGAATTGCATTTGGCAACAATTTGTTGAGTGAGGTTAGATCAGGTTGAGCAAGATACTGAGATAAAAGAATGTTAGATTTTGCTTCTATATAAAACACACCTTCATCATTACAATCAATGGAAAATCTGTCTTTAACTTTACCAGCAAGTGGGTAAAACCGAGATAAAGTTTCAGATAAGGATTGCTTTAGCAAGAGTGATCTTTCGGTAATTATGTTTGGTTCTTGGGAATTCTGATAGAAAATAATCATGTGGAAATAGCCAGATGGTAAAAATTGATCGAGTAGAGAGATTTTGTAGGTCTTAAGATGGGGTGGTGTGGGTGAAGATGGTGAAATGCAGCTTTTGGAAATTATTTCAAGCTGCATATTCGTCATCTCTGCAGATAGTTGGTGTTGATTAGGGACTTGCTGCACTATTTATAGGCTTGAGCACATAACCCCATGGATAAAAGAAACGGGTGCGTTTCAAATCAAGAACAATTATAATATAGACAACAATTATATTTGAATTGTCTGTGACATGTATAGACAACAATTATAATATCTAGATTTTTCTACAAAATATCTAGATATCTTTATATAATATTATTTTAACATATAAAATATCTAACGGATAAATTGAATGTATAAAATTTTTACGATGAAATTTATACATTTTATAGATTTACCTGAATTCTTAATTTAGTTGAAAATAGATTAAAATTCACGAAATTAATAGATTTTATCGTGACCTCAATTTCATTATTTTAAAAAGAAATAAATCGTGATTATGTGTCAATTAAAGGGTAAAAATGAGTATTTATTTTATTTATAAAGATTAAAACCAATCATCTTAACACTCACCGTTTAATCTCATTTGCTTTTTTGAATTGGAAACCTGTAATTTCCTTTTCACCATACCCATTTTCTCATTAAAAACGTAATTTCTCAAAAACATTCTTTCTAAGATATTCTCTACTTGTTGCAGACTTGCATGGGGATATATCACAATAGCATTATCATGTCATGTAGGGCAACTTTGTCCTTATTATCTATGTAATGCCTACCCCAGCACTGTACGTTCAATATAAACTCAGTAGTTGTTTTCCACATCCAGAATTGGATAATTTTCTGTGAGAAAAATACGAAAAGGTCATGTTTTCATGGATGCTCATAAATATACAATTATTTTCAAAAGAGAGCATGGTGAAAAGTGAAAACTTGAAATCATTAAGTATTAAAAAGTTATATGTTTTTTACTATCAAAAAAAAAAAAAAAGGTTATATGTTTTCTTTTTTTTTGTATTTGCATTCACTTTTAGATTTGCTACCTTTTGTACTTAATTAATAATATATTTGATAGCGATAGCAAATTAATTATGTGTATGTTAACATAGATCACTGAAGTTTTTACTTGTTAGATTTTCATTTTCTCTATAAATATAAATTAATAGCATTGTTTTCTATACAGGAGTCTAATTAGGGTTAACTATGTACCTGGGATATAAATACTCCATGCTATAATATTATTACCATAAATAGTATATTAATCAAAGTGGGAAGCACATTTTGCTAGGAGACTGTAAAAAAAACCTTCACGCTCTATGGCGGTTCGAAGCTAAGGCGGCACCACAGTATATATAGTTAGTCAATTGACTCATCCAATTTTTTAAAAAATAGGGTTAAATTGATTAAATAATTTCATAGTATCTATTAAGTGAAAAATTTAGAATTTTTAATCTAATTGATCTACTAAAAATTAAATTAAATAAATGATTATGCTAAAAATATTTCTAGCTCTGCCACTGATCCTAGGGATTAAATACCTCCTGGTTATATATATATATATATATATAAGAAAACGCAAATAGAAAAGAAACTAATCTACTCAGAAATCCAACAATTCCTCTCCCATAACTTCTCACACGTAAGAGTATGGACCCATTATTCGTAAATAAAACTTTAAATAGATTCGGCTATTTGTGACGGAGAAATCCAGCTCATTTGGTCATTGGGTCTTGGGCCCTGAGCCCTACAGTGCCAAGGCTCAGATCTTTAGGCAATCTTGCGTTACCCACTCCTATTATGGGCCTACATCTATTGCTATCTAGGAATTTTTTTGGCTCAAGGAAAGTCTAGCAAATGAGTTGAAAAAATTCAAGCCTTTGGCTTTTTTTTCTTTGAGTTTGTCAACTTCTTTGTTTAATCAATTATATCTTCAATTATGTAATTTCGTAACAATAGTAATCAAAATGTAACCTAAAAAAATAATGTAAATTAGTAATTTTTACTAAATTGTATATCTAAAGACAATTTACTAAAATAATATGCTAAAAAATAATAAAATATTTTTGAATTTGAATTCTGAAGGGATCAACTTATTCAACTGATACATTTCTATTATGGTAATGGAAGACAAATTAAATATGAATTTGAATCAAATATAATCCAACAAAATTATTATTCTCTAATACAAAAAAAAGACATGATTCATACTTATTTATTCATACAATTAAGGGCGAGCAAACTTTAGAAAAACTGAACTAAACTCAATTATTTTCAGTTTTTGGTTTGGTTATTTTATTTTTAGTTTCGGTTAGAAATCTTCTATACTTTCGATTTTGGTCTTTGGATCGGGTATCTAAAATATTTAGTTTTTAAGTAAAATTGAACTGTTTGACCCAACCAATGCCTACCAAACTGAACTAATCAGTTTGATTTAGTTTCTGAACTTTCATTTTAGTTTGGTTCAACTTCAAAGAAAATTTACTTTTGATTTTTGATTTTTGCGATTCAATTCGGTTTAGAACCAAATCCAACTGCGGATTTGCACACCCATACATACAATTGTACTTTTATTTTATGTTTTTTCTTTAAGAAGCAAGAATAAGGTTTGCTTAAGATATTGATGTAATGTTTGAAAAAAAAAAAGTTTCTCTTAGTAATCTTAGTGGTGAAGATTTGGAAATCATTATATGCATGAACACAATATGATTTTTGAGCCACTTTTTTTTTTTTTTTGGCTATAGTAATACAAAATAAAAAATTAAACTTGATATTTGACTAGCTAACAACCTCCTCCACTTCCCAAAGCTTATGATAATGTGCCCACAATAAAATTGGATCCTTGAACTTGCCCATAGTAGTTACTAGTTCCCTCTCCAACTTCACCTAATATATATATAAATGGAATATTTGACACTATCCATTTAGTTTAACTATGGGGTCCATAAGAGTCCTCTTCTTCCTCTTTGTTCATGCATGCTCCAAAAAACAAGCAAAAGACTATTTGGTCAAAGGGGAGTCAAATAAGAAAGATTTTTGAGTGGAGAAGAGAAACAAAAATGGCTTCAAAAAGGTTAATAAACTTTCTTATTTATCATATTTGAGATGTTGTTAGAACCCACATTGCCCCCTCTTCTTTCGAGCATGCTATGGCCCATTTCAGCTGTCTTCCCTTTGCCTCTCATGTTTTTTGTTGGGTGCAATGCATCTATCTCCGTTCCAGCTTTTCCTTTCCCACATTAATATATACTAATATTAGAAAAAATAAAATATAAAAGAAGACACAAGCAAAAGACATTTAAAATCAAAAACTTCTCCCTTCCAATCATTCACTTAATGAATTGGCAACATCCATATGATCTTAAGTATCCATCTAATTTGGGGGACCATTGCTTTTGTTTCTTTGGTCCATGTGGATTCAACAAGGTTGCATCATTATAAAATTTGCGATAAATTTATCTACATCTAGTGTATGAATGAGCGGTGCTATACACCAAACCGATCCGTAATTGAATTTTTAAACAATTATCTATTTTTAGTGAATAATTAGAAATATACTCGACACAATCAAACATTTATTTTTAATTATGGTGTATGGTGGGTCCATAGACCAGAAGCAGGTAAGTTCTTCCCATAAAACTTGTAACTATTACAATTATGTACATATAAATATATTATAATGTATTAAACTTGTAAACTATTATTATTAAATAATATAAGGAGAAATACTTACCTATACTTGGTGTACGGATCACTCCTTCTATTAAGTTAATTAAAAATAAGTTTTTAGTTCAAACGAGAGTAATTTTAATAATTCGCCCAGAAAGAAAAAATAAAATGTCATAATTTAAAAAAAAAAAAAACCCTTATATTAATTGATTTAGTGTGTGAATGGTCTTATATCATTCTCAATTACTATTGGTAAAAAAGGAAATAGTATTCTTTAACATGCTTATTCACCTTAAAAATGAATCGAAGTTATACATAAATATGTATATAACAAACATTTCATTCTAATTATATTTTTACAATAATGAAATAAAATCCAAATGGTAATCTTAAAAATTCATGAAAAGAAGATGTAATTCTCATTTAAATTCAACCTTTTTATGAGTAAAAAATAGTATAAAATGTTAATTTTTTTTTATTTATGAAACAAAAGAATGGAATCTTATTCTAAAAATTAAATTTGAATTTCATTCTTAGAGAAAACTATATATATAGCCATGTTTATTTTTTAAAATGGACCTTACTGTTAGTTGCAATTTGCAAATTGGAACATTACATTCATTTGATTTCGTGGACAAAAGGATTTTCCCCCCACAAGTTGATGCCAATAATTTATTTGTAATTGAATATTGACCCTACACAGCATGGGCCTTTCCATTTGATACAAATTTGTTTTTTCACGAGCATTTTTTATTGTACATTTTAAATTATTTAAACTCAAGATTTAAACTAAAGATTTCTATCTTTTATATCTTTTACAAGACGTGAGAAGATCAATCAGATTAGATACGATTGTCATTAATTAGATTAATAATTTACTAGCAATAAAATATTTTTTCTATAATATAAAATTGATACATGGTAATTATCATTTAAATATAGATTAATGGAGTTATTCCTCTAGCATGCAATATTTTGACTGGGTTGTCTTTTTCATTTCCGTGATCACTTGAGGGGCCCAACCCAAGTATGAGAAAGAATTCTGTTATGTCATTGACTAGCATGAACATCATTTCAATTAGTATCACCGAGACTAAATTCTTTTGTTATAATGGAAAGCAACCTCCAATGCAAGATTTGAAATTGTCCTAATATCTTAATTACATAATTTCAACAACTTTGTGGGTATGACATGTATTCAACACATGGCATTCAAGTCCTAATCAAGTCATTTCATGCTTAATCCAATTTCTTATGATATGAATATCACTAATTACAAACTAATACTCTCTCTCTCTCTTTCCTTCAACTTCCAACTTCCCACTTTTTATACACAATAAGCAAATAATTAAATTTATCTTAATTATCTAAAATTTTTATTTCAAATAACCTCAATACCCTTTTATCTTCTCCAAATTCTGACCTTTCCTTAGGTGTTAGTCCGATTTGATAAATAAACTTTTTAAAAAAAAAAAAAAAAAAAAAACTCTCTTTCCTTTCAACTTCCAACTTCCCACTTTTATAACACAATAAGCAAATAATTAAATTTATTCTAATTATTCTAAAATTTTTATTTCAAAATAACCTTCAATTACCCTTTTATCTTCTCCAAATTCTGACCTTTCTTAGGTGTTTAGCCGATTGATAAATTAAACTTTTTTAAAAATTTTTAAAAAAAAAAAAAAAAAAAAACTTTCTTGAATTTTAAAAAATCACATTTAAAGTGAATGTAAGAAAAATCTTAAAAATTGATAGATACATTGGAGTGGAACGGATGAAATAATATATGACATATTTATGTTGTGTCCAAGTCAATAAGTTATTGAACAAATAATTTGACATTCCAAATATTTATTTTATAATAAATGAGATCAAAAGGTTAATTTAGTGTTTTTATTATCTTTAAATATCTCTCATATATTTCTATAGTGTGTTAATGATATATATATATATATATAAATGTTAATGACATTTGAAGATGGCTAATGAAAATTGATCGTGTATTTTACAAAAGGAAAATATCAAGGAGTCAACTCCTATATCTTTCTCCATTAAAAATATTTTTATATAATTTTAAGAATATTTGAATTAATTCATATGTTGGTTTACTTTAACGTTGGGTCAAATTATTTATAAATCTTTTAATGCTGATATAAATGATATCTTTAATTGAACTATAAACACGAAATTAATAAGGTCTCGAAATTAATAAGATGATATAAATGGTAGAAAGGCTAAAATGCCATAAATAATAATTGAATTCCCACAAATGGTTTGAGTAATTCTACAAATTGTATAAATACGTTCACTTGTTTGTTCTAGGTATACATGAAATGGGAACAAATATTTGGAAGGTTAAAAATATTGGGAAATGGGTTGATTTTTTTTTTTTTTTTTTCATGTGTTTGTATAGTAATAATAAAAATAAGGAGAAGCATCCAAAGAATTGAAGTCAAAGGGACCATGTTGGTTGGGAGTAATTAGTCAGTCCTCCATATCCTTCCTTCATCACTCTCTCCATCTCTTTTGCCTCTTGTGCCTTTGCCCTCTGCAATTATATATACATAAACCATTCAACTTTCTCAGAAGAAAGTTATTAACTTATTTATTTATTTATTTTATTTATATGCAGAAAATATTCAAGAACCTGCATTGTTTCTATGTCATCTGTCTCTGCATTGAAGTCATAAAATGTGCTAGCTGCTGTGAGCTTCATGGATAGAAACTGAATATTCAAATAAAAAAAAAAATTTATTAGTTTAAGAATTACAAAAGAAAATTTTCAATTTTACAATTTATTATATGCCTTCAATTTTTCATTAAGTTTTACTATTAACTCACCTCAACTTGATTCTGCAAGGACTGGACATAATTAATAATCTCATCCAGCATTACAGCCATGCCCATGGTCTGTCAAATATTAAGACAAAATTACAGAATATTAGCAAGAAAAGAAAAAAAAAAAACGTATTTCAGAAGATATAATTAATTGATTGACATTTTTATTATTAGTTTTTTTTTTTTTTTTTTTTTTTTTTTTTTTTTTTAATTTATACCTTGTAACAACCTGTTTTTTTTTTTTTTTTTTTTTAATTTCTACCTTGTAACAACCTGGGACAATATCTTGTAAGCATCTTAGTCTCTCATTGATTTTTCCTCTTCTTACCTGTTGCACAAAGAAATATATCCAAATATTATCAGTCCAAAAATTTAAAAAAAAAAAAAAGAATTTCTTTGCATATATATATATATATATATATTTCTTTGAGAAGTTTATATATTTTTACCCTTTCTGCTAGACTATGGCTATCAGTGGCTTGTCCTCTTCTAGCTCTGACATGAACAACTTCTTTTGGTTTCTCTTCTTCTTCTTCTTTGCATTTAGCTTTCTTTCCTCTTCTTGAGTTCTGTAAATCATAAATATTAAATAAATATAATTCCATTTAAAAAGGAAAAAGAAACAAGAAAAACCAACAAAAAGAAAAGATTTCATTTGATTACGTTTTTGCGCTTTCCGCATTCAGAAACTTGTGGAGACGAGTTCAAGGAACTTGTTTCTGATAAATCCAATATTGCTTTTCTTTTCTTGGATTCTTGAAATTCACTTTCTTGCTCATTTCCAAGAGTGGAAAAAGAGTGTTGTTGATGATGATGATTATGAGAAAGGGGCAAAACATGCTGATTGTTTTGATGGAAAATACCAGGAAAATTTTCTGTCAAATTCCCTGGAAATTCTGCTGGTGTTTGATGGCTAAAGAAATTGTCACTAGAGAAAGTCAAGAAATTTTGGAGACTATTAAAGTTTGAATTTTCAAGGATAATATTGGTTTGGTTTATTTCTGTAAATTGGTTCATGTTGGGTCCAATATTTGGATCTATCATATCTAGAAGAAATGGAAGTGAGGGTTTAAAACCTTGCAAATCTGAATTAAAGTCAGCCATGGATGGGGTTTAGTTTCTTGAACTTTGGAAGGGAAAGGGAACTTAGTTCTTGAATCTTGGAGGGGAAAAGGAACTGAAGTTTTGAATTCTTGAATCTTGAAACTGGGTTTGTGCATATACTTGAGATAATGAGAGAGAGAGAGTTGTATTTATAGTGTGGGATTACAGAATGACTGCCACTATCTATGCTTAGTGTGTGTGTATTATATTATATTAATCATTTTTTTTTAATCCTTGACATATTAATTTCAAGAAACCAAAATATAGTAACAATTTTAGGGGGACCACGTGGCAATACAAGCTTCTATGGTTGTGTTCCCTAATGTGGGTCCAATATCCAAGAGATATATCCAAAAAATAAAATGGGCCCATTACAAGGCTTTTGCCAATTGGCCCCGAAGGGGAGAAGTATGTTAAAAAGGTTCAACTAAACTACTAAAGTATAATTATTTTTTGTTTTCTTTTTCACTATTTTATTTAAGCTAATAAGAAGCTTTTTCTTGTAAAAGACATGAGCTTTATGGAAAGGCTTGACTACTAGCTTATCCTTTTTGTGATACATAAATCACCATTATTTTTAGCTAGTATGGGTCTCATACCATTATTTGAATGTATAAATTCATCATGGCCCGTTTTGATATTTTCTCTATACCTTTCTTGTGTTTTCTTTTTTTTTTAATAGCTATTTCTATTTTCAGGGTTTTGTCAATTAAGCATAAGAAGAAAGAATTACTTTTATTATAAATTTAGTTTATTTATTTTTCATAAGAATTTTACTAGCTATAAGCTGTTCAACTAATGTTTCATTAAATGTTTAAAGGGAGTAAGATTTTATAATTCGCCCTTTCAAACTTCAAATACTCTTCTAAAGGTTGTGTCATTGAGCAATATAAATAATAAAAATACTACTTTAAAAGTTATTGTCGAATAAAATATTGAGTCTGAGAACTCTCGCACTTTATGAAATTTTGAGAATCATTAGACCATTCGATTGGCATCTGTTTACCTCTTTTTGTTTAGATGTTTAAACATTTGTTTTTGTAATTTAGGTTGTTGGTTTTGTAGTTTAATATGATTTATTAATAAAATAAAAAAAGAAATCTATAATTATCTCGAACACCAAATAATATTGTGAAAACGCAACCTTAGTTATTGTTTTTGATAAGTGGATTTGGACATAAAATGGGCATATACACATAAACCTAATCCAACTTTGGTACAATATAATTTGTGATTTCAAGTGACAAGCTTTCCACTAGAAATTCTCCGGCTAAGGATTATCTTGTCGGTTAGCCATGGAGCAATGTCCGACATTTTGTAATGAGTCTCTACTATTTTATTATCCAATCACACATTCATTTCTATTAAATTACACAATAGTACCAAGAACTATTTTTGGAGAATTAGACGACAGAGCTGTTTTTTGGTTGTCATGCAATTTCTTTTTTTTTGTTTTTTATCACAGTCACATATATATAACAAATAAATAAATAGAGATAAATATTTATCAATAAAATTATTGAAAACATTAGGTTAAAGTTGATTAGTAAAAGAATATATAGTTAATCTGAAATATAGAAGAGATTAATTAATTAGTTGATTAGTGAAACTATTATTTGGAAAATCAACTCTTTCAATTACCTTATAATATATAGATTAACTCATATAAATTACATTTAAGTCATTTCATAGTTAAATGTTTGTAAATTTTCCCTCTAAAAAGATTTTCAATGACCCAAAATAAATAATAATAAGAAAAGCACTCCCTTAAATGTAAAAATTGCAAAGATTATAGAATTTGGCATTACATGTGAGATGTGTGTTTGGCATATTCTTTTAATGCTTTAATAATAGTTTGGTATTCAATTAGGAATTTCTTTTCTTAATTGAAGCCCTTACCTAACATAGATTTGGTTTGACATTTTCTCAAGCAGGATGTGGGTGCTCATTTACTATAACTTAATTACTATAACTAAAAAGACTTGGTAACTCAAAACATAAAATTCTTTATTTATGGTATTTTTTGTTCTTAACCTAATCAATGCTATCTTCCTATTTGATCATATATAGTGTGTGAACAATGATCAATCTAAACATATCAATTTCCTTTCCATTTTGTTATATCTCAAAATTTAAAAAAAAAAAAAATTAAAGGAAGCGACTATAATCATAAATATATTTGAATATGGAATTTCAACCCCACCTTAAGGATTTTCTATTATTATTATTATATCCATTTTTCAATTTGAATATCTGGGAGGACTAACGAACCACAGTAATGTTGTAGGCTACACAACAAGGGTCTCCCATTTGAATAACATTCACCAAATTGAATTTGAGACCTCTTACTTTCTACATCTTCTACGAAAGGTAGGAAGACCAATCAAACCATACCTGATTGTCGCATATATATATATATATTGAATACGAAGATAATTATATAAATAATTTCTTCAACATAACAAAATACATAATATCTATCAATTAAAACAAGATCTAGAATGTTTGATTTTCTATGTTACAAAATATATATGTACTTGAATGAAAAGATGGGATATATCTATCTTTTTTTTTTTTGTCACTACCCTAACTAGAACTAAAACTTTTCAATTGTAGCATATGCTTCATATTAACCCAATTAATAGTGTTTCCTCATTTATGCTTTTTCCAACTTAAAATTTGAAACCTATATAAGGCTATATTGGACAAATGATTAGTGAAATTACCTAACCCTAACTCATCTAAAATTTAACATAAAGACTTGTTAATTACTTTCCTATATATGTAAATTTCACATGCTTGAGTTGTGGTCAAAACCCTATGATCTAAAGGCTCTTCATTGTCTACACTAATAAACTTATCTTGAACTTAATGTCTTTATGCAATGAGAAATAGCAAACTTATATTTGGTTAGACCATCAAAAAGGTTGAAATCTATCCACTCAATAGATTTGAGAATAAGGTATGGGCTTTTGGTACTTTTACTCTTCACTTTATTGGGAAAAAAAAAAAGGAATTTAATTCATTTTAATAATATATATACCTATTTTTAGATAATGCATGTTTTATTTTTATGTTGCAATTTAGTTATACTAGTTATTTTCTAGAAGAACAATAATGTGATGATATTGATAAATATACAAATTTCATTTACATTAAAAAACAAAAAAAGTTGTAATAATGAAGTCATATTAACCTTTCACTCATTAATTAAAAAAAAGAAGAAATTAAACCCAGTGCACGAAGCATTCCATGTGTGTGAGATCGACGGAGAGATAATATATGCAGCCTTTGCCATACTCTTTTACAGAGAAGTTGTTTTCATAACTCGAAACTCATGACCTTCAGATCACAAATGAAATAATTTTACTGTTGCACCAAAGTCAATCTTAAAAAACAGTATTAATTATAATCAAGTCGGAGTTGTCTTACAACCTAAAGGTATCTAAATTGCCACGTCCATGGTTGAAAATAGAGTCCAGAAGATAATTTGTGAACCATGAAATATTTGGCTCTCGCTTGTTTATGATCAACCCAAAGGATCAGCTGTGGTCCTGTTTTGATCTTCTGATTGTATATGGAGATACTGTTTCAACTGTTCCTACTGCGACAATTTTGTTTGCCCCATTATCCAATAAACACTATTGACAAGGTTTTTTAAGCCTTACCCATATCAACATCAAGATTGTGAGAGCCAACTCAAAGTATATTCTTCCAAATTTTAACTATTAGCTAGGCAATTAATTTCATTAATCAACTTAAACATTTCTTTTTTGTGTTTGGATACACAAGAGCAAATCTTAAAACAAAACTACTCGAACCATCTAGTGTTAATGATCTCACGCGGTCAAGGAGCAACCAATGCGACAAATTAGGAGGATGAGGAGGAGAACAATTAAGGCATGTGTATCCGAATTGACAGATTGCACATATACTTACCGCTAGATTATGTCTTAGTGTGCTTTGAATGCATATTCGTAAGTCTTTTTCAATTAATTAGTATATATATATTGGAGTTACACAATGTAATGGTGATGAAACGATCAAATTTGATAAATTTCCATCCTATTGTTTGGTAGATTTTGATTTCTAGCTTGATAGATTGTGAATTATGGAAAGTACACACCAAAGAGAATGGGTTTGGTGTATAGCCTTAAATGGAGAAGTCTCACTTTCCTTCCTTAATTTGGTGCATAAAATAGTGGGTTACGTTTACAACAATTGTCAAAATAATAAACCAATAATAATAATAACAAACGATAAGGGATAATGTATCTTCAACTGCTACCTTAGTTATCAAACAGAAGGTATCCCATTCATCAGACTGATACATGGAACTTTATTTTTAACCTTAGGAGTTGATGTTTGTTTTATTAATCAAAAATTTAAAATTTAAGATTAATGATCAAAACTTAAGTGTGGTCTCGAGTATCCTTAATGATTTGTACTTAATAAGACAGAAAGATAAAATTTTTATATTTGCCATTATTATTTGAATTTTTTAAAAAGAAAATAGTTATATTATATTAAAAATATTGATAAAGTTATTAAGATTGCATAATTTGCATTATATTAAAAACAAAAATAATAGTTGCATTCATTAAAAATACAGTGAAAGTTGTGTTGAGCCCCAAGTTATGCCTATTTAGTACGACTTTATTAAAGATAATAATTAAAATTTAATTTACTAACAAGGTTAAAACTTGAAAAAAAAAAAAAGATCAAAACACAATTGTAAATATTAAATTAAGTTGGCTTGATGCTTGTAAGTTACTTGTAGGTTTAAGAATTGAAGTTGCGAAGGCTTGGCAAAAGAGCAGGGCCAACTGGGCTTGAACCCAACCGATTGGGCTATTTTCAGCCGGAAACCTTAGCTGTTACTGCTTAAAAGGCTCAGTACCGACCCAATCCTTTTTTCATGGAAGGTCAATTTGGCAGCAATTAAATATTTGGGGAGTGCAAAATCTTATTAGGTAATGCACTTATTGAAGAATTGGAAGTATATCTTTAAAGTTTCTTATTTTATTTTATTTAATTCCATAATTTTATTCAGTTTGTGCTTTCACTTTCTATTAATCACTATTTTTTAGACTGTTTGGTCTTTTCAATTACGTAGGCAGCAAAAAGTCTAAGGTTCGAAACTTTTCGACCACAA